GTGCATTTCCTTTCTCGCCATGCCCCAAAGGGCCTTTAGAATTGGTGAACACCGATCAAGTCCAAGCAATGCTTGAACTTGAGATTTGGAACTGGTTTCGTGAGCATATCCACAGGATTATGAGTTGTAGCAATTTTCTTCACGATGATCTTCCCATCTGCCACAATATCCCGAATAAAATAGTGCCTCACATCAATGTGCTTGGTCCTTTCATGATACATCTGATTTTTGGTTAAATGAATAGCACTTTGACTATCACAAAATACAGTAACGACATCCTGGGTTAAACCAAGATCAGTAACCAAACCTCTTAATCAGATTGCTTCTTTGACTCCTATCCTGGGTTAAACCAAGATCAGTAACCAAACCTCTTAATCAGATTGCTTCTTTGACTCCTTCAGTGATTGCAATATATTCTGCCTCCGTCGTTGACAGTGCCAATATATCTGCCTCCGTCGTTGACAGAGCCACAATGGACTGGTAGCTAACTTTCCAGCTAATGGCCAGGAATGCATAAAGTAATACATAACCTTGGAACAAAGACCTTCTCTTATCAAGATCACCTGCATAAATCAGAGTCAACATATCCAACAACAATATATCGGTCTGTCACCTTATTCCTTATTCAAAAAACCAAATCAGTATCCGCAAAGCCTTCAAGTAAGCGGAATATCCATTTAACTGCTTGGCAAAATGTTCTTTACCTGGATTACCTCAGTACCGGATTACTCATGTACCTGCTCACAACACTAACTGCCTGTGCAAGATCAGGTCTAGTGCATACCATGGCATACATAAGACTACCAACTGCACTAGAATAGGACACATGTGACAATTGCTCTTTCTCTTCATTAGACTGATGGCAAAAATCAGATGATAATTTAAAATGAGCTGCAAGAGGAGTACTCACAAGTTTTGAGTTATTCATGTTGAATCTCTCAGGAACCTTCTCAATGTAATTTCTTTGAGATAAATACAATTTTCCAGCTGATCGATCTCTTTGAATCTCCATACCAAGAATTTTCTTTGCAGCGCCAAGATCTTTCATCTCAAATTCACTACTCAACTGATCTTTCAATTCTTTGATTAGTGACTTATCACGAGCAGCAATTATCATGTCATCAACATATAACAATAAGTAGACAAAAGATCCATCTGAAAACTTCTTATGATAAACACAATTATCATACTGACTACGACAATACCCATGCTCAACCATAAAGGAATCATACCTTTTGTACCATTGTCTTGGGGACTGTTTTAGTCCATAAAGAGACTTCTTCAAGTGACAAACGTAGTCTTCTTTTCTAGGAACAACAAATCCTTCTGGTTGTTGCATATAAATCTGCTCCTCGAGCTCTCTCGAGCTCTCCATGTAAGAAAGCAGTGCTCTCCATGTAAGAAAGCAGTCTTGACATCAAGTTGTTCTAATTCAAGATCCTGCAAGGCAACAAGGGCAAGAAGTACACGTATAGAAGTGTGACGAACAACAGCAGAAAACACTTCGTTAAAGTCTACACCATGTTTTTGATTGTAGCCTTTAACAACTAAATGTGCTTTATATCTTGCACATTCAATTCCGGGGTTGCCTTCTTTTTTCTTATAGATCCATTTACAGCCTACAACTCTTTAGCCTTTTGGCAATTTCACCAATTGCCAAGTATCATTCTTGTGCAGAGATTCAATTTCTTCTTACATCGCAACCTGCCACTCAGAAGAATTAGGACATGAGATTGTTAAAATTGCCTTAGATTGCCTTAGAATTCTAAGATTCACACTTTAAGTCTATATTGGTTGGCCACATGTTTTTCATGGTTTATACTAGTCTTTGGGTGGCTAAGGAAATTCAACGTTGGTTGGCTATGTTGGTGAGCTAACTTGGACTAGGATGGCACATTTTCAACAATGGAAGGAAGACTTGAAGTTTGTTCACATGGTGATATACCTCTATATAAGGCAATCTTGCTTGGAGCAAATTGATTACATCCAACCGAGTGAAATTCATCCAAGTGAGCAATCCTCCAAGAGCATTTCCCTAAACTATCCACTCTCTTCATATACTACCTCTTCATATATATACACACTCTTGCCATATTCATTGAGTGTAGTAAGGTGTTATTTGAGTGTATGTAAGGTGTTATTTTTGGTTGTGTATTTTGTGTTGGTGTAAAATCATTTGTATCCAACAAGTATGCATTTACTCTTTCTCTCGCTCTCTTGTGATTTTTTCCCTCTACATTTGGAAGGGTTTCCACGTAAATCTTGTGTCTCTTCCATTTAAATCTTGTGTCTCTTCCATTTATTATTTTACTTATCATTTTATCATCAACTATCGAAACTAAATATTTATCCATTACCACGCTAAATTCTGCAACAAACCATTATAATTTTACAATTAAGAATATTTTAGGAAATTATTAAATATATAAAATACGTTTTCAATGGTTTAACTAATCAAGAAAAATAGATGATTATTGAATATGAAAGAGTACTTAAAAGATTATGTGTATTTTTAGTTAATTTAAATTTTTTATTTTAATCACTTTAAAGATATTATTTTTATTTTTATTTCACATTCTATTCTCAAATTTTATTTCTATTTTTAATAATGCAAATTTGTTTTTATGACAAATATAATATTCATATTTAGTAATTTTATTTTATCACTTTTTATTATAAGAAATTTTATATATTTTTAAATTTCTCTAATTCTACCTATTAAGTAATGTAATTTTTAAAGATTTATACCATTTGAATGAAAATGGGTTTTATTATCTTTTTACGCAATTAACAAAAAAAAAAAAAAAAAAAAAAAAAAGTTAAAATGTAATCAAAAGGTAAAAGTTGACAAAAATACTATTGTAGCATATCAAATCAAAATGGAATTTTATTTTATCTTTTTACAACTATAAAAAAATAAAAGTGTATAAGTGTTAATTTAAAAAAAAAAAAATCAAAGATTAATAGTGAAGCATTACTAGCGGAATATATTAATGTAATTGTAAAAATAGAAGGGTCCATAATGTTACCAATTGCCAATTGGTAGCAAAATGAAATTTACTCAATTAATAAAGATATTAAAGGACTATAATAAAAAAAAAAAAAAAAGTATAAATGTAATCAAAAGGTAAAAGTGACAAAATACTATTGTAGCATATCAATCAAAATGGATTTTATTATCTTTTTACACTATTAAAAAAAATAAAAGTGTATAAGTGTAATTTAAAAAAAAAAAAATCAAAGATTAATAGTGAACATTACTAAGCGGAAAATATTGTAATTAAAAATGAAGCCATAATGTTACAATTGCCAATTGGTAGCAAAATGAAATTACTACAATTATAAAGATATTAAAGGACTATAATAAAAAAGCAATATTGTAATTAAAAAAACCATAAGGGGTTGAATGGGAAAATCTTACAGTAACAGTGATTTACCGGCTCCCTTTAATATATATTTATAATTATAATTATAATTATAATATTTACCTAAAAAAGTTTTCTGGATCCCCTGTTACATTTTGCGGTTAATTTCTAATGAAAAAATGAAAATACTTTCTATATGTCTGAATTCACAAAAATAACCTGATATTCTTTATGCAAAATCGGTATGGATAAATTATTAAAATTTTATTTATTTTTACTTTTAGCATAAAAAAAGAGCAATAGAAATAGAATGATGGTTATTTTGGTTTTTATATTGAAAATCAATGGCAAAAAGCATAAACTGTGAACGGAAAAGAGGGAGAGTAAGTGGTTGATTTCAACAAATCAGAGGGATTAAATAGTAATTTAATTTATTTTTTATTTTTATAGGGTTAGATACTATAAGCACGGTAGCTTTAGCTTTAGTACCGTTGGATTTTAATTTATCTTTATATCTTATTTGTTTGTTTATGGGGCTGGGATACTGTAAGGCACGTTCGCAAATGTTAACGTGCTGTAGGACCGTTGGATTATGGCCTTTGTAGTGTTTTGGACTTAAAAATTAAGAAGCTTTTATGCGTTTTACTGTATTCTTTAAGCTCTAGCCCTATGAATAATTTATTTTTTTGCTTTCAAAAAGCAAATTCAGTAATGATCTTATCTCTTCCAAAAAAAATTGTAATGATCCTATCACATTAATTTTCTAAAATAGATGATTTATGAAAGATTTTGTTTTCCACTTTTGTACCACCATCTTCATTGTATTTTTTTTTTTTAAATGCATCTTCATTGTATTATTATAAAAGTTAATGTAACAAAATAATTAAGAATTAGCAAAAACTTTTTAAACTATAATTTTTTTATCACATTTTTGCTCTATTTTGCTATAAATTTTGAATCAAATAATAAAATCTGATTTAGTTAATATTAAATTTTATAAAAATTAATTTTTAATGAAATGGATATTTTTCATTTATACCAAACAAAAAAATCAAATTCCAATTAATTCTATGAAATTCTGAAGGGAGCATTTGTAAATTAGATGATGGCTAATCATTTAATAATCGTATGAAATATCCCCTAAAAATAAAATTAATGGTGAAGTCAATAATTTTTTTTTTAATTTCTTAAAGGCAAAAATTAATTTTTATATAGGTACAAAATCCTCCAAGCCAAAATCCATACACAATACTGACGTCCCTTTTTTGGGGAGGTTCAGTCTAATCACTTTGCGACATGTTCAAAGAAAGTATTATCTATTCCATATTGGGTAAAGGTTGGTTTAAATTTGATTATAAATTAACAATTTTACTATCTCAATTATAGTTAAAATTTTATGTATGGAATAGCTGTCCAGAAATTTGTGGAAAATAAATTCCATGAGTAAGTGAAAAATATTATATCATTCCTAATCGATTATATTATGTGAACCAAATGAATTCTATCCAACTGAATTAAGTTTAATAACTCAGAAAAATTCTATTATATATTTTACTCATAAGCATTTGTTATTTAGTGTCTATTGCCATGTATTCATATGTCTTTCGATTTTCTAATTTAATATTTGTTTTGCAGAACATATGCTGTTTTATTCTAGTGAAAAATATCCATTGGAGGATAGTTATTCGAAGTACATTACTGAGGTATACATTAATTTTTTAATAAGAATTGCATTGTCTATTTGCTATTGTTCATATGATTTGAATGTTGAATATTCAGCTGGCCTAATATGGCTTTTGCATTATTTTCTTTTATAAAGTAGGTTGAGCTCTCTTAAGTGCGCTATTCGGCCATTTCAGTAAAATCTCAATTGGAATAAGTGAGGGGGATTCAACATGCTATCTATAAAATTAGGCTAAAAAGGTATAAATTAAGCTAAATGCAAATTAACAACAAGGAGAATTACAATTACAATTTACATGGCCACAATCTTGGATAATACGGAACTTGGGTATAGAACATGAACTAATAATGTCTAAGTCAGATGCTCTGGTTTCTGTTTGGTCTTGACATGAGAATAATGTTGATAATAAGATCCTGCATGACTGCATCTATTAGTTAGGAAAAAACGAAATTCCTTGAATATCATCTTATGAACCTTTCCAGTTTCCATCTATTAGCTCCAAATTTTTTTTTGGGTTGGATGCTTTACTCCTTAATATACTTCCGGGCATCACTTGTAGTCCCTAATTGTTTTTGGAGAGATTTTATGAAAATAGTGTTTAGTTTAAATGAACAGATTGCAATGGAGTTATTTTTATAGGAAAATAATTGTTTGAATAACCTTGAGCTACTTGTTTCCGGATCCTCTTGATCTATTTGGCAGTAAATAGCCAGTTTTTATCTTGATAAGAATCAAATGGATGTGTAATATTGCTTATTACTCATAATATCTAAATCTTTGCTTTATCTTCTTATAATGTTATAGCATGGAGGGCAGTGCAATGCTTATACATCTTCTGAAGACACCAACTATCACTTTGATGTTAATACTGATGATTTTGAAGAGGCTTTGGACAGGTAGTTAAAAAATGATGTTTTCTTTTTCTGCCGGCTGCTATTTTTCTTCAATATTTAGCTTAAACTTTATGGACATGAGGCTTTTTCCTTGGATTACCATTCAGGTTTGCACAGTTCTTTATTGGACCTTTGTTATCAGCTGACGCAACCACGAGGGAAATCAAAGCTGTTGATTCTGGTAATCTGTTTCGCTGAGCCTTTTCACTTCTTTATAAGTACTCTTTGTTTCTTTTTGTATTTTTCGTTTTCAATAAATTTACTATTGATAGTTAATCTCTCTCTCATACAGAGAATCAGAAAAACTTATTGTCTGATGGCTGGAGAATGTACCAGGTATGTATCAACTTCTTTCCTTGCCATATGAACTGTAGCCATTTTGTACTTGTGGGGATTTGGGATATCCTCATTCTCCTATAATACAACCATTTTAAGGATAGAGGAGATGGATATAAAACAATAATAAATCCTATCCCCAAATTATTTGGGTTCTTCTGTGTAGATTATTTTCCTTGATTTAGATCTACCTAGAACTAAGTCCTTATGGCAATAGTAAATACTACTTGGCCACTTCAGTCCACACCATCTTTGTTCATGACCTATCCTGAAAGTTGCCTCCTTGATTAATTCATTCTCAACTTGTTTATGTTCATTTTATGAAATCTAATAAAAGAGAAATGAGGTGAAAAAGGAAATTAGACTTTCTATTCAGGGAATGAGGTTTCTGGAGAAAAAGATTCTATTTTGGATCTCAAGGCTCTTATTACTTCCTCAACACACTATTCTGCTTATGACGAGGCATTCTTGTGCAATTTCTTTATAGAGTATTCTACTTGTAGCAAAAGGCTTTCTTGTTGCTCAGGCTTTATGTTTTGAATTATGGTCATTGACTCTGTCGTTTTTTGATTCTTTTTTTGAATGGACATGCACATGTTGATTTGCAAACACAAATTTCCATAGAGTAACATTTAAAACGTCTAACTTAGACAATTGCAGGTGTTGTGGATTCAGTTAACACCTTTTTTCTCCCTTGGTTTCCTTATTATAGTTATTTGAAGTAAACTTACTTTTATTTTCTCCTCATCTTTGGTTAAAGGATCTTGCAAGATGCATCTAGAAAAAGGAAAAATTGGGATGCTTACCTGTCTAAAGATCAGCTAAGTGAAAGCAGTTTTAGTTCTCGGCCTCATAAGGCATGCATAATTGCCCATTCAATGCATTCCAAGCTAAATGAATGACTGCATAACATCACAACTTGCCTCATTTCTTTGTCCCAAACCTTAGTGATCAATTTATGAGGGAAAAAAAAAATTGACTGTACTTTATATGCAATATTGTCTATGGAACACATGGTTTCTGTATTGTGAAATCCTATTGCAAAATCCTGTTGGACTCAAAACTGGTGTAATTTATGTTTCAATGACTGGGAATTTAATGAAGGGTAAAAAAAGGGAAGGGTTTTAGAAGGACTTGTTCATAATCTTGTTAAATCCTCCTTATAAAAACGACAAAACCAATCATTTATATGATATCTCTAAGATCATCTAATAGGTAGATAATCTCTAAATTGTTCATCATCACTTGAGCATTGTAAGAGGAGGTCGTCCAACTCTTTGTTCATTATTACAATGAGGTGTCTAATCAAAGGGCAAAAATCTGCATTGTGCACGTTAAATAGGCATATTATGTTGCTAAAGTAGTACCTTAATTTGCCAGTAAAGCCTTAGCCTAGTGGCTAAGGTGGAGGTTGGTACAATCCCAAATTTGGATCTACTTATGGGTCTTTGAATTAGGGGATCGCGTATGAGATAGGGTGCCTTAGAAGGAGTTTTCTTCCTTCTATCTATGGTGACAGACTTAGAGAGAATCTGCAATCTTTTAGAGCTCGTCAAGAGAGAACTCTACAATCTCTGAGTTTTCGGAACAAAACCTTTTCTTAAAATTCTGATTACATTTTTCCTGATATCACAGCCTTTTAAACAACTAAATGCACAACTAAAACTAGCCACTACCCGATATAATACATAACCTGCTTAACTACCCTACTAATACCCACTAACAAAGAAGCTGATAATAAAACATGAATAACTAAGTAAAACTACCCTAATTATGGTAGCTCCATAACAGAGGTCTCATGACCTTTTGGTCATGGGTTCAATTCCTTTCACCAACAATAATTAACTAGTAATTGTTAATTCTGCCTCTTTTGGGTTGGATTGCTCTTAATGAGCTTTGATGTAATTTATATTTGAAAATTGTAACTGTGTTAATCTACTAAAATTGAAGCACTATAGTATCTAATGGAAAAAAAACTAAATTTAATATTTTAAACAATTAAAATTTAGGTCATAACCTATAGAATATTGATATATAGCAATTGTGTAACAAATGTATTTGATTTTTTTTCCTTGAACTTTTTTATCATATACAGCTTCAGAAACATCTCAGTGATCATGACCACCCATATCATAAATTCAATGTAGGTAAGCAATTGTTATGCATATTTAGTCTTAAAGCACTTTGTATAAGCTTTTTTTTTATGCATCTTTTTGTAGTTAGTGTAGGTTTGCATATCGATTTATGAAATATAATGCTAATTCTTGCTTCATTTCCATTCATCCAAATAAGAAGTTTCGGCTTATTGGGAGAATGTTACCTTTTTATTTGTTAATAGTGTTTTATGATCTCAAACAATACTTACAGGTTTACATTTATATATTTATTTATTTATTTATTTTTATTTTTTGTGCTTTGGAAAACCTTATTTGGTGGAAAGAAATATAAAACTGAGATATATTTTGTTTGACCGCATCTTTCTTCCACATGTTCTGGTACTCAAGGTTTTCTTTAATCTTTATTGCCTAAAGCATCTGCTACGGATAATTCTTTCTTGTAGTAGTTTCCCTTTAAACATTGAAAACAACAAATTATTGAAGCAAAAGAGCAATTACAAAGAAGGTAAGGCAACATATAATATTCCATTGGTTTTTGGACCATATGTGCAAAGACATGTCTTGAACTGATGAATTTTTTTTGTTCCTTGACTTGGTTGCTCTCTTAGAAGGAGAGGGAAAATAAACTCCATATGCACATTAAATTTGTACAAACATTTTGCATACTTGAAGCATTATGTAATTTATATGGAATGCTAAGATAATTCCATTTTAGGCTTCAAGACAACCAAAAAGCAGTGCTAAAACAGTAGTTTGAAACCTTTTTGGAACAAATATAAAAATTAATGCGCTCAAGGAGTGGAGAAATGAACTATTTCCCAGTTGAGCTATAAATCTTTGTGGGAACGCTATGGGAAGAACTAAGGCAAACATTCTGCATACTTGAAGCATTATGTAATTTATATGGAATGCTAAGATAATTCCATTTTAGGCTTCAAGGCAACCAAAAGCAGTGCTAAAACAGTAGTTTGAAACCTTTTTGGAACAAATATAAAAATTAATGCGCTCAAGGAGTGGAGAAATGAACTATTTCCCAGTTGAGCTATAAATCTTTGTAGGAACGCTATGGGAAGAACTAAGGTGTCTTAACAAGTTCTACATTGAAATTTTATCGGTGCATATAGCTAGTTACACTAGTCTATAATATGGTATATTTGCAGAGAACTTTGCTTAGTTCTATGTATGCAAATAAGAAAATACTTAATTTTGACTGAATGGTAAGAGATAGAATACAATACTAGTTATTCATTATGATGTCAAACCTATTTCATTAAACATTTGCACTTATCTTGACCAAGGCTAATCTCATGATGTATTCTGAAAAATGACTAGCCTTTGTCAATGCCAGGGAACTTGGAATCTTTGGAAAATCAACCAAAAGAAAAGGGGCTAGATATACGAGCTGAACTTATTAAATTCTATGAAGAAAATTATTCTGCCAACCTTATGCATTTGGTGGTATATGCAAAAGGTTAGCATATCAATATGCAGTACGTAACTATCGCCTCATTAAGTTTATTCACAAATATACATGATTTCTTTGTCTGGAGATCTTCAGAAAGCCTTGATGCTATTCAAACTGCTGTTGAGGACAAATTTCAACAAATCCGAAGCAATGGTAGAAGTCGTATCTTTTTTCCTGGTCAACCTTGCATGTCTGAACACTTACAGGTATGCCTAGCATTGGTGTTGTTTTCAAAATTGCAAGTAAACATTCTAAAACTTGAAAAGAAATGCGTGTGTTGAAGGATGTCACACCTTCTAGTGACTATTTTATATTCATTCATTAATTATTGCATTTATTTCAGATACTTGTCAAAGCTGTCCCAATAGAACAAGGTCACGAATTGAGAATTGTATGGCCTGTAACTCCAAGTATTCTTCACTACAAGGAAGGGCCCTGCAGTTATCTAAGTTACCTTATTGGTCATGAAGGGGAAGGATCTTTGTTTCATTTCCTAAAAACACTTGGTGGGCTGGTTCATTCTTTGCATGCTTTAGACCAGTACCATTCTTTTGTCACATACCATCTTCACATTCTTGCAAATTGAATTTCTTATGCTTTTCAACTTCTTTGGATGTTCACATGGTCATATGTTCCTTTATACATTCTTGAAAAGCTTAATTATAGTTTTCAAAAAGCTTGCCTATATTGTTAGAGCCTTATATGTAATTGTCCTTTTAATTTGTTTATCTACACATAGTAATTCCAAGAAAATGAGAGAAGAAACAATAACCAATAATATTTTGCCTTCGAGATTACAGCTTTTGCTTTGTTATCTCAATGTAGATCCACCTAGAGTTGAATTTTATACTTCAGTTTGGAGATAATTGCTCAATTGGATATTTTGGCTTGTTTGCATTCTCTAGTTTATTGATTTGTGTGTTCAGCATAGCCATAGCACAATGTTTATTAACATGTTAAGAGGTTGATTATCTATGTATCCAAAATACTTGTTCTCGTTTTTTGCAATATCCTTCAATTTATTATGAGACAAAAATTCTTCAATAAGAAAAAAAAATTGTCCCAAATGTGGAGAAAAGGTTAAAAAAAAGATCTGTTAATATGGCTATACATCTTAGATCATGTAGCAAATGTTCTGTTATCATTATATGAATAGAAAACTTGACAAGTTATTCATAGCCCATCCTTGGTGATTGACAAACCAAAATTTGTCCATTAAAATACCTTGATATATGGAAGGACTTGCTTATTGTTGGACAAGGCACATTGAAGTAAGCATACATACATAGATAATTGTGTCAATTAATTTGAAAGCTTATTGTCAAAAGGAAAATCTTTGCAGTAACTTTGTTTATTTTAGTTTATTTTTCTTCTGAAAAACCATTAACCAAAAAAATGTTGCAGGATGGGCTACAAGTTTGTTCGCAGGTGAAGAAGGATGGAATTGGGAGTTCTCTTTCTTTACAGTAACAATTGATCTTACAGATGATGGTCACGGTTAGTTTATTTCTGTTTTCCTTAGTTTTGTTTGATATTCTTATAAGCCATAAATGTATTTAGTGTTAACTCACAAGGCTTTATCGTATCTTTTAGAGTTTTCAGAATCCTTCATGTTTAAATTTGCTGGAGTAGTGTTTTCTGGACCAAAATTTATTTTTGCGTTATGCAGAACACATGGGAGACATTGTAGGGCTGCTATTTAAATACATTCACCTCTTACAACAGTCTGGTGTTTGCAAATGGATATTTGATGAGGTAAGGATGGAAGTGCAATATATACATATATATATATGGTACCTAACATTGTTGATTATATGGAAACCACTAATTTTCACAACATTAGTATCTACTTATTTATTCTTGTGCAATCAGCTTATCCATGTAGAAAATCTTCAAGAAAGAGCATAATTATTTAGATGTTTATGATTGAAGCTCTGCCTTGTGACTCAGATCTGTAGAAGCAGTTTATAAGGGTATCAAGAATTAAGAACATGTGATCTACTTTTTGCATGGTTCATTTTGACATCTTTATGTTTGTCCACACAGAAATAATGCTTATTTATGTCTTTTTTTAAAGTTATCATCTATTTTTCATTTCTTATGTGAATGGTTATTTATATTGTATATTTGGTGAGAAATGGTTTCTAATATCAGCAAGATTCTGAATAGATTTGTGTTGTGTTGAAGATTGCCAGTATTTCTGAGACCGAATTCCATTATCAAGACAAAAGTGATCCAGTGGATTATGCAGTTGATATTGCATCAAACATGAAGGTTTGTTTCATGAGCGCATGTGTATAAATGCTAAATTACTTAAATTACTTTCTAGGAGATAAGCCATCATAATTTCAGTATTAGAGTATAAAAGAAAACGAATTTTATGCCAAGATGGTTATAGATATACATTGGATTTAAAATGTGGCACATAAATGCTAGTAAAAAGGCTATTGATTCAATGGTTTAATCAATATAACAAGCTCTCTCTAAAATTTTGTATCAAACTATAACACATGACATAGAGGGATCCATCCTCCCATGCATGTGCACGTCTACATGTAGTATGTGTCTTTCTTCCTGTCTGTTTGAATATAGGTATACAAGTATTTCCGCTTGTAATACACACCAAAAAAAGAACTAAATATGTTCTCTTTTTGTAAAAGGCTCATGGTACTTGTGTAAAAAGAAAAAATGATAATTGTGTATTGATTTTTGCCTTTTGGAGTTCCAGTTATATCCACCAGAAGATTGGCTAGTGCAATCCTCCATTCCTACTAAATTCTGCCCAAGTACAATCCAATCAGTGTTGGATGACCTTTCTCCAAATAATGTTCGGTAAGTTTAATACTGCACCTTAGATTTATAATTTGTCCCAATGGGAAATGAGAAAATTACATATTCATGCAATAAGCCCCTTCACTTTGTTCTTAGTATCTATCTTTTTGAAAAACTGCATTTTGTCCTGGGGAATAAGTATTAGTAATATTATCCGTGAACTTCTTTTCCCGGAGAAGAAGCAATGACGGTATCTGGGGAATAAGCATCGGCTAACTCTGTGCCAGCAGCCGCGGTAATACCCAATCAGTGTTGGTGACCTTTCTCCAAATAAATGTTCGGTAAGTTAATACTGCACCTTAGCATTTATAATTTTTGTCCCAATGGGAAATGAGAATTAACATAATTCATGGCAATAAGCCCCTTCACTTTTTGTTCTTAGTATCTATTTTTGAAAAACTGCATTTTGTCCTGGGGAATAAGTATTAGTAATATTATCCGTGAACTTCTTTTCAGCGGAGAAGAAGCAATGACGGTAATCTGGGGAATAAGCATCGGCTAACTCTGTGGCCAGCAAGAAGCAATGACGGTATCTGGGGAATAAGCATCGGCTAACTCTGTGCCAGCAGCCGCGGTAATACAGAGGATGCAAGCGTTATCCGGAATGATTGGGCTAGCATATTCAAAGAGATTAGAGCTTAAAACTAGCTGAAAATGATGTTATGCCTACACCAATGGAGAAGGAGCATAGTATCAACGATTTGGATGATGAGCTGGAACAATTAGTTAAACCAAGTGGTTAGACAGTTAATAGTGTTAGAAGTTTGTTAATTGGTCCACATAAATATACAGGAGATTTATTATCCATTCATTTAACCATTAATACAATAAGATGTGTTTTCACTTGGTTTGTCTTCTTATGACTGTAATTCTGGTTTCTATGGTGAGAGATTATGCAACATCGAAATTTTGTTCTGTTATTGGGTGCTGCATGGCTTGGTATTTTATTTGAATAGCCTTGTTTATTTTATTTTATTTTATTTTATTTTTTTATAGCTAGACTGATACTTTATTTTCCAAAGATCATTAATTCAAAAAAGGTACTATCTTCTACTTGTTGCTATGTTCTCAAAATTGGCTCAAGTATCTTGAGGAATTCATCTTTGTTTCTGTAAATTATATCAATGAACTATTTCATTTTCAAGTTGTACACTGATGTAGTTGAGGCATTATATCTTTCTTAATTACCTCTCCATCCTGCAGAATCTTTTGGCAATCAAATAAGTTTGAAGGGCAAACTAACATGGTTGAACCGTGGTACAAAACTGCATATAGCATTGAAAAAATTAATGATTCTATGATTCAGGTTTGTTCTTGGGTTTTATTTGTGATACCATTCACTCAATTTGATGATAACAAGTGCAAAAGTGATGTTAGGAAGTGGATACACGGAGTGACTTTTTCTCATTTTATTCCTTTTATTGAATTAAGCATATTATCGTCTATAATTAGGATTTTCTGTAAAAGCAATAAAAAAACTTGATAATGTTGTGAAAATTCTTGTTCAATTGTAGGAATGGATATTATCTGCCCCAAATGGAAATCTACATCTTCCAGTAGTTAATTTGTTCATCCCTAGTGACTTATCACTCAAGTATGCAAAAGAGAAGGTTTGGTGGAATAGTATAATTGTGTGATTTTTGACATTTTTGTACACTTGTTAGTTACTAATGTGATTGATATCTGAAGCAGGTCAAATTCCCATCTTTAGCGAGAAAGTCAAGTTATGCATCATTATGGTACAAGCCTGATACAATGTTCTCTACACCTAAGGCATATGTCATGATAGACTTCAATTGCCCCTATGCCCGGAGTTCTCCAGAATCTGAAGTTCGCACTATCATTTTTACTGAGTTGGTGGAGGATTACTTAAATGAATATGGCAAGTAAATTAGATTTACTTCAATGAAGAAAAAGCTTACATTTTTATTTTGTGCCCTTTACCTTCCTAATTAGCATTTGATAGATATGTAGAGCACGTCAGCGCAATTGAATTTGCTTCTCCTTTCCCCACTTTGGTTTCTTTTGTGCTTCGGTTTTTAATTTTCACTCTGTTAATTGTTTAACTTGGTCTCCTCATTTCAGCTTACTCTGCATCTGTTGCTGGTCTATATTATTTCATACAAATTGCAGATAGTGGTTTCCAGGCATGTTTTTCAAACTTTGTTGCTTTTATCTATGATGGCTTATAGCTGTCTGTCATGTACCCATGAAGCAGAAATTGCATGCCTTCTTAATAACTACTACTAATCAAGCTACTTTTTCCTCTTAAATTTCATTTTCTCTGGGAGTGAACCTGCCTATAAAGAACTGTTAGAATTGGAAAAATAGATCAATAGAAGCAGAAATAGATGAAAGTGAAACTTCTTTTTCAAATCTTTTAACATATTGAGGTTTGGAAGATGGAGAAAATAGAAAACATAGATATCTCCATAACTAGCTCCATATTCTGACGCAACTAAACACACACCTATATGTAATAAGATATGAGAAAGCCAAAGGTTGGTATTTTAATGAAAAACAACTTGTCATCTTTTCAAACTTTGACATTGGCCTTAGGGAAGATCAAAATACTTATTTCTTTCAATCAGTGGAGCAAAAAGATTAGAGAAGCAACAATGAGAAGAAAATTAGATTCATAGATCAATTAAATGAATTAAGGCAATTTTATCTAAGAGATCCATCACTCATAAGCTCCTAGACATCACGTATGCGTAAGTTATCAATTTGTTTCTTGTCCTTTTAGCATGTTAAACAGAATTTGACTAATGGGCTTTAGAATGAGCTATTTAGTAGACAAATACCAACTATAGGCTGATGAATTGGTTGACAATGGTTAAACAAAGCAACTAGTTACTTCTGGCAAAGCTTCTAGAAGGCCGATCATTACATAGAGAGATCCATATACCAGTCATGAGCTATTGCTCATATGCTTAGGATAAAAATGATTCATTTCCTGCTTAGTATCTCTTCTTATTTCTGTAGATTTTAGCTATTTTTCTTTCCTTCAGAATGTTAAGTATCTAAGAAAAAGAATGGAAATACATGCTGATAAAATGATAAGCTTTTCTCTTCCATTGAATTTCTTCTGTAAAGAAAATCATGTGATCTAACAATTCTCTGACGATTGTTTCTTTCAGTCAGTTGGAAAATCACTTGTGTAGTTTAACTTACTTTTAAATTGCCTTCATCTTCAAAGGTAACTGTTGCTGGTTATAATCACAAATTGAGGACCTTGCTGGATGCTGTCATTGGAAAAATTGCCAAATTTTATGTGAATCCTGAGAGGTTTGCTGTGATCAAGGTAATAATTTGGAATATTTTCAAGTGATTTCAGCTTTCTGTATGGAAAAATTGCTGAAGTTTCTTCTGCTTCAACTGGTATTGGGTCTTAGGCCTTCTTCCTCCAATAAATTGATACAGAATTTTAAAATTTCAGTTTATCCAAAAATAAATAAGAGTGCAATAACCAAAATTGTTTTTTCACCCTCTGATTTAGATCTTGGTGTAATGTTATATTATTATCTTGAATTGTCTAGGATCTAAGGTGATTTCCTTTCTCTCAAAATCCTGCCTAAGATGTGAAATTTTGAATAAAAACCTTGAGCAGTGTATAATATTGTTATTGACAAACTATAAATTTTTAAACAGGAAAAGTTAATAAAGAATTATGAAAATCTCAAGTTTGAACAACCCAACGAGCAAGCTACACATTATTCCTCATTACTGCTGTTGGAGCAGAAATGGCCTTGGACGGAAAAACTGGAAGCACTTCGTCATCTTGAAGCTGAAGATCTTGCAAAATTTACTCCCATGATGTTGTCAAGGGCCTTCCTAGAGTGCTATATAGCAGGTCTTTTAAGTCTTCATTACTTTCTCAATATAGTGAGAATAGGGCCACCCTATGATTCTTGTTTTTAATTTATTATCCATTTATTGTTTGTAGATTTAATGTGGGAAAATATTTTTCTGTATTTGATTCATCAATAGGGACACATATATATACACATACAAGATACTATAAACCTATTATCCTAAATAGAGTTCTATTTTACAACTCCTAGAGTTCTATTTACAACTAATCCTTAACACTCCCCCTCAAGTTGGATCATAGATATTAATCATGCCTAACTTGTTACAAAGATAGTCAACTCGGGGTCCATTTAGAGCTTTTGTAAAGATATCCCCTAACTGTTCACTTGTTTTAACGTGTCCTGTAGAGATAACACCCTATTGTATCTTTTCATGAATGAAATGACAATCAATCTAGATATGTTTTGTTCGTTCATGGAATACTGGATTTGATGCAATGTGAAGAGCAACTTGATTATCGCACCATAACTTTGCAGGCAAGGATGACTTGAAGCCAATTTCCTCTAACAACTGACGAATCCAAATTAATTCACAAGCAGATTGTGCCATAGCTCGCCAGCACTCGATCATGAGACAACATTTTGTTTCTTGCTCGTCCATGATATCAAGTTTCCACCTACAAAGACACAATATCCTGAAGTTGATCTTCTATCAACCTTCGAACCTGCCCAATTCTTCTTATCAACCTTCGAACCACTGCCCAATCCCGCATCTGAAAAACATGGTTCAATGTTCCAAATGCTATGATTACTTAACAGGCCACGACCTGGATTTACTTTCAAGTAGCACAAATCTGTCCCAAAGCTTTCCCAATGGGTAAACAGTAGGAGAAGACATAACTGGCTCAGACCGCTCACTAGAGTAAGATATCTGGACGTGTTACGGTAAAGAAATTAATTCATTTTTTTTGCCACACTACCTTCTATATACATTGGATCATCAAATTAGCTCATCAATGAAAGTTGCATATTTGGAGTCATTGGAGCACTGCATGCTGGCACAACTTTCCAGTTTCCTTCAGTAAGTCAGGAATACTTTCTTTGAAAAGAAGATGCCGTCTCTTACACTAGTACTTCAAATACCAAAAATACTCAACAAAGCCTAAGTCTTTTTGTCTGGAACTGGGTCCTGGAGAAAATGATTTGAGTGTGTATGCCGCTGAATCACTCCCTGTAAAATAACAATGCGTCCATCAAACATAACCACAAGTAGAATCAAAACCCACGTCTTAGTACTTCTGAAAAATACAGAATGATCAGAGTCTCTGTTCTGCATGTCAAATTGATGTACACATTGCAAAATCTACCAATACCAAGCTCGAGGACTCTGTTTTTTAGGCCATAAAGAAGATTTTTCGAAGTTTACACACTTTACCCGACTCCCCCTGAGCAACAAAGCCTGGTGGTTGCTCTATGTAAACTTCCCTCCTGAAGATCCCAATGAGAAAAGGGCCATTCTTCACGTACCAGCTTGATGTAAGGCCAGTCAAGAAGTAGCCTGCTAAGAATAAATAAACGAACAGAAGACCAATTTGGCAACAGGAGAAAAAGTATCAGAATAAATTCAAGGCCATAGAATCTGAGAAATAACCCTTTGCAACTAATCGAGCCTGAGACGAGCAACAGTTGTCCCATCAGGATTCACTTTAACGGTGAAAACCTTACAACCAATAGCTTTCTTACATGCCCGGGAGAGGCACAAGATCCCAAGTACCATTTGTATCTAAGGCAGCCATCTCCTTTTTCCATTGCTGCACACCAAATCATAAACTAATTAGGAAATCTGTAGTTGGGGATCATTATTAACAAAACTAAACACCCTACCAGCACCCAGAAAGAGATAACCAAAAAAAAAGCCTTTCAAAAGCAAACAGGAGCAAACAGTAACCTGAAAACGCCAAATTGACAAAAACTGAGAACGCCCCTACCAAAACTTCGCCGGATCGGAAAAAACAACCACCTGAGTAGATTGCTGAAGTTGAAACGAAGCCAGATCGCCGGAAATAGCCGGACGCGCCGCCACGCGCCGGCGCGTGGTACTGTAGCAGAAACACAAAAGCGGCGCGTGGGGCCCACGCGCAGCGAATCCGGTGACCGAATTTGGAGGGAACGCCGATCGGCAGCTGGGGAACCTTCTGAGGTAGGTGGTGAGACAAAACGGTGACCCTAGAACTGTCACCAAGACCGACAGCCGCTGGACAGCCGCTGGAATTTCAACGCAAACGGAAAAAAAAAGGTTTAACGAGCCAAAGGCTCTGATACCATGCAGATTTAATGTGGGAAAATATTTTTCTGTGTTTGATTCATCAATAGGGACACATATAACATACAAGATACTATAAACCTATTAAGAATCTAACTCCTAATAGAGTTCTATTTACAACTCCTAATAGAGTTCTATTTACAACTAATCCTTAACATTGTTATTCATTTTCAGGAAACATTGAATGCAGTGAGGCAGTGTCTATTATTCAATATGTTGAAGATGCTCTGTTCAAGGATGAAAAACCTATATGCCATCCTTTATTCCCATCTCAGCATTTGACTAATAGGGTTGTCAAGCTTGAAAGGGGCACAAGTTACTTCTACCGTGTCAAAGGCTTAAATCCAAGCAATGAGAACTCTGCTCTAGTGCATTATATTCGCTCTAGTGCATTATATTCAGGTAACTACATTTGTTAACAACAGTCTTTTCTGGTTCAATTGGTTTGTCTTTTTGTCCCTGCTAAAAACCATTTGTTCTATACAACTTGTAATATGGAGTTGGGCAGACTTGTCGATTTTGTTGGTGCCATTATTCTTCACATTTTGTTCAGTATCTCTATTAAAGGAATTCATGGGTCAACATCTATGGAAAACAAGAACAGTCATTTATTGCTATTATGTTTATGAAGTCATTTGATTGGACTAAAAGAACTTACTTTTGTGGAGATCTTATTCAACTTCTGAATCCATTTAATTTGATTATCTAGGTTCATCAAGATGAATTTACGCTGAATGTAAAACTTCAGCTTTTCACTCTTATTGCAAAGCAAGCTGCCTTCCACCAGCTGAGAACAGTTGAGCAACTGGGGTACATTACTACTCTCAGAGAGAGGTACGCAAAAACTTGTTGACCCTAAAACCATTTCATCCACTTGGAATGCCTACAAATATAGTTGAACTTATCTAACTGTGCAGGAAAGATTTTGGCATTCGAGGAATAGAGTTTATCATTCAATCCACAGTACAGGTATTGAACTTTTTTTTTTCTTTTTGTGTTAATTTCAGTTGTATTCTATTTAATCATGATAAACTGGCAGGGTCCTGGACATATTGATTTGAGGATTGAGGCATTCCTCAGGATATTTGAAAATAAAATTTATGAGATGACTGATGATGAATTCAAGGATGAATTCAAGGTGAGATTAGTTTCATAAGAGGTTAACTATGTTTCTCTTCATGCTTATTTGATCTTTATCGTGAACTACACAAATATGGCAATTTTATACATGACATAGTTGCTTGAAATTATCACAACATGAATTTATCAAGTCCAAATATTGTCGGAACATGTTTAGGGAAATTATACTAGGACAAGTGTCACAATAGTCTTTTTCTATTAATGGGGTTCAACTCTACTCTAAGATGTCCTCGTAAAGGCCATTTGAATTGGCAAGTTGCTGCCATGCATGTACTAATATTAGTTTTAGAGACTGCCGTCATTATCACAACTGTTATACAGTTTATCATTTAGGGTTCCCTCATTTAGTCTCCTACTATTTTCTGAGAACAACTACTTGGTATGTATAAAATTTAGCATTATACATACTGATAAACTACAGAATTATCCGCAAATTTAATTTTGAAAGGGTTATGCATTCCAGCTACTCATTGTAAAACTACTGATAAACTCGCTGTTGTGCAGAGCAATATTAAGGCTTTGATTGAAGTGAAGCTTGAAAAGCACAAGAATATATGGGAAGAATCTGCATTTTATTGCCGAGAGATTACTGTTGGGACTCTCAAGTTCGATCGCAGAGAATGCGAGGTATGAATATCATTCATTTCATATTTATTTTGACATAAATTATCCAAATCAGCTAAGCTTGCTCGCAAACTAGTTGAGATTCAGTGTGTCGATTATCGATCCATTTCCTTTATTCTACCTGTTTTATGTTTATATATTTAGAAAAAACATCATGTGTCACTCAAGTCCTTTCGAACTAGTGTCCTCTATGTCATTTTAGGTCTGCTCCTACTGCTTCAAAATGGTCAATTTTTCTTGCAAATATATTAATTTGTTGTTTGTATTTTCATAAAAACCGTTATAACATTCTAATGAATGACATGAAAACAGGTCATGGCACTAAAGCAGCTCACAAAACAAGAATTTATAGATTTCTTCAACGAGTACATAAGAATCGGTGCACCTAACAAGAGGACGTTGAGCATTGGTGTTTATGGGAAGCTACATTCACTCGAAAACACTTCAGAAGAAGGTGAGCCATCTCAATCCAACAAGGTTCAAATAGATGATATTTTTAGTTTCAGAAGATCACAACCTCTTTACAGTTCATTCACAAGATAATTTATTTGGTCCAACGAATTTGTAAGGGTATACCTTATTTGTTTAACTGCAAACTATTCTATTTTAAGAATATAAATTATTGCAACATTGAACTATTTCACGAATTCAAGTGAAATGAACTACGTAGGAAAATTATGAATTCCTTTGAAGGATTTTCTTTGGGGTGTAATAAGTTATAAGTGTATACTTTATTACAACATGGGAGCCAAATGCATAAATTTTGACACTTCAATTTTATTAGAAGAATCCTCTTATCTTTTTAATTTGACTGTTAAATATTTCTGAGTTATAAAATTATATTTATTGAACATTTTAAACTCCGAATAAGCAATCTTAATAGTCTCAAGAGTCTTGTGGCCGATGAGAAGGATGTTGAGGAGAGAAATTTTTTTTTTTTTTTTAAATGTCGAGATAATTTTAATAATATCAAGACATTTGTTTTTGTTAATTTGGCTATAATTGGAGTTTGAATTTGCCACGTCATGCTCTAAAATCATTAAAATTATTTTTTACTTTTGTAATAGAATAAAAATCTAATTTTGAATTTGGAGGACGTTTGATTGTCAAAATCTAAGCTATTTGGAAAAGTAATACTACATTCGACTAAAAAAAATAGTTCATTTTCTATTCATATAGATTAAAAAATATGATTAAAGGATAATTTTATTCATATAATTTTTTTACTATGCTCATTTTAAATAACACATGAGTACTGAAATAATAATTAATAATTAATGAGGATTATTGAAAATAAAGTAATTTAATAAGGATATAGTAGACAATTTAATGATCAATTACAATGAAAAAAAGTAAAGTGAAGTATATTTTGTGACAAACCAAAAAGGAAAGATTTTTTTTTTTTGGTACGAAAAGAGTATATTTTGTGGTATAAAAATTCAACATTTCAAAAAAGAATTCAATTAATGAATATGTGATTCCTATATCTACTTTTCCATCTTGAAGGTGGGGAAAATTGATTTCTAATAAAAAAAATCAGATAGTTTAAAATATATAATAACGTTAATTTCTAGTCATAAAATATTTAGTTAAATATGACATTTTAGTAATGTTATTACCTACTCTAAAAAAAAAAAAAAAAAAAAAAAAAAAACATGTTATTTCGAATGGTCAAAATTACACTACTCCAAACGCAAGAATTGGACTATCAAACACAAGTACCAAGCACTTTATTTTTTTCATTTTACAGTTTCATTTTAGAAAATTATATTTTTATCCAAACATATGATAATTCAAATATATTTTAGAAAATTATTATCATCCAAACACATGATAATTCAATATTTTTATAATTGCTTTCTAAAAATCTATTTTTCATAAAATGATTAAATTCTGGTAATTAAAAACTCCCTTCAAACAAATCTTTTTCCTCTATTGAAATGAATATTTCTATATCTGTCAATAATCTTAATAAACCAATCAGACGGCCAATGAACCAAATTGGATGTCAAAGGTCAATGAACCTAATTAACCAATGAAAAGCCAGTATTATTATTATTATTATTATTCAAATGTAATAATGTGCAGGAGTATATGCTATATTGATACAAAGAATATCTTACCCCTCTTACATGATGAACTCCATTTGATTTAAGAAAATTTTAAATACTCCCTCTCTAAGTAGGTAAACGTCCCTCTCATCTATAAATATAAGCTTATGTAAATTTTTATGAATTTATAGTATTTTTAATTTTTATATTGATCTGTTAAATATTGTAGTTTATAAAATTAGACATATTAAATAATTTTCACGAAAAAATTAATTATTTAAATTAATTCAAATAAAATTATACAATTCGTGTATTTATTCTTTTATATTTTTTATATTATATTATAGGTGTCCTCAATCCATTAAATTAAAATTAATTATGCTCATGACACGTCAAACTCTAAAAGGGAAGCCTTTTTAGTGGAAATTTACATTTCACCTTGTTCATATTTTTTTAATATTAGAACACTTGAATTATTGTTTAAATAATTTCCTTTATTTTATATACTAGTTCTTACCTTTTGTTTATTTTATATAAAATTTAATTTTTTTTGAATTTTCGAATATAAAGATATAGATAATTACGTACTATTAACTAAATTTATAAAATCTTCTTCAAAAAAAAATTCAAAAATCACAAAATCATTATTTTAATTACAAACATGTAAACAAACCAGTCGAGTCATCTTCCCTTTGTCCAGTTCCTCCTAGTCAACGTCGTTGTTCTTAGTCTCCGATTGACTTCCACAATGCTGCCTGATACTTTTATAAATCACCATAATCTAAGATCAGAGAGCAAAGACTCGCGTTTACTTACTCTTATTAATTTCCCGTCCCGCGTTTCCCTCTCTGCAAAGCAACAGCTGAAATGGCGGTGGAGGAAGTGGAGATAGTGAAGCCGCGTAATGATAAGAGAGAGTATCGGCGGATCGTCCTTAAAAACTCGCTTGAGGTTCTCCTCATTAGCGATCCCGATACCGATAAGGTACTGCTGCATTTTTGAGTTTCCAAATTCAATTTAATCAATCGACTTCGTTTTTTTTTTTTTTTCTTAACAGAAATCGTTTCTTTCTCTTACCGGTTAAATTTTGTTCAGTGTTCTGCTTCAATGGATGTTGGCGTTGGTTACTTCAGCGATCCTGTTGGACTTGAAGGACTTGCCCATTTTCTCGGTACTTGAATTTTCACTTTCTTGTTCAACTCTGAATAGCCATAGCCATAGCTTATATTTTATTTTATTTTGTTTCTATTTCGATCACATGGCCAACTGTTACGTTTACCCATGCATTGGCTGGACTTGGCACTTTCTCGGTTTGGGTCAAATGGGTCAATTGGTTTGGGTCAAATCGGTCAATTGGTTTGGGTCAGCGTCATTATTGATGCCCTTTTTGGTGTGGTTTGGTCTATCCACTTCGGGTCATCTTAAAACAGAGTGTCCACTGTCAAGTGAATATGTAGATTTAGGGTCTATTCAATGATACTAGTTGATTTAATAGATGTTTTGATTGACAATAAATTTAAAATGATATGAAAATATTCTCTTAGAATTTTCAATTAAATTCATTATAAAAATGATTTCCCTATATCTAGATTTTTAAAATGTAAGAGAGTAAAAATTGAAAAATTCACTATTTTATAAATAAAATGGGAAATTTTTTATATTTAAGGGATAAACATTTTTTATTTTTAATATTTATTGGGGTTTAAATACAAATATATCAATAAAATTTTTTTTTCTTTTACTATTAAATATAAATAAGCCAAACATAAAGATAATAAAATATGCAATACGATAAGAGAAGGATTTTATATTAATTACACTAAATGTTAGCTAAGATAAGATTTTAGAAAACATTTTATAGACCTCTGAAAGCTATTTTATATATCAATGGATTTTAGAAAACACTCTATAGACATCTGAAAGTTACTTTATATATCAATTTACGAACACAATCATGTAGAGAAATAGTGTTTTGACTAGTTCAAAATACTAAATGCTACTCTAAATGCCATTACCGAACACGCTTTAAAAAAAAAAAAAAAAATCAAAGTGATAGAATTTTCGTTGAGGTCTGATCGATTAGAGTCCCTAACAATATTGTATTTTTTCCTTAATAATAACAACACCTATGCATTTAGCACGTGCATTACTTGTATGTATATATTCATATTAGTATGTTATAATAAATTTAAATATTAAATAATAATCATAATATACTTAAAAATGCTTAACTATTTACTTCTTTTTATTTTTCGGTAAAATGAAACTATGAAAGTATAATTGTTGTGCAAAAATAGTCTTATTAAATGAAGAATATTTAATAATGCTGTGGGAATTTTTTTTCCAATGAGCAATCAAAATTAAAGAAATTTTGGTAGTATAATTTTATTAGTCTTAAAAATTTTTAAGGTTAATTAGGTTTAGTAGTTTGCTTTAAAGTTATATTTGCAATATTAAATAGATACAAACAATAAAATAAATTTAATGATGATAATAGAAAAAAAAAAGTTAAGAAAAACAAAAATTATTAATCTTTTATTGCACATGGTAAAATTTGGGAGGCGATTTACATCATTCTATATTTTTCATCATCCATAAATTTCTGGAAAATAAACTCCACGCACAAGTGAAAATACTTATTCATTCCTAATCTAATATATTATGTGAACCGAACCTTAACTAAGTGAACCACAGTTGGTAATAACCCAGAAAAATTCTATTATAAGTTTTACTTAAAATTAGTTGTTATTTAGCATATATTGCTATGTATTTGCGCTTGTCTTTTGATTTTCTAATTTAATAATTTTTTTGCAGAACATATGTTGTTTTATGCTAGTGAAAAATATCCATTGGAGGATAGTTATTCGAAGTACATAACTGAGGTATACATTAATTTTTTTTAATAAGGATTTTGATATATGCATTGTCTAGTTGCAATTGTGCTTATAATTTGAATATTGAATATCAGCTGGCGTGATATGACATTTTTTTCATTGCATGTTATAAAGTAGGTCGAGCTCTCTTAAGTATGCTATTTGGGCATTTCAGTAAAATGTCAATTGCTATAAATGAGGGGGATTCAATAAAGATAGGCTAAAATGGTATGAATTAACTAAAGGCAATTTAACAACAAGGATAATGGCAATTAGGAGGCCACAATCCTGGATGGTGCGGAACCTACAAAATATGAACTAATAATGTATAAGTCAGACTTTTGAATGCTCTGGTTTCTGTTTGGTCTTGACATGACTCACATGAGACAGATGTTGAGAGTAAGAATCCTGCATAAGAAAAAAGGAATGCCTTGAATAGCATTGTATGAACCTTTCCAGTTTCCACCTACTAGCTCCAAATTTTTTAGTTGGCTGCTTTATTCCTGAAAAATGTACTTCTAGACGTCACTTGTAATCCCTGAATGCAGATAGCAAATGAACTATAAACGGTATTTACTTAGAGATAAGGAGCTATAAATTTTCTTTAGTTGTCTAAAATCCTTCCTCTCTCTCTCTCTCTCTCTCTCTAAAACACACACATCTCATCAACATTTGTTTTTCAGATGATGTTTGCTCATGTTATTTGTTTTTGTTGGACATTCTGTATGAAAGAAGTGTTTAATTTGAAGGAGAGATTGTAAATAGTGCAATAGACAGTTTGAGCTACTTTGTTTCAGGATCCTTCTAATCTAATTTCAGTGTAAATAGCCAGTCTTTGTTCTTGATAGGAACAAGCTGGCAATGTAATATTGCTACTTATTACTCATAATATCTAAACTCTATTGTCTTTGCTCTATCTTCTTACAATGTAATAGCATGGAGGGCGGTGCAATGCTTATACGACTTCTGATCATACCAACTATATCTTTGATGTTAATGCTGACAATTTTGAAGAGGCTTTGGACAGGTAATTCATTAAAAAAAATAAAGAATGATGTATTTTCTTTTTCTGCTAGCAGCTAGTTTGCTACAGCAGTTCAGTATTAACCTTAAACTTTATGGATATTGGGCTTTGCCTCTGATTACGATTCAGGTTTGCACAGTTCTTTATCAGACCATTGTTATCAGCTGACGCAACCATGAGGGAAATCAAAGCTGTTGATTCTGGTAAGCTGTTTGGCTGAGCCCTCAACTCCTTTATCAGTACTCTTCGTTTTTCTTTTTTTTTTTTTTTTTTTTTTTTGCTGAGCCCTCAACTCCTTTATCAGTATCTTCGTTTTTCTTTTTTTTTTTTTTTTTTTTTTTTTTTTTTTTTTTTTTGTCCTTTTCAATGAAGTTACTACTGATAATTACTCTCTCTCTGTCATATATAGAGAATCAGAAAAATTTATTGTCTGATGGCTGGAGAATGCACCAGGTCTGTGTCAGCTACTTTCCTTGCCTTCTGAACTATGGCCATTTTATACTTTGTAGGATTTTGGGATGTCCCGATTCTCCTATAATACAACTGTTTTAAGGATAGATGAAATGGATATAAGGATGTGGCAAAGAGGATTACTTGAATTCTGAAACTAAATCCTATTCCTAGACTTTTTTTTTTTTTTTTTTTTTTTTTTTTGGGTGGATTATTCTTCCTTGATTTATATATCTCTAGTAATTAAGTTCTTATTACAGAATAAATTTTTTTTTTTTTTTTTTGGGTGGATTATTTTCCTTGATTTATATATCTCTAGAATTAAGTTCTTATTACAGTAATAAATTTTTCCTTAACCACTTCGGTCCACTAGATCTTTGGTCATGACTCATCCTCAAAGCTGCTGCCTCCAACTTCTTATGGATGTGAACGTTTCTTTATCAATCTCTCAACTTATTTATGCTCATTTTATGAAATCTAATAAAAGAGGAATGAGATGAAAAGGGAAAACAGAATTTTTATTGGAGGAATGAGTTTTGATAAAAAAATTTTCTATTTTGGATGTGAAGATTCTTGTTACTTCTTCAATACTCTATTCCGTTTATGAGCAGAGGCTTTCTTATGCAATTTCTTTATTACTATTATATCTGTAGCAAAAGGCTTTCTTGTGGCTTAGGTTTTATGTTTTCAATTATATTCGTTGACAATGCGTGGAATGTGGTTAGGAATTTAATGAAGGGTAAAATGAGGTCAGGTTTTTAGAAGTACATGTTCATGATACTGTTAATGCTTCTTATATTAAATCATAGAACCAATCATTTGCATGATATGTCTGAAATCACCTTATAGGTAGACAATCTCAAAATTATTCATCACTTGAGCATTGTAGCAGGAGGTAGTCCAACGCTTTGATCATTATTAGAATGAGGTGTTTAATCAGATGGCAAAAACTTGCATTATACACGTTACATAGGCATATTGTGGTGTTAAAATAGTACATAAATGCTCAAACAATTATAGGTCATAAACCTTTAGAAAATCGATATATACTCCGGTCTGTTCGTCGGTGATCAGTATGTTTGCTCATGTCAATTATGTGACTAATGTACTTATTTTTTTCCTTGAAACTGTTTAATCATGTACAGCTTCAGAAACATCTCAGTGATCATAACCACCCATATCATAAATTCAGTACAGGTAAGCGAATCACATGTGTATTTAGTTTTCAAGAACTTTTTATAAGCCGCCTGTCATTTATGCATCGTTTGCGGTTACTTTAGGTTTTGGATATCAATTTATTAAATATTATTGCCAAATTCTTTCTTCACTTTCCTTTCACCCAAACAATAGTTTCAGCTTATGGGGAAAACGTTGTCCTTTTATTAGTTAATAGCGCCTTATGATCTCGGAACATACTTATGGCTTCATGTTTATATTTTCTTTGGTTTGGAAAACCTTGCTTTGGTGACCAGAAAAAAAAAAGGAAAAAAAAAAAAAAAAATATAAGTCTGAAAAAAAAAAAAGGAAAAAAAAAAAAAAAGAATATAAGTCTGAGATCTATTTTGTTCAATGAACAGGGAACTGGGAGACTTTGGAAGTTCAACCAAAAGCAAAAGGGCTGGATACAAGACATGAGCTTCTTAAATTCTACAAGGAAAATTATTCTGCCAGCCTTATGCATTTGGTGGTATACACGAAAGGTTAGCATATCATTGTGCATAATATAATGGCCTCATTAATTATGTTCATAAATATGCATGATTCCTTTGGAGATTTTCAGAAAGCCTTGATGCTATTCAAATCGCTGTGGAGGACAAATTTCAAGAAATTCAAAGCAATAATAGAAGCTGTATTTTTTTTTCTGGTCATCCATGCATGTCTGAGCACTTGCAGGTATGCCTAGCATTGGCATGTTTTAAAAAACTGCAAGTACACATTATAAAATTATATTATATATATAGGAAAATGCATGCCACTTTCACTATTCATCGGAATAGTATTTTGACTATCTTACCCGTGATTATTCAACTTGTTGTAGTTTCAAGTTTCAACTGTCTACCTTCAATACTGTTTCAAATTGTTGGCCCACGTTAATGTTTATGTAACATGGAAAATTCTTCTCGAATTGTATAAACTGTGAATATTAGTTAACAAATAAATTTTTAAAAATCTAAAAAATATTTTTAACATCAAAAGCAAGAGAAATTAATTGAATAGTATCAAGTAAATTAGAAATATTTATATAAGAATAAATTATAAATTTGAACTTTTGATTACATATTTAATTTTTTGACAATTTTGTATCAAACGCCTTTTTGAAAATTACTACAATTATCCCATGAGTATTTTTTTTTTTTTTTTTTAAACCGCCTTTTTGACAAATTACTACCAATTATCCCATGGAGTATTTTTTTTTTTTTTTTCTCATACAATCTTTTAATAAATTAGTTATAAGATCATCAAATTTGTTTTTTTTTTTTTTTTTTCTCATACAATCTTTTAATAAATTAGTTATAGATCTCAAATTTTGTGTTTTATCTAGTTGAAAGAAATGTGGTTAATATGAATTTTTCATTTTAATTTTATAGAAGTGACTCAAATATAAATATATCTAAACTAAAATATACGTTTATCACTGACCAATCTTGTGAATATGATTGTAATCTTTCTAATAGTATGTCTTAGAATTTATCTAATTCATTTAGCATTATTTATTTTTAATTACTAAATTATTAATTGTCATTAGCATTTTTTTTTTTTTGACATGAAAAGGGATAATTTATTAATCAATAATAGCATCTGAGAGAATAGCACTCTCAATACACAAAGGAATACTATCCCAAATGTGAAAGTCAGCTTGATTACATGCTTCTCTAGCTAAGCTATGAGCAGCCATGTTTGCTTGCCTTTAAATCCAAGAAAGATTACCAATTCCCATTTGAACTTGACGCCATTGAATATCTGAAATGACTCTACCCCAGTCCAAAACATTAGCCGTATCACTACTGTGCTTGAATCATCAATAATAAATGAAAATATTTTAGAGTTGTTGAATTATTATTACTTCATACTAACTCTTTTGATTTGTTTTCCTCAGTTAGAGGAATTTTTAATAACTAAAATTTTAAAAATTTATGAGAAATAGAATTAAGCTAAGATATAATATAAACTTATAATAATAAAATGAATTTTTAACGCAAAAGAAATTGTGAGATCCTGCAGTTTAATTTGGGTAATTCTGCTCATAAAGAAAAAAATGCATATGTTGAAAGACGTCGTGACTTTATATGACTATTTTCTATACATTCATTCATTCAGTATTGCATTTATTTCAGATACTTGTCAAATCTGTCCCAATAGAAAAAGGTCACAAATTGAGAATTGTATGGCCTATAACTCCAAGCATTCTTCACTACAAGGAAGGGCCTTGCAATTATCTGAATTACCTTATTGGCCATGAAGGAGAAGGATCTTTGTTTTATGTCTTGAAAACATTAGGTGCGTCGACTCATTCTTTGCATGCTTTAGACTAGTAAATTTTTTTGACACGTGCCATCTGCATATCCTTTTTGATTGAGTTTGTTATGATTTTAGATTTCTTTGGATGTTCATATGGTCAGACTTTCTTTTATACGTTCTCAAGGAGCTTCATTTACTTTTCCAAAAGTTTGTCTATGTTATTAGAGCCTTGCATATAATTGTCCTATTAATTTATACATAGTAATTCTAAGAAAATGAGATAAGAAATAATAACCAATATTATTTTGCCTTCGAAATTGCAGCTTTGTTTTGTTATCTACATGTGGATCCATCTAGAATTGAATTTTACACTTTAGTTTAAAGATAAACAATAATGCTTTCATGTTTTGATATGATTATCTATGCATATATCCAAACTTCATTGTGCCTTGTACGATTATAAGCAAGACCTTCCACATTTCAAAATGTCTTGATTGACAAATTTTAAGTATGGGCTATGCAAAACTTCTCTAGTCTTCTATTTATATAATGATAACAAGAACATTTAATTCATGACATAAGATGGGTAGCCACATTAATAAATATCGTTTAACCCTTTTTCCAATATTGGATCATTTTCTTTTTTATGTAAGAATTTCCTTGCAATGAATAAAGGATGCTTAGAAATAACAAGAACAAAGATTTTGGATAGATAGATAATCGACCTCTTAACTCGTTAATAAACATTAAAAAGGAAGATCTTTGTAATAACTTTGTTGATTTTAGTTTTTTTTTTCTTCTGACAAAATATTACCCAAAAAAAATGTTGTAGGATGGGCTACAAGGTTGTTTGCAAGTGAAGAGGAATGGAATCAAGAGTTCTCTTTCTTTACAGTAACAATTGATCTTACAGATAATGGTCAAGGTTAGTTTGTTCATGTTTTCCCTTAGTTTCGTTTAACATGTCGATGACATAAAAGTATTTATATTAAAATTTACAAGGCTTTCTCGTAGCTTTTTTTGTTGGGCAGAATCCTTTACTTTTGAATATTGCTGGAGTTTGTATTTTTTTGGACCAAAATTAATTCTTGCTTTATGCAGAACATATGGGAGAGATCGTAGGGCTACTAGTCAAATATATTCAACTCTTACAACAATCTGGTATCTGCAAATGGATATTCGATGAGGTAAAAGAATGGTGTGCATCACATATTTATATTTACCTAAAGACTACTACTACCTAACATTGTTGAATACATGGAAACAACTACTTTTCACTAAATTAATATGTACTGAAAAGAGCTTGATTATCTAGTTTTTTATGATCTATGCTTTGTCATTAAGATTTTTAGAGGTAGTTTGCAAGGTTAAATTAATTGAGAACATATGATCAACTTTTTGGATAGTTCATTATGACATCTTTATGTTTGTCTATGCAAAAATAATGTTTATTTTCAAATTTATGGTCTAATTTTAAAATTAATTTATTTTGTATTTCTTTTGTGAATGGTTATTTTTATTGCATATTTGGTGAGAAATGTTTTCTACTACCTATAAGATTTTGAATAGTTTTTTTTTCTTTTCTTTTGATGAAGATTGCCAGAATTTCTGAGACAAAATTCCATTATCAAGACAAATATGCTCCAATCTATTATGCAATGAGAATCGCATCAAATATGAAGGTACATTTCATAAGCATGCATGCGTATACATATACTAAAATTTTCCATTTTCTGAGAGTAGACTATCTGAACTTTTTCCATTTGTTCATTTGGTTGTTATTTTCCTAAGTCACTTGAATTTTTGTAATGGGGTACATGTTGTACAAATATTGCTCTATTAGGGAAAAACATTCACAATAAACTTGTTTCTAGGAAATCATAGATTTTGCTTCCTCATTATATGCCTTTTGTGAGTAGCAAAGTAAGAATAAGTTACACATATTTCATCTTAGCTTTTGTGGTTGTATAACTTTTTGATATTGTGAAATGACTTGATCCATAGAGAGTCGAAAGATATTAAAATCTAGTAAATGTATGTGATACTTTCTTTCTCTTGTTACATTAAATAAAGAGAAAAATAACAAAGAAGAGATGCTTTACAATTCACCTCGTGTTCAAGATCATGATATTACGAAGTAACATGATGGGCAGTAATGTTATTTTGTATGGACATATAGCTCCCTCACATATCATTGAGAAGAAACAAAAAGTCCTCTGAATTGTTATCTTAAGCTAGTTATATATCATGTATCCACTATAAGAGCTTGTTTAGGACTCCTTACACCACAACAATTTCATTGATGAGGATTCCATGCCAGTTTTTAATTACCTTATTGGAGATAAGCCATCATAATCACATATGTAGTTAGATAAGATGAATTAACTGAAAATTATCTTCATTATTCCTTTGTATAGCATATTGTTCTATACAATTCAAAATTTGGAGCTCCTAATACCTGATGAGACCACAAGGACTTAGCTGAATCATGATTAATGGACACAGAGGAAACTTCTTACCTTTGGATCATATCTATCCTAACACACAATTTCAGCAGAAGAGTTTAAATGAAAATGAGTTATATGCCTAAGATGATCATAGATATTCATTTGATTTAAAATGTGGCACATAAATTGTTAGCAGACAGACTATTGATTCAATGGTTTGATCAATAAACCATGCTCTCATTAAAAGTTATCACAAATCATAACAGCTCATGTAAAGGGACCTTTCCTCCCATGCATGTCCACGTCCATATGTTGCATGTGTCTGTGTGCCTATCTGTTTGCATGTAGGAATATGTAGATTTCTGCTTGTAATAGAAAAAAAAGAGAGAACTTAATACATTCTCTTCTTGCGAGAGGCTGATGATACTTGTGCTTTGACTTTTTTCCTTTTCGAGTTGCAGTTATATCCTCCAAAAGATTGGCTAGTGCAATCCTCTATTCCTTCTAAATTCAACCCAAGTACAATCCAATCAGTATTGGATCAACTATCTCCAAATAATGTCAGGTATGTTTACCAGTGCTCCTAAAAGTTATAACTTTTTCTACCGGGGAATGAGAATTCTACATATTCATTGTTCTAAACCCTTCCCTTTTTATTAGCATCTATCTTTATGAAAAACTGCATTTTTTCCTGAGTTTGCTGTTTGTTTGGCTTGTATTCAGAGAGATTAAAGCTTAAAACTAGCCAAGAACGGTGACATGACTACACCAATGAGATGAAGAGCATAGGATAAATAAGTTGGATGATGAGCGGGGACTATTAATTAAGCCAAGTGATTAAGATAGTTAATAGTATTAGAAGTTTATTAATTGGTCCATAAACAAGAGAAGTATTTTCCATTAATACAAGAAACAACCAATTTTTCTCTGAAGATTCTCTTTCTTTCTTCTCTCTAATTATTATCTTCTATTGTCCCTCTCTTTCTCTTCCTTTCTCACTCGCCAAAATCCTAGCTAGGCTAGGGGTCATAACAAATGACTTCCTAGTCTGTACATAATGCTAGAATAATTACTGATATCATTGTTTCACTAAACATTCAGAAGATAGATGGAACAATATAATATCTCATAACCTAAACAATCCTCTGCTTTAGTGATTGCATTGGTGCTATAGACTTCAAAAGAACCAAAAGGTAACAAACTTATGGACCTTGATCTATGAGCAATATGTTTCTCATCTTTTTTCTGACTGGTATTTTTTACCTAAGTATTTTTTTTTCATTTCTTTTCTTTACCTAATGTTTCATGCTAGTTGATTGTGAAGGTGGTTTAGAGTTTCCTATGCCATTGGCAGTAAGACATTTTTTCACTTGGTTTGTCTTTGTATTACTGTAATTTTGGTTTCTGTGGTGAGAGATTATGCAACATGTTGGAATTTTGTTCTGTTACTGGGTGCTTCATGGCTTGTTTTTTTTATTTTACTAGCATTTTTTTGTATAGCTACTGTATTTGAAGAAGCAAGAATTAAGATGATCATTGATTTAAAAAAGATACTAATATTATATCCCAGATGTTCCTATATTCTTAAAATTGGCTTGACTCGAGTATCTTGAGGACCTGATGAACTATTCCATTTTCAAGTTGCATGCTCGTAAATTTGAGGCATTGTATCTTTCCTAATAATCCCTCTGTCCTGCAGAATCTTCTGGGAATCAAATAAGTTTGAAGGACAAACTGACATGGTTGAGCCATGGTACAAAACTGCATACAGCATTGAAAAAATTAATGATTCCACAGTTCAGGTATGTTCTTGGCATTTATTTGTTTGATATCATTATTAATTCAATTTGATGATAACAAAGTGCAGAAGTAATGGTAGGAGACTGGATGCACACATTAATTTGTTCTCATTTTATTCTTTTTATTGAATTAAGTAGTTCTTTGTCTCAAATTAGAGTTTTCTGTAAAAGGAAAAAAAAAAACTTGATAATGCTCACAAAGTTTTTGTTGCATTGCAGGAATGGATATCATCTGCCCCTAATGAAAATCTACATCTTCCAGAACCTAATTTATTCATCCCTAGTGACTTATCACTCAAAGATGCACAAGAGAAGGTTTGACGGAATGGTTTAATTATGTGATTTTTGATATTTTTGTAAATCTGTCACTAATGTGATTGACCTCTAAATCAGGCCAAATTCCCATCTTTAGTGAGAAAGTCAAGCCTTGCATCATTATGGTACAAGCCTGATACAATATTCTCCACACCCAAGGCATATATCAAGATAGATTTCAATTGCCCGCATGCCAAGAGCTCTCCTGAGTCTGAAGTTCTCTCTATCATTTTTACTCGGTTGTTGAAGGATTACTTGAATGAATATGGTAAGTATATCAAATTTCCTTCAATGAAGAAAAAGCTTGCATTTTTATTGCCTTATTCCTTTACCTTCCTAATTACTATTTGACAAGAGCTGTGGAGAATGTCAGTGTAATTGAATTTGCTTCTACTTTCCCAACTTTGGCTTCCTTCTTTTAATATTTCTGTGGTGGTATTTAATTTTCTTCTTGTTAGTTAAAATGTTCTACTCATTTCAGCTTATTCTGCACGTGTTGCTGGTCTATATTATTACATAAACATGGCAGAAAGTGGTTTCCAGGTACGTTTATTAAACTTTGTTGATTTGTAGTTGTCTGTCATGTATCCATGAAACAGAAATCGCATGCCTTCTTAATAACCACTAGAAATTAAGCTACTTTTTTTCTCTACAAATTTATGTTTCTCCAGGAGTAAACCAGCCCATAAAGATCTGAAGCTGATAATTTTCTGTATTTTATGATTTAAAATAGAGTAGCCTGAGATTTTATAGAGTTCTTATTATCTTTATGCAAGTAACTTTCACAAAAGGACTTCAATGATGAAACAATTTACAGGAAATGAATCATTCCTTTTCCTACCATTTATCTTGAGACCTAAAACAAATTCGATATTTTAATTTTCAGTTTCACTTCTCAAACCTGTTAGTCAAGTTCATCTCTCTACTTTTCATATGTATCATCATTGTACAAATCCAACCTACCTGTGCTATGAAGATTTATCTCTTTTAGCACTCCTAGCTTCTTCAACTTTATCACAGTCAGTAAAAATTAATAGCTTTTGATGATTAATCACTAAGTATTCATTCTATCCCATTACTTGAAGTATCATAGCCAATTTTCTTTAGTTTTCCCCTCCTCTAATTAAATAACTTTTTCAGTTTTCAGTTTCATTTATTCATTTCTTCAACGTAATGGAGAAGTCCCCATTCCCCCATTATATGCTGAGGGAATATCAAAGTAGTTACTTCTTTCAATCACTGAAGCAAAAAGATTAGAGAAGCAACAACAATAAGCAAATTAGATTTGTTGATCAAATAACTCAATTAAGGAAATTATGTCCAGACACACATTACTCGTACGCTTATGAACATAGTGTATGCATAAATTATCAACTTGTTCCTTCACCCTTTAGCATGTCCAACAGAATCTATAAGGCTTCACCTTGAGCTATGTTAGTGGAAAAATACCAACAATTGGTAGACAGAGATTTAATAATGAAATTCACGAACATTGGAGTGCATATCATAATAATGATTCTTCTTCCTGCTTAGCTGGGGGTGGAAGATCTTCTCACTTTTGTTGTATTTAGCTATTTTTCTTTCCTTTATAATGTTGAAATATCAAGAAAAAACAAGAAATACAAGCTCATATATCACAATTTTTTTTCTTCCATTGAATTTCTTCTAGAAAATCTTGCGATCTAAAGTTCTCCAGCTGTTGTTTCTTTCACTCAGCATTAACACCACTCATGTAGTTTAACTTACTTTTAAATTGCCTTCATCTTCAAAGGTAACTGTTGCTGGTTATAATGACAAATTGAAGACCTTGTTGGAAGCTGTCATTGGAAAAATTGCGAAATTTTATGTGAATCTTGAAAGGTTTGCTGTGATTAAGGTAATAATTTAGGATATTCTCAAATGGTTTCATCTTCCTCTGCACAAAAATTGCTGAATTTTCTTCTGATAATACTATAAATATGCTTCTGATTAAACTGGTTTCGGGTCTTAAGCCTTCTTCATCATCAACTGATGGATATATTATTTTAAAATTTCAATTTGCCAAAAAAAAGAGTGCAATATCCAAAATTCATTTTGCCCCCCTTTGATTTAGATTTGGCACAATCTTTTTTTATTGTCTTGGATTGTCTAGGATCTAAGGTGATTTCCTTTTTAAAATCGAGCCTAAGATGTGAAATTTTGAATACACTTCTTGAACAGTTTATAAATTGTTTTGACAACATATATTTTTTATCAGGAAAAGTTAGTGAAGGAGTACGAAAATAAAAAATTTCAACAACCCCACCACCATGCTACATATTATTGCTCATTACTACTGTCAGAGCAGAAATGGCCTTGGATGGAAAAACTGGAAGCGCTTCCTCATCTTGACGCTGAAGATCTAGCCAAATTTACTCCCGTGATGTTGTCAAGGGCCTTCTTGGAGTGCTATATAGCAGGTCTTCTAGTCTTCATTCTTTCTTAATAGTGATGCTAGGATCAGTCTATGATTCCTGTCTTTAATTGATTTATCAAATTATTGCCATTCATTTTCAGGCAACATTGAATGCAGTGAGGCAGTGTCAATTGTTCAATATGTTGAAGATGTTTTCTTCAAGGGTGAAAACCCTATATGCCAACCTTTATTCCCATCTCAGTATTTGACTAATAGGGTTGTCAAGCTTGAGAGGGGCACAAGTTACTTCTACCCTATTAAAGGCTTAAATCCAAGCAATGAGAATTCCGCTCTAGTGCATTATATTCAGGTAACTACAGTTGTTAATACCAGTCTTTTCTGGTTCCATCACTTTTCCCTTTTGTCTTTACTAGAAATCATTTTGTTCATTAAAGAATATGTCCTATATAACTTGTATGTGGAGTTAGGCAGACTTGTTGGTTTTGTTGTTGCTATTGTTCTTCACAGTTCGTTTGGTATCTCTACTAAAGGAATTAACAGGTCAATGTCTGTTGATAATAAAACCTGTTATCTATTCCTATGAGGTTAATCAAGTTACTCGATTGGATTAAAAGAAATTATTTTTGTGGAGATCAGTTTCAATTTCTGAACCCATTTAATTGATTACTAGGTTCATCAAGATGAATTTATGCTGAATGTAAAACTTCAGCTTTTCACTCTTATTGCAAAGCAAGCTGCCTTCCACCAGCTAAGATCTGTTGAACAACTTGGGTACATTACTATTCTCAAAGAGAGGTATGGAAAAATTTGTTGACCGTAAAACATTTCATCACACTTGCAATACCTACAAATAAAGTTGAACTTACCAAACTATGCAGGAAAGATTATGGTATTCGTGGAATTGAGTTTATCATTCAATCTACTGTACAGGTATGGAACAACTTCTTTTTGTGTTGATTTCAGTTATATTCAATTTGATGTTGATAAACTGGACAGGGTCCTGGACATATTGATTTGAGGGTTGAGGCATTCCTCAAGATGTTCGAAAATAAAATTTTTCTAATGACAGATGATGAATTCAAGGTGAGATTAGTTTCATAATAGATTAACTATGTTTCTCTGCGTGTTTATTTGAACCTCATTGTGAACTAAATAAGTATGGCAATTTTGGACATGACATGTTTGCTTGACATGATCACAACATGAGTTTATCAAAGTCCAATGTAGCCCGATCATGTCTGGAGAAATTATTTAGGACTAGTTTGTGTTGTCGTATGTTGGGATATAAAACCAAAGTAAGCATCATTATCAAAACAAACTTGATCTCCAGCTGGAGTTGCCACCTGGACCAACCATTTGCTTGACAATAGTCATTTTTATTCTTGAGGTTCAATAAACTCTAAAATGTCCTTGTGATGGCTCATTTTAATTGGCAATAATAGTAGTTTTTAGAGACTGTTGAAGTTATCACAACCGTTATACAATCTAACAATTTAGCTTTCTCTCATTTAGTGCCCTAACTTTTCTCTAGATCAACCCACTTAATATGTACAAGGTTCAGCGGCCAGCACTTAAGGAATTGCCTGTATTCCTTTTAACAATTCATCTGGTCTCTGAGAATTGTAATTTGTAAACTATGAACATTTGGAGCAATTGTCTAATGGCTTGGGAATATAGTTATTACTAGCTGATTAGCAATGTATGCTTTGTCATTAATTTGGTAGTTGAGCAAATATTTATAGGTACCTGGCTTGTTCAACAGAGTTTTGGCCATCGATTTTACTACAACAATTGGCCAATACTAGCAAACGACATATTATTTTTGTCTCTTTGTTATCACCACCAATTTGCTTTGACGCATTATGATTGCAACTGCACCTTTCTAGTGAATTATCCCCAATTTTAATTTTGAAAGGGTTACCCATTGCAGCTACTCATTGTAAAACTACTGATAAACTGGCTGTCATGCAGAGCAATATTAAGGCTTTGATCGATGTGAAACTTGAAAAGCACAAGAATATATGGGAAGAATCTGCATTTTATTGCCAAGAGATTTCCGTTGGAACTCTCAAGTTCGATCGCAGAGAATGTGAGGTATGAATATGTCATTCAATTCATATTTATTTTGACCCAAAATATCCAAATCATCTAAGCTTGCTCGCAAACTAGTTGAGATTCAGTGTGTTGCAAATATATTAATTTCTTGTTTGTATTTTCATAAAAACCATTATAACATTGTAATGAATGGCATGAAAACAGGTCATGGCACTAAAGCAGCTCACAAAACAAGATTTTATAGATTTCTTCAACGAATACATAAGAATCGGTGCACCTAACAAGAGGACATTGAGCATAGGTGTATATGGGAAGCTACATTCACTTGAAAACACATCAGATGAAGGTGAGCCAGCTCATTCCAACAAGGTTCAGATAGACGATATTTTTAGTTTCAGAAGATCACAACCTCTATACAGTTCATTCAAAGGAAGATTTGTTCCGACAAAGTTGTAAACCATTCAACCACATTGAACTATTGAAGGACTTGAGAGAAATGAACTACATAGGAAAATCATGAATTCCAGAAAAATTTCCGTTGGGGTGTAATAATTGGGTATATTATTATAATAAAAGGGTCCAAAAACATAAATTGATACCTGAACTTTACGGGAAAACTTTTCCTTGTTGATCAGTTGATCGTTTTAAACTACTGTACTACTGTGGATGTCGAAATAGACTTTAAGTATTTCTCAGTTTCTCCAGAAATTACAGAATGGTTGAGGATTCTTCTAATAATTTTATTTATTTGGAGCAAAAGTTCTTTCTGTACCAAGAAGCATTAGGCATAGATGCAATCCCCATAACCTACAGATGAAAGGAAAAAAAAAACAAACATGTATAAGAAATAATTAGGACTGAACTCAGAAAAATTTTAGTATCAGGTAAAAACTAAAAAAATCCAACTATTTTCTGAAAACTTAATAGTTACAACCGAGCCCTTCCAGTATATATTATTTTATCCTAAATTTCGAAAGTTAATTGCAATCCTAACTGAAAAAACTGCAATTTTTTCTAAAGGATTTTTTTTTTTCCTTTTTGCAATTCAAGTTAAACATAAATATGATAATTAATCTTATATATATAACTTACTCGGATTAGTGAGGACAATGAGACCAGAATTCCTAAAATCACAATTCCATATGTTCCTTCCCTTGAATTGATAGTAGAGGTTCATGGCTATGGAGGCATGGTTCATCAAATTATCTGGAGTAGAGCAAGGACAACCCTTTTGCATAATTCTACAATCCACATGAGAGCATGCATAGTTAATATTTGCCAGTAGTGTTGCTTGGTCTGATGATGGTTTAGCCACACACCAAGTTTTCTGCAACGCAAATCACAAATTTCTACTGATCAAACAAGTTGATTTTATAAATTATCATTATGATTAAACAAAGTTGATTTGACTATACCTGTTCCGAAGAACTAGCCATACCCAAGTTTTCACCTGCAAAAATAATAATAAAAAAAAAAAAACTTTAAGCAACAATTTATATATGGGAAATTAAAAATCAAGGTCTAGTGAGTATTGGAGTTGTATCTAATGCTATAAGGTTATAAACATTCGAGTTTCAACCAGAACAACATTAACTGAACAAATTGAATTGAGATGATTTTGTAATAGAATTCTGTGTTCTCCAAGTAAGAAAATTGGGAAAATGGGTTTCAAATTCACCCTTAAAATAATCTATTAAAGTAGTTTTAATTTGCATTACTTAAACGACACGTAGTAACAAAAGAAACTCAAGATACTTGCACCGTCGTACAGAAAAGGGAAAGTTCAAAAAAGCATGAACAGTGATGGGATAATCATACCTGAAGTTAAGTACAAGAAGAGGAGCAAAACAAGGAGAGCTGCTTTGGCCATTGCTTTCTTTTCCAACGAACTGTACTTGTTCTGAAGAAAGCAACAATGGCTTTTTGATCTTTTCTGGGTTCTGTTCTGTTTTTGCAAGAAGAAAATGAAAAGTGGGTGCGACTTTATAATGCCCCTTGCTGCTGATAATGATAGTGTAAGTTGCTAACGGCTATATTTATTTCAGAGCCGTTACGGAGTGGAAATTTTTTGGGACGAAAAAGGCTAATCAAAAGACGGACTCGTGAATTTGTCGTTTTTTGCGTTTTGGCTGCAGTTGGTTACTTTTTCTCCTTCTTGCACACCCAAAGAGAAATTAAAGGAGGGAAAACATTTCATTCGTTTTGCTTGAATATAGGAAGGAGTGGGTGGAAGAGAAGTAAAGTTACTTTCTTTTGTTATTTATTTATTTTATCTATAATTCTATATTATTTCCCACGTGGATGTCCGGGTTATTTTTTTACTGTATATTATATTTTTAATTTTTAATTTATTTATAATTTATAAGTTGTTTAGTATATACAGTTTTATGTTCTATATAGACTTTTCAAAACTTGAAAAATTAAAAATGGTCACTTGAAAAGATATAAGTTGATATATATACTGAAGAAAAAAGAAAAATTTTCATATATATATATTGAATTTCACTTTTCTTTATCTTAATTAATCTAATCATAAAATAAAAGGATAAAATAAAAAATTCAAAAATTAAGTAGATAAATAATTATCTTAAGTAAATATTAATTTTTAAAATAAAATATATTACCAGTTTTGTTTCCCTATATTTAACCTTTTTCAAAACTTGAAAAAATTAAAAAATTGGTCCACTTGAAAAGATATAAGTTGATATATATACTTGAAGAAAAAAGAAAAAAATTTTCATTATATATATATTGAATTTTCACTTTTCTTATAATCTTAATTAATCTAATTCATAAATAAAAAGGATCTAAAAAATAAAAAATTCAAAAATTAAGTAGATAAATCAATTATCTTATAGTGTTAAAATTATTAAAATTTTTTAAATAGAAATTATGGATGGCTTGTGATTTGATTTCTTAGTAAATTTTAGATAACAGCATTAAAATTTTAAATTATTAAGCAAAATTTAATTGTCAAACGTGATTAAATAAAGTTTTTAATAATAAAAATATTAAGTTAAACTCATTAAATGATAGATTTTTGTAAAGATATTGTATTTGATTTTAAATTGGAACTCCTATGATTCTAAAAGATTTGACACATGGATTTGAAAATTATTAAATTAATTTAAAATTTTATTAAATCAATTTTTATTCAATTGTTAAATTTTGAAAAAATTATTTAAATATTCCCTTTAAATTTAGTTGTATAGGGTATTGAACCATTTCTAACTAAAATATTTAAAATATTTAATTAGAGTTATGGTTTATGACTTTACACGTAAAAGTTCAAACGGATTCATTTAATTTAGATTTGGATAATTTAATGTATAGTTAGTTTTACATAAATAAAATATTTTTTAAAAATTAGGACACCCAAAAATAATTAAATTTAAATATTCTTTTTTGTCTGATTTGTATAAATAAGACGGAAATTAACTATAACATCAATCTATTTTACTCTATTTTAGTACCTAATTCTTAAGATCATGGTTCCAATTCCATTCTGGCTGTATTCTAATACTAAAAAACTTTTGTCAAGTATATTTTTTGCCACAAAAATTCTCAGATTAAGTAACCCACAATGGTAGTGATTAAATAAAGTTTTTACATATAAATATAAGTTAAACTCATAAATGATAGATTTTTTGTAAAGATATGTATTTGATTTTAAATTGGAACTCCTAATGATTCTAAAAGATTTGACACAGGATTTGAAATTATTAAATTATTTAAAATTTTATTAAATCATTTTTCAATGTAAATTTGAAAATTATTAAATATCCCTTAATTAGTTATAGGTATTGAACCTATTTCTAACTAAAATATTTAAAATATTTAATTATGAGTATGGTATGACTTTACGTAAAAGTTCAAACGGATTCATTTAATTTAGATTTGGATAATTAATTGGTATAGTTAGTTTTACATAAATAAAATATTTTAAAAAATTAGACCACCAAAAATATTAAATTAAAATATTATAATAAGACGAAATTATATACATCAATTCTATACTCTTTATTTTAGTACCTAATTCTTAAGATCATGGTTCAATTCAATTCTGCTGTATTCTAATACTAAAACTTTTGTCAAGATTATTTTTGCAAAAATTTCTCAGATAAGGTACCACATTATATATATGTGTTAATCCAATTTCTTCCGGCAAAACTCATTCAAAATTTCTCAGATAAGGTACCACATTATCAAATATGAAGTTGTATGCAATATATTAATTCAGCAATAGAAAAAGCTCCAAAAAAAAAAAATGCATTAATATTACTATAATGATGACTACATGAATTAAAATATAAAGACTAAAAAAACTACATAAATTAAAATATAAAAAATATAACAACGAATATAAAATTTTTTTATTCATAAAATTTTTATTTGCCAATATATACATTTCTTAATTCCACTACTGCATTAAGAGAATAAACTAAGGCAGAGATTGTAGGCTTGTAGCTAACAATTAGTAGCCATTATTAAAAATTAGATTGATCTTTTCTTGATTTGTAGGATTTTCAATTTTGACAGTCGACGCTATCTTGTGCGGATTTAGAGCTGTAAATATGAAAATAAAATGATAGATTAATTTTTTGTTAGAAAGAAATGAAGCATATCTTATATATATCAAAATAAAAGAAAGAATCGTAAAGAAAATCATTATGTTCACTTATTAGTTACCACATTAAACAATCACAAAAATATGGTAGAAACAAAACAGAAAAAAAAAAAAAAAAACCTTGTTCATGGTTCCTATTGGAGATTCCGCTTGAGGAATAGAAGGTTGAAACTTAATTATTCGTTTAGGGATGAGAGAATAAATAGAGAAAGAGAAAAGAGAAGAGATAAGTTTTAGAATTTTAAATTTTACGAAGAATTGTTAAACTTTAATTAGGGATTGAAAATTATTTTTTAAAATAATAATTACCTCTAATAATTATCTAAATTGCCACAATGATAAAAATTTACAAATTTGTGGAAAAAGAAAAAAAATGATAAAAAGGTATTAAAAAATTTTAAAAAATGAATACTGAAATAGGAGAGGGTCATGTCAGCTTTATGAAGAATTTTTTTGCTTCGGGATTTTATTTATTTATATATATATAACCCATGACTTTTGGAGCATCTCCAATGCAACCATAAATTACTTTAATTAAAAATAAAAACCTTCTGCAATACTATTGTCTGTCCATAATACTCTTTCTATTTTTGGGGGTCTGTTAAACATTGTGATTCAACTTTTTATTTTTTTCCTATTTATTCATTTTTTTCATATTTTTATTCATTTATTTTTTTATGAATTCTCTTTTATTTGTGTTGAAATTTCTTTTTACGCTAAAACTGATTTTTTCTTCATGCACTGGATAACCGTTTTTAAAATTTAACATTTACAAATATACACTCAGTCATATCACTATCCACAACTTCTATTTATTAAAATACATCAGCTACAATCCATAATTGCATTGGAGATGCTCTTATTTCTAAATTTTAGGTTCGCTAATATTATGAATTCTTTCTTTCAAAGATATGTGGAAATAAAACTTTTTTGAGTTCAATTTTTAATTTGTGTTACAAGAATCATTTGTATGTCATAAATCTATCAAATTATAGAATTTAAGTTTAAATTAAAATCTCGTACCCCAATATAAAAATTAAAATTAGGCTCTTGAGTTTTCAATCGTGCTATTTTTTCATTTGTTGTACTCCGTATTTGATTTTTTGAGTTCATAAACTTGTTTTAAGGTTTAAGCCTTAAAAATTATAATATATATGTTTTTTTTTTTCGGAAAATAAGATATGCTTGGTTTGTTAATTGTACAATGAAAAACTGAAGGGTTTCATATTTTAAAATGAATAGTTATGTTTATGATAATAATGTCTAAAATAATTGATGATTAATAATATATTAATACATAATCTCTGCATATTAAAAGGTAATCAAATTAAAAATAAGGAAGTATGTTTTCATTTGAGAAAATGTTATTTTAACATTTGATTAGAATTTGAATAAAATAAGCAATTGAGTTCTTGATAAATTACTCTTTCTATTTTATTCACATTTTATGAAATAGCTTGTTATTATATTTATAATAATATTTCACTTTTTTTTAAGGAATAATAATATTTCACTTAAAAATAAGAAATTCAACTCACACATGCAAAATCAAAGTCAGACCAACTGCATTTCATTCATAATGACATGACTTCATAAGAAGGAGGTTTAAACTTTAGCTTTTATAAATTTTTCTTTACTCAAATTATATAATTAACAAAATAAAAAAGACAAAAACTTCATGAATCTGTTATCTATAACTGTTTTTTACTCAAGCCAGTAATTTTTGTCATTGTCAAAATAAAAATTAAACATGAAAAATAAAATAAAATTTGTAAAACAAAATATAGTAAATATAACATTCATATACATAGTACTTAAAAGATAATTAAAATTTGAATAAAAAAATATTTACTACTTTGCCCCTTTTACTTGCTTGTTCAATTTTTGCCTTTTTTTGAATTTAAATTTTAATTTCGCCTTTCGATCTGATTGGTCTTCTCATACTGTAAGATCTCATACTGTAAGAAGTGAGATCCTCTCTATTATAAAGAGTTTTTACCAAGTCTCATAATGAATAAAAAAAAAATTTATTTACGTACATAATTTAATTTCGATATGGTAACAAAAGGAAGGCAAAAGAAAATTTATCTCAAAAAGCTAATATTAAAAACAGCAGTCCAAAAAATCAGGGACTAAAATTCCAAATGAACAATAACCAATATTTTTGGAGACGTGGCAGGCAAAAGCACATGGCTGTACCGCAGGTGGATGCGCACCACTGCAGAGAATTATTCTTCAATCCTAAATGTAAAAAGTACACAATCTACCCAAAAGAAAATCACACGTCTTAAAAATCAACCAGAGAGAGCAGACCAAGAAAGCACTTCCTTTTCGTATTGTTTTTCCGAAACAAACCATCTCTCTTTGTATCTTAGATCGAAGGAGAAGGTTAAACGAAAAACAAAAATGGCTGTTGGCAAAGAGGAGGTTGAAATAGTGAAGCCAAGAACGGATACTAGAGAGTATAGAAGGATCGTTCTCAAGAACTCTCTTAAGGTCCTTTTGATCAGCGATCCTGAAACCGATAAGGCAAAGTTTCCATTTCTTAATTGAAGTTAAACTTCTATTTTTCGAATTCAAATTGATCTAAAATTCCCAATTATACGTATAATAATTATAATAATTAATGATTTTTTCAGTGTGCTGCTTCCATGAATGTCAGTGTTGGCTCCTTCAGCGACCCCGTTGGCCTCGAAGGACTTGCCCATTTCCTTGGTTTCTATCTTTCTGTCTATATTTCTCAATGTTAATTTTATCACTCTTTATAGACTGTTAGATTTGCCATTTGTTTCTTTTAAATTTTGTTGCGTTGCAGAGCATATGCTGTTTTATGCTAGTGAGAAATATCCTTTGGAGGATAGTTACTCGAAGTATATTACGGAGGTACTACTTCCTTTTATAAGAAATTCAATGCTTGGTTTTGTGTTGGTCTATTTACGTGTTGCCAGCAATTTGAATATTGAATGTGGATTAGCATGCTATTTTTAAATGTGATTGATGTAAGATATTGAATTGTTGCATGATTAGATTTGTAATGTGCAACGCTGTGCTGGCTAATAATTTCTGGTTTTGATAGTTTGAATTTTGAAATTTTTGTTTTTGTTGCAGCATTTAAAATTACTAATGTGTATGCATAGCTGTTACTAAAGCTTTAGTGTCTAAACATCCAGTCACACCATGAGCCAGTATATCTAACGGTGCCTTTAACCCACCATTTTCAAGCTCAGTATTTGATTAGTTATCGCATCAGCTTTCATCCCTTGCATTCTAAGAAATATGCTCCTGAAGCTCAAGGTTTAGAATTGCATAATATGCTAGTGGTTCAAGAAAAATTGTTTTGGTGCAGCCTGGCTTAGGAAGGCAGTTCAGTTGTTAAGCTAAGATTGAGTGAAGCAATAATCTGCCAAAACTATTGTGCAATAATATATGGTTTTTGGGTTGTTCTTTGGGTTTCAGTTATGTGGGTAGATTGGCCTTGTTAGATTTTAGCCAGCTGTAATTGTACTTGGCATTGTTAGACTGAAAGGAAGTTTCATTATGGTTGGATTATGCTTGTTGGTATCAAAGAATCGGTCAAAATATATAAATTGAGATGGTCGGATGCTTTCAGGCTATGCATCCTCTCTCTATACATGACAGCATCGCGGTTTTGAGATTATGATAGTAAACTTATTGGAACTATTTCGGAGTCTTTCCATTGAAACTGTTGCCTTGGTTCTCATTTAACTTTGTTGGAGAATTGTGTATGAAAAGTTTAGCTCACCAAGAAATGGTGCAAAAGTGTCATGCTAGTTAGAAAAGAAAAACTGTGATCTTATTTTAGGTGCGTGAAATTGCATATGTTTGTATCTCTTTATTTGCCGTGCTACACTTCTTCTTGGTTATATGGAAGAGATGTGTGTATTTGCTTCCATGTGTTTTTCCTTTATGAGGTGGTCTTCTTTAGATAGATTGCTGATTCATGTTTCTATACTGCATTTTCCATGTATTTGTCTACTTGATGCTTAGCATGGAGGCAGCACCAATGCTTTTACATCTTCTAAGCACACCAACTATTATTTTGATGTCAACACTGATTGTTTTGAAGATGCTTTGGACAGGTAAGTCCAGCTTTCCCATTGTTGATAGTTTGCAGTTTCATGATTATTCTCATAAAGTTTATGAGCTGGTTTTTTGCATGTGATTTTCCATTCAGATTTGCACAGTTCTTTATTAAACCGTTAATGTCTGCTGATGCAACCATGAGAGAAATTAAGGCTGTTGATTCTGGTTAGCTTTTCTGTTCAGTAGCAGCTCTCTGTCTCTATCTTTCTGATCTTTATGAACTTAGTTACTTAATTTCTAGGATTTGTAGTTCTTTTTTCAGGTTATGGCTAGCAATTACTCATTCTCATCTTTCTTTCTCATACAGAGAATCAGAAAAATTTATTATCTGATGCTTGGAGAATGAATCAGGTATCAATTTCCACCCTTGCTAACTTAGATTTGGCCAGTTATTAATTTGAGGGTTCCAGTGTGCACATCCTACAACTTAGATGTTAGTGAATCAATTTTTTGTGGTGGCTTTAAATGATGTAACTTGAAGATGTGTGTGTGTTTTTATTTACACATAAAGATTTGGAGGAAAGAACAGAATTAAAGTTAATTGCGATAGACAAAGTTTCTTTTATCAAGGAAAAAAATCAATTGAGCTTCCTAAATAGTTAAATAAGCTCCACAAACCTATAATTTCATCTTGGATCATGAATCTGTTTATTCTTTTCAAGGCTTTTGTAATGCTTCATCCACGACCATCTTAGACTCTGCTGATTCTTTATCGTTTGAGTCTTAGTTTCTCACTAGTAATAAGGTTATTATCGTTTATTGGCCTCTCAATATATATATATATATATATATCATCTTAGACCTTCTGCTGATTCTTTATCGTTTTGAGTCCTTAGTTTCTCACTAGTAATTAAGGTTATTTATCGGTTTATTGGCCTCTCAATATACTATTATATTATATACTATATATATATATAATTGATTCTTAACGTCCATTTTACAAATAACATTGTTTCATGTAGTTCTGATAGGTGCAACTTCATTAGTTTAATATCTAGTTTGCGCCCCGAAGGCATTTACATATATAATTGATCTTAAGTCCTTTACAAATAAATTGTTTCATGTGTTCTGATAGGTGCACTTTCATTAGTTTAATATCTAGTTTGCTGCCCCAGAAGCATTTACATGTGATAGTTTTATGCTTATTGGATAGGCTGAGGGGGAAACGCAGTGTTAGTAGAAGCTTTCAGGATAAATATTGCTTAACTTTAACATTTAAAAATTGCAGAAAACTAGATATATCCTTAAAGAATGTTAATCTGTAGTTTATTCTTTCTATCTGTGCCATTTTCCTGTGTTATATATATAGTGAGTTATTTCTACGGCTAATGGACTACAAACTTATTTTTCTCTGGGAAATTTTTTTACTGTACACAGCTTCAGAAACATCTAAGTGACAAAGGACATCCATATCATAAATTCAGTACAGGTGAGCTAATGTATTTATTTATGTTCTTCCCTTCTCCTTCAATGAAAAATTCCATTTTTTTTATCAAAAATTATAATTTATGCCAGGACATGAATGCCAAATGTTTGGGCATGTTGGGAATCTCATTTGCTTACAGTTTGACCTGGTTTGTACTTTTATTATTGAACCATATTTGAATGTTTAAGGGTTGACTAATTCGTGCATTGTACGTTGTTTGCACTCGTCACGGAATTTTTTTTTTCTATAATTTTTAAATATAATATAATATTATAAGTGGTGTATCATACTAAAAACTGGAGTTTCTTACCTACGCCATTTGCTATTAAAAATTTAATTCATTTCATAATAATAAATAAAATTATTTTTAATTCTATTCATTGTTTTCAATTTTTCCACTATTATGATTCCTAATTAAGCTAAAGTTTCAAATTGAATTAAAACTAAATATCATTTTAAAAATTAAATTAATTAATTAACAGTTATATGTTATTATTGAACGTGCAATGCGATTGAGGAGTTTGTTTTGACTAATTATTTATTTGAAACCAAAAGAATAAAAATATTAAGACTAATCGAATTCTTCATAACTTAATGTTTCGTAGATTTATTGGAAATCCAAAATAGGAATCCTCATAATTTCTTAAAATTTCTATTCAGTTATTAGTGTATTCAATTAAAGAAAGTAATCTCAAATAGGAATCTTTATTTTTAACAAATAAAATTACTATTAAATTATTAGTCTATTCATAACAAATAATTCCTTTATTTTTTCAACCAGTAAGATCAGAATTCTTAAAGATATTTCGTCAATCCCTGAATTTAATGAGGGTAGTTTTGATAATCCTACATGTTCCCCCTCCTCATTCCCATTTTTATATATATTATAGATAAATGATATTAGCCAACATGTTGAATTCATGACCAAAGTCAACTTGTTTGTTCTGGGATTTGAACATTATTTATGAGCTTTTGATATTTATTTTTCTGGAATGACTGCTGCTGATTTAGAATGCCTACCGACCATATAAAACTCCATGAATCATCTTTACAACTAAAGATTTGGGAAAGAGAAATCTCTATCATTTCCGGACATGTGTTTATTCTTTGTTCAAATATAGGGAATTGGGATACTTTGGAAGTTCGACCAAAAGCAAAAGGATTGGATACAAGACACGAGCTTATTAAATTCTATGAAGAACATTATTCAGCCAACCTTATGCATCTAGTTATATATGCTAAGGGTCAGTAAAAAAGAATTTGCCTTGTCTTATTATAGCTCAAATTTTTTCATGTATTGCAATTCTGATTCCTTTTCCATATGAATCTTCAGAAAGCCTTGATAAGATTCAAAGTTTTGTCAAGGACAAGTTCCAGGAAATAAGAAACAACGATAGAAGCTGTTTGTCTTTTCCTGGCCAACCTTGCACATCAGAACATTTACAGGTATTGCATGGTACTGGTGTAATTAAGGTTTAATATCTTGAACCTTTTTTGGGTAGAATCAGATGTTTTAGCTAAATGTGCTATACTTTTGAAAAAATACTTCATTTTCTTTTACTCTTTATCACATTTGTTTCAGATACTTGTAAGAGCTGTCCCAATAAAACAAGGTCACAAATTGAAAATCATATGGCCAATAACCCCTGGCATTCTTCACTACAAGGAAGGGCCATGCAGGTACCTTGGCCATCTTATTGGCCATGAAGGCGAAGGATCTTTGTATTTTGTCTTGAAAACTTTGGGTGGGTGTCACACATCCTTTTTTTGCTTCTGGCAATAATTTTTTGGGTATAAGACATCTTTCCCTTGAATGTTGTAATATTGCTGTCTTTTTATTTTATTTTTATTTTTTTTGATATGGTCTATTAATCTACTCTAGGAATCCTGCTTTATTAAGACTCTTAGGTATGATTTCTGTTGTTAAATAATTGATCATGCATAGATGGCTCGCATTTTTCTTGGCATGAAACATACAAAAAAGTGCAGCAATGGTTAATTAGTGGCCATTTTCAGAACCTGCTGTTATTTAATGGGGGTAAAGGTAATGTAATGGCCTTTATTTGAATCCATGGGGAATGTCTGTGTGCTTCTTCTCTATGCCCAATGTAGGAGTGTCTATGCTTTTCTCTATACCTGATGCTGGAGGTTGATGCACCATTTCATTTAATATGCTCATAAAGAAATGATTTTTTTCATTCAAAAATTTTTTTATGAGCGTTATGAAATTCTAGGAGATTCTCATTGTCTAAGGATATGAACCTAATCAAGATCCTGCACCATGCAATCAGTAAAATTATAAATTGATGGAAATTTTGGTCCACCTACTGAGAATCCAGTATGAAGCATATACAATTCTTTATTATGATTGCGCCTCTCTCCAGTGATAATTTGAGCAATGTTGGTCTTTTTACACCGTAGCTAAACTTTAACATTAATGAAAATGAATCTGAACTGTCTTAAAACTACCATGTCAGAATCTCAGTTCGATTTCTCTCAATAGTAGAGAATTTTAAGAGGGTGTTGATTCATGAGAAAAAGCTTCTGAAGCTAATGATAGGATTTATTTATGTGGCTACCAAGTGCCTTGAAGCAGACCCCACAAGTGCACAAATCTGGATGTATCAATTAAGACAATATGGATGTATAGAAGGATAAAATTTTTATCAATATACAATTTATTGTAAATATTTATGCTGCCTTCATATAGCCAGAGGAGAGTATATGCATAACTGGAGAATGACTTATTTATGTTGTCTATGTACAGAGATCAAAATTACACTGCATTTTGGTAGATGTTTCTGCTGACTTTCATCTGTTTTTTCCCTTTTCCTCCCTCCTTTATTTTCTTCTCTGAAAACCTATTGAAGTAAGCATTTGACCTGTTCACTCTAAAAAAAAAAAAAAAAAAAAAAAAAGTATTCGTGCTGACTTTCATCTTGTCTCTTTTCACCCTTTTGTGTCTCCTTCCGTCTCTAGTTTATTTGTCTTCTCTGAAAAACCTAGAGTTGTAATTGTATCTTCATCTCATTTTACTACTTTGTGTGATACACAATTCTAAAAAAATGAGAAAAAAGAAAAAAAAAAATGCATGTGATGGGGCAACTCTAGTTTTGGTCGGCCGGGTTTGCAAGAGTGGGATGTACTTGTGACTTACGGAGCTTCTTTTTATTTCAAATATATAGTATTAAGTGATACGCTTACTTGTGAGTAACTGCCGAGATAACATATACCATAGGTTCGTTTTTGTAGTATTCTTTTCAACAGATGTAAATTGTTTCTTTCTGCAATTTTTTTTGTATCAAAATACTGAGACATTTTATCATTTTGAAAGAGATGTCACAAAGAGCTGTGATATACTGCTGTGGCTCTAGCTTACTTTCAGCTTATGCATGAGTACATACTGAGGACGAGCTTGAGAAAAAAAAAAAAAAAAAAAAAAAAAATGCAGGATGGGCAACTAGTTTGGCTGCTGGTGAAGGGGACTGGACTACGGAGTTTTCTTTTTTCAAAGTATTAATTGATCTTACTGATGCCGGTCATGGTTCGTTTTGTAGTATTCTTTTCACCATTTAGTTTCTTTGATTTGTTTGTACCCTGGAACTTATCATTTGAAAGAGTTCCAAAGAGCTGACCTGTGTAGCTTACTTTCAGCTTATGCATTAGACAACTGGAGCTGATGTATTTTCTGAGCAAATTTACTTTTCTTCATTGAATTGCAGAGCACATGCAGGAAATCGTGGGGCTGCTATTCAAATACATTCATCTCTTGCAGCAATCTGGCGTTTGCAAATGGATATTTGATGAGGTATAAGAATGCATCATGCATTATATGATGATGAATTTTGAATCTTAGAATTATTAAAATTTGTGCGACTTCAAATTTTTATCTATTAATATTTGAAATTTATCTTGTTATGTTATGTGTGTGTGTACACACTTAGGCTACTATCTCGCGGCATTGTTGATCTCTAGAAAGAACTACATATCATGAATAATCTTAAATCCCTACTGAACCTACATGTATTCTCTTTTCGAGAAAGAGAGTATCATATTTATGATTTGATTGAAGTTCTTAATTAGTGCTGGTTCATTGTTTTATGTGAAGTTACCATAAGATTTGTTTTACTCTTTTCTATTACGTTACCTTGAAGAAATCAATCTCAAGGATACAAGCTGATGTAACATTCTATTTTGACATTAGCTATCCTAAATTTTAGTTGCTTGCGTTCTGATATTGAACCAACTGTTATGTCCAAAAGGGGGATGGAAAATATTGATGAGAGTTAAATTGGAGAAGTTAATAGAGTAATGGTGAGATTACAGTATGTGTTGATTAGTCATTCTTGAGAAGTCATTTGGTAAAAGATGGTGGCTGATTTATTGAGAAGACATAGTTGTGCATTTAATAGAATTTGCACCTGATGTAACTATACATTTAACAGAGTTTACACCTATATCAAGATGAGAATTGCTTCCATGTTTTTTGCTGTTCTTATGTAGTGGAATGCCTTTTTCATTGATCTTTCTTAATTTCCAGATAAATAAAATAAAATTGTCACAATATACTAGTTAACTTATATAAATTTGAGAAAGCATGCTTGAATAGAAAAAGGAGGCTGTGATATATTTTTGCTAGCAATTCGGGTTATGAATGTGTGAGAATTTGATACTGACTTTTGCATGAAGCATCACGACAGTTTTGTCTCTCAATTTCAAATTAAGTTATTATTTTGCTAACCTGTGATTTGATTTCAGATCGTTTAGCAATGGTTTAGTTATCTTTGAAACTCAGTTTCAGTATTAAGGTTTGTCTTTCATTTTCTTGAAGACTTATGAAACATTTTATCATTTTCTTGAAGCTTACTGCTGTTTGCGAGACAGCATTTCATTATCAAGATAAAACCCCCCCAATTGATTACGTGGTCAAAATTTCATGCAATATGGGGGTAAGTTATGCTTTCTCTGTTTCTTTGTTTCCATTTTACGTGGTCAAAATTTCATGCAATACGTGCTGCTTCAACTTTCTATGTGTAGATGTATGTTTGTGTGAGTGTGTGTGCGTGCGTGCGTGTGTAGAGGGGTGTGTAATCCTTCTGCTCAGTTCGGAACTGAAAACTGAATTTCATTTTTTTTTTTTTTTTTTTTTTTTTTTTTTTTTTTGAAATGAACAGGATGATTCAGTTTTGGTTTTTGGGCAAATTTTGACTTATAAATCGAACCTGAAAAAATTTGGATTTCACCTAAAATGCCTAAATTGGACCGAACTGACTGACCTGATAACAACTAGAATTGGTTTTGTTCGGTTTTACTGATATGTGCCTTCCCTAATATATATATATATATATATATATATTTATTTTATTTCTGCAGATTGCATTGTAGTTGTATTGTAATGCCAAATAATCACACACAGGCAAAGTGTCGCTGAAAGTTGCTGTTATAGAAGTGTTGTTGAAATGTCTCTAGCAACAAGGAATTTTTTTATTTCACTAAAACCTTGAAACTGATGAAAAGCAACGCCACTTTGTACAATGTTTTTGATTTTGGTGCTATTATGAGTTGGGAAGAGTTGTTTTCTTATGATTTATGAGGTGGGTTAATGGTGAGGAATAAAGGGAGATGGCTAAATCCTTTTTCTCTAAAATATGGAGTTGTTGCGCTAGAAGACTCCCAATGCTCTATTTATATGTGGAGAAATTTTGTGTTTGATTATTTCCTCAAGATTAATAAAAGACTACTGAACACGCTCACACAGAGTCATCATACATTTTAACACCATCGCGCCATAGGAGTTGATTCGCTGAAATAGAGTCGAGAGAAGTTCTCCAATGAATATTTTATAAAGTCACACTTGAGTAATTTTGGAGTAACCATAAGGAGCATTCATAGGACTAAAGAGAATAATATGGCTAAAATCAAGATTAGAATAAGTCATGATCACCCTGTCTTATATCAGGTGCATTTAACCAGGTCGTTATGGGCATCATCTTTCTGCCCTATCTAAAATCACATATTATATAACCACGAAAATATAACTTTATTTTCATCATGCGAGAGCATTCATTGGAGAATTGGCTCACAAGATTTTCCTCCAGTTAACCTTACTGACTTATTGGAGAGAGGTATATCTTTATGCCATCTAATCTCAATGAATAAGAGCGTATGTGAGTGAAACTTGGCAATTACATTAGAGGAGTTCCTGTGAGTTGATTTCACAACACGAGTTCTAGATTTTCTTATCTTATAATCTCCACGCTTGGAAATCATTTGTAACAATCTAATTATATATTTATTTATTTCTGCAGATTGACATTGTAGTTGTGATGTAATCCAAATATCACAGGGCAGAAGTGTGCTAAAGTTGCTGTTATAGAAGTGTTGTTTGAAATGTCTCTAGCAACAGGAATTTTTTATTTCACTAAAACCTTGAACTGATGAAAAGCAACGCCAACTTTGTACATGTTTTATTTTGTGCTTTATGAGTTGGAAGAGTTTTTAATTTATGAGGTGGGTTAATGTGAGAATAAAGTGAGATGGTAAATCTTTCAATATGAGAGACCACGCTCTTATAGTGGGAGAAGATTTTGTTTTATCCTTCAAGATTTAAGAATGAAAAGCAAGGTCATTTTACACATGCCCATTTCTTAATCGGATCTCCATGAAATTTAAGCAATTGGAAGTTTGTAAAAGAGTTATAGCAAAGAATAATTTTCAAGATTATTGTTCTCTTTCCCTGTCTAATCAGGCCTTTTGGCATTCTTTCTGCCATCAAATCATTTTAAACCAAAATAATCTCTCAAGATTCTGGATGCCAATCCATTTTCTTCTTTTTGTATTATGCTCCAATTTATAAAGTTGTAGTAAATTGGCAATCTATTGGGAGTCCTTTGTGATTCACAACCAGTTGTTTTCTTCCTCTTTTCCTTTATAAACGCTTGGATATGTACATAATTGTACATTTATACATGTTCAAGCAGTAAAACATTGAACTGGAGCTGATCCATGTACAAAATAATGATCAGTAAATGAGTATTTGGTTTTGCCTTTTTTGTCCAGATGTATCCTCCTAAAGACTGGCTGGTTGGATCATCCTTGCCTTCTAATTTCAGTCCAAGCACAATTCAAATGATATTTGATCAACTTTCTCCAGAAAATGTCCGGTAAGTTTATTAGTGCTAAAGTAAGTTACAAACTTGTGCCAATGAATGATGACTGGTTTATGTACTCCATTATTTTGATTTGTCCCGTCGTTGCTGATATCTATCTTATTTGTAGGAAATCATCTTGTCCTCAATTTATCTGTTTGACATCTTATCTAGACACATATGCTGGACCTCTGAACTTATACTTGTACGGCATAACATTTGACTTGACTTGCATCTGGTGCATTGACCAGCATCAACAACAAGAACAATAACTAAGCCTTAATCCCAAACTAGTTGGTCAGTATATGAATGGTTTGTCATCATATCTGCTCAAGTTCATAATAGCAAGAATAAGCAAAGCATAAAAAAAATATGTAGATAATTAGAGAAGAACAAATAAAACCAGCATCCTAATGTTATGTTTTATTTTTTATTCTTATCATTAACACAGAGAATACTAGCTGTGCCGCCTGATAATTTAGGGACAAGTAAATCATTTTTTCATGTTTTATAATGCACTACAGCAATCAAGAAATAAGGCCTTCTAGTGTAAAGAGTATTTGAGCAATGCAGAGCAGAAGGATCTCTTATACTCTATCATTATTGCCAACCATTTAGAACTTAGGATACTGTTCTGGTTCTATTCTATGTTATGTTGCTTGATAATCTTTGTCCTGCAGAATCTTCTGGGAGTCAAAGAAGTTTGAAGGACAGACTGAGATGGTAGAGCAATGGTATGGAACCGCTTATAGTGTTGAGAAAATCACCAGCTCCCTGATTCAGGTTAGTGGTTGATTATTTTTTGTGATATCATTCAACATGTCATTCAACATAATTGATTAACAAGTGAAAAAGTCATGTTATTTGGATACACAGTATTTCATTTTGTGTTGTTTCCAAACTGTTGTGTACTAAAATTATTAGACTATTTGTGTTAGTAGAAAATGGTAATTTGATAGAAGAGTTTGCCTATTGCAGGAGTGGATGCTATCTGCTCCTAATGAAAACCTGCATCTACCTGCACCTAATGTGTTTATCCCTACAGACTTATCACTAAAGAATGCTCAGGAGAAGGTTTGATGAGATTCTATAATCTAACTCACATGTACATTATAATTCTAGTAGATTTTGAATTGATGTACCTCTGAAGCAGGTCAAATTTCCAGTGCTTTTAAGAAAGTCGTCCTATTCTTCTTTATGGTTCAAGCCTGACACAATGTTCTCTACACCGAAGGCTTATGTTAAAATCGATTTCAGCTGTCCCCATGGTGGCATCTCTCCTGAGGCTAAAGTTCTAACTGGTCTGTTTACTCGGTTGGTAATGGACTATTTGAATGAATTCGGTAAGACGCAGTGCTTTGAGTTTAAACAAAAAATTCTTGTTCACCTTCACTTCAAATGCAAAATAGCCCCATATTTTATTTTATTTTAAATTGCAATAGTATTTTATTTGATGTACAAGCATCACTAGTCATCAATTGAATGGTGACTCCCCCTCCTCTCTCCCCCCTCTCTTCCCTTCTCTGTCCTTAAAAAAAAAAGGCTTTTCATCAAATTTCTCTACAGCTCAACATTTTTTGCATGTTTCAGCTTATTATGCAGAGGTTGCTGGTCTATCTTATGGCATTACCAATACAGACGGTGGTTTCCAGGTTCTGTTCTAACTTTCTGATTATATTTGTGTTGATATGCTACATACTTGACCAGTAAAAAAAACTATTGCCAGCTTAATCAGTACTGAATGGAACTGTCGATGAATGCAATTGTCTCAAGAAAACTCATCTTATAATACTTTGGATTTAGCATACTTTTTTTTTTGACAAAAATAGCATATGCTATTCCTTGGCATAGAGGTAGTATACGAGTAACAACCATTTTACTCACATGTACATGCCGATACTTATGTGAATTTTCTATTTGTCTTGTTCTGTCTCTGAGGAGAGTATGCTGTGTCTTGTACTGCAGTAGTTTTTAAGGCTTAATAACAATCATTATTTGCTGTATGTATGTTGGTTTTTTTATGTATTATTTATTTATTGCGCATTTTATGTGGGACAGTTGGCAGTCCTGGGATACACTTATGCTGATTCTTATACTTATTAATTTGCTATTTTATTTTATTTATTTAGGTGACTGTGGTTGGTTACAATCACAAACTGAGGATCTTGTTGGAAACTGTTATGGAAAAGATTGCAAAATTTGAAGTCAATCCTGACAGGTTTCCTGTGATCAAGGTAATGAATGACTAAGGATTCTTACTCATTGATCTGAAGTCAGTATAATGTGTACTTATTTACTTATGGTGCACTTTTCAACATCCTTTTGAATTATATTTTGAACAGAATTTTTCTGTGGTCCAAAGGCTATATGATCTATGCTATTTTGAATTGGAATTCATAGGCTCTTGTAGTAAAATGATAGTAGGTCCTGGGATATTTTTGTTTCCTTCATCCTCTATGACTGATTTTTTTCCTGGTTGTGCATGCATAAACTGCATGCTTAATTCTTTTAATCTAGTAGTTTAAAAGAAGTGAATTACATTTTTGTTTTTCCTCCTGTATTGGTAAAGAAAGATAGTGCAAAGATTTCCATGTTTTTTTTTCTTTTGTTTTTTTTTTTTTTTTTTTTTTTTTTTACTGGCATGCTTAATTCTTTTAATCTTAGTAATTAAAAAGGAAGTGAAATTACATTTTTGTTTTTTTCCTCTGTATGGTAAAGGGAAAGATATGCAAAGATTCCATGTTTTTTTTCTTTGTGTTTTTTTTTTTTTTTTTTTTTTTTTTGTGGGGTGGGGGGTGGGTGTCGGTGTGGGTGTGTGTGTATTATTTTGAGTATATTGTGAGAATTCCATGTCTTTTTTTTGTGTGTATTATTTTGAGATATCTTCCAGTGTGTGTGTAGAGGGTAGATGGCACAAAATGCTCTTTTTGTTGTGAATGATGAATGATATTGCAGTTATAAGTTTTCTTAAATCATAGTTTAGATGCAGTGAAACATGATTGCATTTTTGCTATGAGTTACATGTAAGAAGAGAGTCCTCTTTCAAGTAAGAAACTTGAGCTTGACATTGCAAAGTTTATATCAATGACTAGAATACAGAGAGATAGATATTAGCAAAGACAGATATATATTACAAAAGCTGAGTTCTGTAATAGTTGATAACGAGCCCACAAGATTCATTTCTCCTTTCTTTTCATTTTTGGAATGTTCCTTTTTTTTTTTTTTTTTTTCCTTTTTTTTTTTTTTTTTTGGCCAAGCCTGATATTAAACCACAAAAAGACAAACTCCAAAAACACAGAAATTTTTTTTTTTTTTTTTTGGCCAGCCTGATATAGAACCACAAAAAGACAACTCCAAAAACACAGAAAGAAAGAAATCGTGCTATGAATTTTTAATCATTCAATAACAACTTAACTCTAATAATACTCATATGTATGTACTACAAAATAAACCTTAAATCTAATAACAAATTCAAATATCTAAAGTAAATAAAAGTAATTAAAATACCTCAAATACCCCAAATAATTTATTTTTGAAATTTTTTCCTAAAATACTTAGTACTAAAGTCTCTAAGTAGTGCCTCATTATTGAGATTTTCAGAGGCCACTGGCTGTGTTTCTTTCTTCTTTTCTCTTGAACTTTGTTGATTTTTTTTTTCTTCTTTGTAATATGTGCTCTCCATCATGGTGGCTTTACAGGTTAATCAATGATGGGAATTTCTTTGAAAATCTCAAATGCCACATTCGTTAAATTATTTTTCTTGATAGTCTCTTCATTTTTCATTCTTCAGGAAATGGTGATAAAGGAGTATGAAAATTTAAAGTTTCAGCAGCCATATCAACAGGCTATGTACCATTGCTCTTTAATACTAGAGAATCAAGGATGGCCATGGATGGAACAAATCGAAGTACTTCATCGTCTTGAAGCTGAAGATCTTTCTAAGTTTGTCCCAACGTTGCTGTCAAGAGCCTTCTTAGAGTGCTATATTGCAGGTCTGTTGTCTTGACTGCCTTTCCGAGTTCTCATCTTGAATTTGAGTATAATTTTGGTCTTATTTCATCTTAGGTAACATTGAACGCAGTGAGGCAGAGAAAATAATTGAGCATGTTGAAGATGTCTTTTACAAGGGTTCAAACCCTATTTGCCAAGCATTATTTCCATCCCAGCATTTGACCAATAGAGTTATCAAGCTTGAAAAGGGAAAGAATTATCTCTATCCAATTGAAGGCTTGAATCCCAGTGATGAGAACTCTGCTTTGGTGCATTATATTCAGGTAATTAGATTTGTTTTGAAGTAATGATTTTTCAGTCTATGGGCTAGTTTACGTGTCCATACTGGAGTTTTATTCATTTGTTTGCTATTTTGCTTTGTATGACTTTCTTGCAAATTTTATGATGAAAATTTAACCATTGAATATAAAGCACCGGTTCTTTAAAACTTCCAGTTCTTTTTGAATAAGCCCTTGAACATCGCTCTTCGCACATAATGTTCAAGATCTTGTTTTAAAACATATCTTTTATTTCCATTACTGATATGATTGTAGGCTTTATTTTTAATTCAATAATAGTGTCTACCGCTTGTAATAATGACTAGTATCCATCACAAATATAACTTATTATCCCAATTTTCTGGATATTTTGCTTGTATTTATCGACATTTTTGCTTCAAGGAATCTGATTTCAATGTCTATTGGTAATTAAACTTGAGGATACTCTATCAGTTCTGGGTACTTATCTCTGTTCATTTGACCCTTGCCTATAAAGGACCAGCATTTTGTGTAAAGTTGTGCTACTTTTGAGAGGTTTTGGGAAATTGATAGAGGCTCTTTCCCTGGCCTAATTGAAATCTGAAGGTGAATTAATCTGCTTAATTTACTATTCAGAAGTAGTAGTCTTGGAAACTTATAAGCTACATAACGGTTTACAAAAGGTTCACACATGGGGATGTCTAGGGACATGCACTCTTAGACACTTGCAAACCCCACTCTTAGGCACTTCCTTTAAGGCAGGGACATGCACTGATAGTTTGGAAGCTCAAGTCATCCATTAATCCCAATTTTATTTCTGTATTCCAGTTGGGCGTTTTTTTTTTTTTTGGTTTTCTTTTACAGGAGGGTGTACCTAGGCATGGCCACCAGTTCATTTTGAAACGGAGTCGAACCAGAACTGAACCGTACTGTAGATGAACTGGAACCGGAACCGGCAGTTCAAGGGCCGGTTAAGGTTTATGTGAATGTTAGAATTTAAACCTGAACCGGCCCTGAATTAGCAGTTAATTGGCGGTTCCGGTTTTATTCGAACCGGAAATTTTCTATTTTTATTTTCAAAATAATAATCACTTAGCCTATTTTTTATACATCTTTAAAAGTCTCAATAATATTTTACTACATGATATATTTTACTACATGATATATTTTACTACATGATATACTTTACTTAAGATTTTTTTTTTTAAAATACACTTTACTTCAAAAGTTAAAAATCTAAAAAGTAAAATGGTAAAAATACACTTTACTTTTCAAAGTTAAAAATCTAAAAAGTAAAAATGGTTAAAAAAAGAGAGAAATATTTAGTCTAGACTTATATTGTTTTTTAACTGTTTTTTTCCCTTTGTTTACTAAGTTTAAAATTATTTATTCTTTTAAAGCATTTTCAAAACTTCTTATAATTATTTAATTTATAACATTTTTATAATTTATTTAATTAATAACATTTAAAAAAAATAAAGTGGTAATTTATTTGATTATTTTGTAAAATTAATTAATTTTATTCTTATGTGAGAATGAACATTCTAAAATTTATTTAAAACAAAATTTACCAATATTTTTTAAACTCATATTAATATTTTCAAAAGAAAGATGTAATGTTAGAACCGATATTTAAAAAAAAAAAAAAAACATATATCGCCGGAAACCGTAATCGGAACTGTCGGTTATCGGAACTGCACCGGAACCCGCGGTTCAAGGGCCAATTCAGGTTCAACGTTTTAAAAATTTTAAACTGTCGATTCCGTGAACCGGAACCAGCGGTTCAATGAACCGGCCATGCCTAGGTGTACCACAGTTTTCCTATTTCAAGGAGCTTGTTTATCCTCCACTTGTTTTTATACAGTTATTTTGTTCTATAAAATTCAGAATTTCACACAAGTGAGCACTTTCTTACTCTGAGTTTATTGAGTTCTCTCTTTAATTGAGCTCAACCCATAACCATAGGTAGAAAAGGCAAAAACGTCAACAAACATCATCCCTTACCAACCTCAGACATCCTCTTCCTTTCCTAGAACCATAACACAATCCTAAGAGTGTCAAAACAGGTTCGCGTGTCAGGTTCGACATGAACCTACCTAAAACACGATACAATTAGGGTCAATATGAACATGACGCTAAAATTAGCGGGTGACATGACGCTTAAATGAGTCATATACGAGTTAGAAAACCGACACATATAACTGACTTGGTATATATATTATATATGAAATTGCCTTTTTACCCTTAACTAAATGGGTTAAATGGATTACACGAGTCGACCCGTGAGATGACCCGTTTGAACTTGTGTAATATGCGGATTACCCGTTTATAACATGAATCTATTTAGACTCAACTTTAACTTGCTTAATTTTCATATCGTGTTGCCGGTGTTATGACCCATTTTGGCACTCCTATGCAATCCTATGCCAAGGACAATAAGGATAACAATAACTTTTTATAGTCATGTCAAGAATGAAGACTTTTCGGTTTTTAAATGTCATTTTTGAATGCTTATGTTTCTGCTTCCTTTTCTGGTAATTGGGTTGATTAGCTAATGGTGATTTTGGTGCAGTTCTAACAGACACTAAAATCTAATTGTCCAGGTGCATCGAGATGATTTTATGCTGAATGTGAAACTTCAACTTTTTGCTTTAATTGCAAAGCAACCAGCTTTCCACCAGCTTAGGTCGGTTGAACAACTTGGATATATTACCGTGCTTATGCCAAGGTCTGTAAAATTTTGTTCTCACTTAAAGTTTTGTGCAAAATGTAGGATCTGTTATGCTATTTAAGGGGTTAACGAATTTCTTTCAATACAGGAATGATTCTGGTATTTGTGGCGTACAATTCATTATCCAATCAACGGTGAAGGTTAGTAGAACTTGATATAGTTCTGCCAATTTACTGTATCTTATGCTGCATGTGTTAATATTGGTGATCTCGACAGGGTCCTGGACAAATTGATTTGAGAGTGGAGGCATTCCTCAAAATGTTCGAAACTAAACTCTATGAGATGACAAATGATGAATTCAAGGTGACATACTAGTACACACGAGTAATTTACTATGCGTATCATCCTCTTTTGTTTTTTTTTTTTTTTTTTTCATCCTTTTGTTTTTTTTTTTTTTTGGGAGGTGTGGGATTGGGATGAGGGGATTGTTTTTTTTTTTTTTTTTTTTTTTGGGAGGTGTGGGATTGGGATGGGGGATTGTCAAGATAGAGGGGAACAGGCGGCTTCCGTATCACACTTAGATTGTTACTTGTAACCCTCAGTGAAATATGGAAACCAGATTTACTCCCACCACCAAAATACTAGTGGTGCTACTAGGGGACTCTGTAGTTATGCTGCTGCCACCTTCCCCATCCCAACCCCAACAACTCAAAAGAGGAAACAAACAAAAAAATCCTAAAGAAAGATGAGATTTTCTGTTAGTAAATTTTAGATTCAAACTACTTGAATTAGGGATGGAAGGTTAAAAGATTTTTTTTTTTAAAGTTTTTCTGTTAATTTCACCTTCCTTTTATTTATATTCCATGCTCATTTGTAAAAGGAGATTACACTGTTTCCCCACTGTAAAACTGAAAAAATTGCCTTCAAAAGTCTTGGTCATGCACCGGAGATTAACTGCTGAACTTGCTTTGCAGAATAATGTTAATGCTTTGATTGATATGAAACTTGAGAAGCACAAGAATTTAAGGGAAGAATCTAGATTTTACTGGCGAGAGATTGATGATGGCACCCTAAAATTTGATAGGAGAGACTCTGAGGTATGAATATCTATCGGATCTTTCTGCATATGATTACTGTTGGCCTCTGTATTTATAGTTGAGAATATCATTAAATGTTATTATATTATAGGAAGCGAAGAAAGCAGTGATAGACATATCATCTGTGTAATTGTTCCTGCTCTTGTTTATACTGATAAAGAAACACAACAACTAACAACCGTATGTATGTCGCATTAACCGGTTAGGGGAAAAAAACTAGTAAATTACTATAACACCACTGAGGTTTATCATAAATAGCACATTGGTTTCTAATATTATAAAATTAGGATGTCAAGTCCTTGAGATTTGTACCCAACACTTCAGTCCTTATTTATAAAATTATGAATTTTTCAGTTTAAATTAGTGCATTCTAGCATATATACACTTTTGAGCCCTCAAACTTTTAGAATATAATATATTAGTTATTTAGTTATTTTAGGCTAAAATGCTTTAATCCCACAAAATTTTCTACTTTTCACTGAAGTTGGTTTAGGGACTTAAAGTGCCAATATTGAAATAATAATCTAAGGTGCTAATGATAACAAACCTAAAGAGTATGATAATAATTTACTGCCAAACTTTTAAGCCAATAACTTTTGTACTTGTAAATGTCATTAAAACAGGTGGCGGCATTAAGGCAACTTACGCAGAAAGAATTTATAGAGTTCTTCAATGAGAATATAAAAGTTGGTGCACCTCAGAAGAGGACATTGAGCGTTCGTGTTTATGGTGGCCTACATTCATCGGAGTACACATCAGATAAAAGTGAAGCAGTTCCACCCAACTCAGTTCAAATAGATGATATTTTCAGTTTCAAAAGATCGCAACCTCTTTATGGTTCATTCAAAGGAGGTTTTGGTCATGTGAAGTTGTAAAATTGAAACTAGTAATGAAGATCGGTCATCAATATAGGTAACTGGGAAACAGAACTTTTCTTCTTCTCGACTTGCACAAACTGGTTCTGCAGACGAGCTTTTCACAACCCGATGCAGAACAAGCCAAGAATGTGGGGGCAAAGAAACCATTTTCCAAAGAGGACAGGATAACTGGAGCAAGCTTTTTGGCGTGGCTAACAGAGATCTTAACTTTTTGGTGCTTAACCTTTGCATCATGTTGTAACTTCTAGTTGTGTAATGCTTTTTAAAATTAGTTATTTTTACATCCCTCTCCAATTAAATCTTCAATAAGACCATTGGAATTAATATACCTCTGTATCAATTGGACAAATAAAATGTGGTTTAGGATTTTGCTATAAAATATAATCTCGTTTTCAGGATATTGGTGCTTGTTTTGCATGCCTTAATTCTCTGTTAACCGTGGACTAAACGAAAATTGGAGGTTTGTAACTAAATAATCTATGTTGGAACAAGCAGATTGGTAATTTAGTCAGGTTTAACTGTGACAAATTTTCACGTTAGAAAACAATTTTCACTCTTAGGATGCTTAAATAAAAAATGCTCTCTTTGATCCATCACTGAAGTCTGAAACTGCTGGATAACTCGAGAGAAGCGTGATTTGAGGAGATTAAGGAGACATTGTTTAATGGAGCAGCTTTTCCACGGTTTGAAAGAAATTTGCAGAAAGAAAATTAAAAAGAAACTAATGGATTATGGCATTGTCGCTCATGCAAAGCACATTTCAATACGTTTTCGAGTTCACCTCCTACTTTCCCCTTCCGTAATTCTAGGGACGAACATTCGAAATTAGTCTTTTCGATCTGACCCTTTTTTTTTTTTTTTTTTATTCGAAATTAGTCTTTCGATCTTGACCCTTTTTTTTTTTTTTTTTTTGATAATTCAAATGAATATAATAGTTATCCGGAATGCATCGTTGACCCGATTCGCGTTCACTCCAAACAAATTTAGCCATAATTCGCGTATCAGAAACCAAACTATTGCTCACCTCTACCAAATTCCATGTCTTTAATGAGAAAAAAAAAAAAAAAAAACCACTTGAAGTATCTTAAACTACACTGGCTCCAGCTTTTCCCTTAAAAAAAAAAAAAAAAAAAACCACTTGAAAGTATCTTAAACTACACTGCTCCAAGCTTTTCCCTTCTAATATCAAATCACAATACTCATTTATCTATTATTTTGGAAAAAAAAAAAAAGATTAATCAAATTTAAAAAATATTTTATTGCAATTTTGACGATTTAATTGCGTGAAATAAGAAGTTTTTATTAATTAGGTTCAATTCAAATTAGCAGTAAACTCATTAATAATCCCAAAAGGAAAAAAATAAATCATAATAAACAATTGAATAATACCGAGACAAAAATTGGTATTAATCCTCTTCAAGAATCACAATTTAGAATCAATAAAAGAATTCCTAAACCAATTACTCGGTTTAAAAAAAAAAAATCTCTTTTCAGATAACAGAATAAAAGATCAAATCAGTATTATCAAAACCCTTTGCCGCCATAGCCTTGGCTGCACAACTGGATATCCGAGACGAGTCTTGACCCGGCGTGTGACTTACGCCACCACCGTTGTGAGCAACCCCGTGGTGGTACTGGTGCTGGTGGTGACCGTCGTCGGCGCCAGAGGGAGGGTGGTAGTACATCCGAGCAGTATGTGGGCAGTGAGAATAAAACCTTCCAGCAATTCTAACTCCAGTATCCAACAATTCCATGTACTTACTCATATCTCTCTCCCTCTATATAGCTTTGTATTGTATAGAATGAAAGCTAACAATGACTGAGAATGGAAACCAGAAACCGAGAGAGAGAGAGAGAGAGAGAGAACAAGTTACAGCGCTGGAGATTGAAGAAAGGAGCGGAGAGAATTTGGTTTATATAGCAATCTATTCCTGAAATTTTTGGTTTTGACTTTCCTCCCCCTTTCTTGTTAGGTTAGGTCACTTTCCTTCTTTTGTTTTTCTATTTTTCAAGTTATATTGTCATTTCCGCCCTTCCTTTTATAATTATTTGCTTCTGGACCTTCTAGTAATTTGTATGTGTAAATATTAAATTTTAAACCATTAATATCAATGTAAAACCGTAAAAGATAAATAATAATAATATATTCTTCAATTTTGTGTGTTTATTTTTGCTTCTAGAATAAAGGATTCCTAGTATCAAATTAAAATAAAATTATGAAAGAAAATCGGTAGTAATCCATGAAGTAATAGATGTAAAAATGACGATATTAGTAGTAAATTTCGATGAAAAATTAATTTTATTTTTATCAAATATTTAAATATTTGTTATGGTCCACCTAAATATTTAAGTATTTGAATTTAACATTATATTTATTTTTCTATTTATAACGTTGGAGTATAATGATTGAATGATTGTCTCATATTACCTTTATGCAGACATTTTCAAATTTTAACATTGGAATTTTTTATTAAATATTTTTATATAAATATAAAAAATAGATTATTGATGAACTCCACTATTTATATTTTCAAAGTGGTCAATTTTGACTTATATTTTTCATATATTAGGAATAGAGTTTCTATCATGTCAAAAAAAAAAAAAAAAAGGAATAGTTTCTATCATGTCAAAAAAAAAAAAAAAAAAAGGAATAGGAGTTTCTAGTGACATTGAAAGGTCACTTGGCTTGAAAAAAAAAAAAAAAAAGGAATAGAGTTTCTAGTGACATGAAAGGGTCACTTGGCTTGGTCAACACATGGCTCCTTCAAATGATGAGTCATGACCCAACCTCCCACTCTAAGGTCCAGAAATGTGGTAGGTCATTAATTATTTTATTGTATACTTGGGAAATGTTCAACGTGATAAAGGTTCCTCTAAAAATAAATAAATAAATATGCGGGGGAAATATCAGAAATATATAGGAGTGCAAGGATGTAAATGTAAAAGAGTCAAAAAGACTAGCCCGCTGCGTAACAAAAATTCTGCGTTCTCTTTCCTGTGTGGGGTTCAGTTTGTGGGGTCCAACTTAGACCGTGTCACTGCACCAAGCTTTGGCTTCACGCGTTGAATAATCAACGCGGGATCTTGACGGTGCTGTGGAGGAGTGACTTTAAGAACTCTAAAGAATTTAATTACTCTATGATAATAATGAATTTCACAAACTTCAACCAAGTACAGCAAATTACTAGTCCAAAGAATTGTTTTTTAAATACTATTACAAGAGAATTTTGGAATTTAATACTGTGAAATCATATATACACGTATCATTAAATTATGTCTTATAATCTTAATGTGCTGAGCAAATATTACTATTTACATATTAAACACTTAAACGAGAGTCATGTTGAAACAGATTTACGTTGAATCTTAACTCTATTTTTTTATCATTCTCCAGTTGTTTAAGTCCATAAAATGTTAAATCATTCAAAATTTTGTTAAACAGTAAAAATATTTTGTAACTTTTTTTCAAAATTCTCCATTCACCAAATGGGAATTTTTGAAATCCCCTAAGTTCTCGTTAAATTTTTTATTTTCAATAATTGATGAATTTTAAAATTTTGTAATTATAAAAGTATTCTTCAAATTTATATGTTCAATTAATATAAATTTATAAAATTAAAATTCAAACTAATTTTTACGTTGATTTTACGACTGATAAAACTTATAATGTTAGAAAAATAAAGGTTCAGACTTCAGAAGAACAAGAAAAAAGGAAAATGTGACGCATGAATAATTTTGTGACTTTCTTTTAAGCAATAGGGTCGTTCAAATATTGATTGGGCTGCTGGAGTTGGTGGCTCTTAATGAGATTTTGCATCCTAATAAAACATAATAACCAGATTTCATTAGCTGGCCATTCAAATAAACAAATGGCCAGCCCAAACCGACCCTAATATTAGCTGTCAAGCTGTTTGCCTTTGCCTAGACATAAATAAATAAATACTAACTTGTATTACTAAAGAAAACTATTCGAGTAGTTGTGAAGATTAATATTTATAAATAATTGATATAAATTAAATTTGATTGAAAAATATAAATAAATTAAGATGATAAAAAATAATATTTTGACATTTATTTATTTTTTATTCTTTGACTATCTACCAATCCTACTTTTCTATAAATTAAAAAATGATAAAAGAACTCTATACTAACACACTAAAAACAATAAATTCACTTTCTTAGCTATATTAAAAAAAATAAATATAAATATTGTTTTCACAAATTAAAACAATTACTTAAACTATAAAATTACTTGAATGGAAAATTAAAAAAAAACTTTATGATTGTTAATTATACGTGTCTTTTGCTCAATGTAATGATTTTTATCACTATCTAAAATATATTGAACATAAAAAAGAAAATAAGAATTTGTATGATAAATTTTACAAATGTAGTACTCATAAACATAGTATTCAAGAGGGAATGAAGACTTGGAAAAAATTAGAGGATAATTAAATTATAAATAATAAAATATTACATCAATTTATAGTGTGGTTTTTAATTATTGAAAAACTAATTAGTGTTCTATTATTAATACACAAAATTGATTATTTGGATTATTAATTCTTGCAAAAGAAAGAAAATAAAGTCTTTTAGTGATAAAATAAATTTATCATATGGATATTAATTATCAAACGAAGAAAACGAAAAGTTTTATAATTTGATTTCTTTAAATTAGATAATTAAATAAAAATTTTAAAAATAACAAAATTCCATGTTATCAATTAAGTTTCACGATGTCTTGCCACAAGCAAATTTAGTTAGTTGAGTTTTTATATATTTAACGTCTCTTGCATTCCAAACAATTGCAATTGTGGTTTTATATAGTTAGTTGAGTTGTTATATATTTATATAGATAGATGTAAACCGGGGGAGAAGAATTAATACTTTTAGAAGCAGATAGATGTAAACCGGGGGAGAAGAATTAATACTTTTAGAAGCTTAACTAAAACGATACAGAAGCAAAATTGAAATCAGAAAAGTAACTGATTTTTTAGATTTGATTGAATCCCATAAACTAAATTTTGGTTAGAAAAAGGTGAAATGGACATTATATAAGAAAACGCCACCCATTGTGTAATCAAAACCCACAAAATCTCCCAATCAAGAAGAAAATTGGCCCAACTGAATTCAGTTCTGCAACCAACAGCCTCGCAAGCAAAATATTTGCACGGTATAATAAATGGACAGAAATCAATTAAAATGAAAAGTGTAAATTCCAGTACAAATGAACAAATAATCAGGTGGTAGTCTGATTTATATAAAAAATGAGAAGTCTTGAATTCGAATCTTCTCGACTATAATTGTTTTCACCAATTTGCTCATTTCACCGCTAATCTAAGCTCACAAATAGACAAATCTTCATCCTTAAACAAGAATAGCATTACCAGTAAAACCCCAATTTATAAGAAACCTTCACTTATATTACAGACAGACAGAAGACGTATTGCCATTGCCATGCCTACCTATAAAAGCATAATGCTATACCACAAAATTCCTTCCCCTTATATATTCCAAGTAATACCGTGTAAGAAAGACAACCATATATTGCTATATTCACTTGTCAATATTTCCTATTATATCCTATTTGTAAATATATATCCCCAGACCAAAATCTCCCTATAGTTAAGATGATTAGAACTCTAAAAGTCACAACCTAATATTAATTTCTGGATCAAGCACCCTAATCTCTCATGCAATCTGCAAGAAGAGCTCAAATAATTGCAATTACAATTATAACTTTTTGATATTATCTTGGCAATTTAATAGTGAATTATTTTTATGAAACTGAAGAAGATTATAATAAGCACAAAATATACGTACCTTGTAAATGTATGGATCCTGACGACCTCCAGTTCCTGATCTTTTGATCTCTTCCTGCTTTAGCAACCTGCAAGGATCTATAAATTTTATTCCTCAACTGATAACTAAATTAAGTAGAGTTAAGAAGAAAAAGAAGATCAATATGCAGTTTCTCATAATAAAAAACCATTAAGTAATTTTAAATCCAAGAATTGCCTAATAAGTTTCTTATAATCAAAAAGTTAAATTTAATTTGCTATAAAACATAAGGACTTGTTCTTTCACCTTAGAATTGGAAAGGAAATGGAAAGTTTGTTTTAGCTTTACTGTTTAAATAATTTAATAAAATTTATTGATTAGGTTGAGAATTATGTTTCAAAAATATAACATTTGAACATAAATTTAAATAATTCATACATAAAAAAATGATCAAAAAATTCTTAAGAACCAAACCAAAAAAATAAAAAATTGTTTCAAAAATGACTATCTATTCTATTCCCAAGTCCCAGCCTTCCATACATGGCCAAGGTGTTGACAGGGTGCAAAATAAGAAAATAAGCAATTCTTTTGAGAGAGATATGGAGAGAGAGGGGTCTCACATTCTGAGAGCTTTGCTGGTGTCAGGACTATCACCAAGCACTTGGCGTATTCTCACTTCAGAGGAACTACCACGAGACAATAATTTCAATATTGCTTCGGCTTGGCGCCTCATATAAGCCGAACCGGGGCCGCAAACGGAGTTCACTTTAGCCCTCTCCGGCTTAGGCTCCATTTGGTTCCTTGTCGTCCCATTAGAAACATAGCGGCTTCGCGCGCTTGATGCTGCGCTGGATGTGCTAGATAAGCACGAATCATCTGGTGACTCTGAACGGGACGACACCTTTGCAGGCAAAGCAAGGACAATTTTCCGCTGATCGAAGCTCCAGCAGACTTCCGATCGCCTCTTTCTCACCACCTTTTAAAGTTCATGAAATTTGATCTCAAACATAGCAACCGAGTAACTCAAAATAACTACATTTACTAGGTTTTTAAGCAAAACAGCTAGTCTTATCATAATCTGAATTGAAAATTGGATATAACTCGAAAACAGAATCAAAGTCAGCTGATCCGGACCTTGAAATTGAAGTTTAATTAGACTGTTTTACTCAAATTGAGAAACAGAGATTAAACGAAAATAAAACGAAGTTGCTAGAGAAATTTGAATAAAATCGAGAACAGAATCTATACATTTAAAAAAGAATTGAGGATCGGATTCAAACTCTCATCCAAAAGAAAAATCACAAAAGGACCAAGTTAAGAGAACGAGAAGGCCAAAAAAGCTAATCCAAACAGAAAACTAAATAAATTAAACAACTAATCAAAAGCAAAATTTGGTGAAATTTTAAATAGACTAAATAGGATCACCATGAACACAAACAAGCAACTAGAAATCCCAAGATCTTCAGCTTAAAAAAAACCAAACAGAGCCAAAAACTAAATAAAATCAACTAGTAAGGCATAAAATAGCTACAAAAAGGTTTCAAACAGAGCACTTAGACTCAAAATCATCAATAAACAAGCCAACCAGCAGAAATACAAAAGAGATTGGATTAGGATTTCACCTTGAACTTCATTTCATGGCTACGGGCCACAATAGAAACCATTCTGAGTTTATGCGCCTTTTGAATCTTCATAGACGACGAGCTACCACTAGTAAGAGTTGAACATTGCGATTTTGAGCTATTCGACACAAAACTCAAGCTCTCCTCACTGCCACTCTTGTTTTCATTTCTCTCTTTCACGATCACAGATCCACCATCAAAGCCAGGCCTGTAAAAAGAAAAAAAAAAAAGAAGAAAAAAACCAAAAACGAAAACTATGAATTCAAATTTATGAGGACGAAACTGAATTGAGAAGGCAGAGAAACATGAATTTACTGTGGAGAAGAAGGAGAAAGAGGTTTGGTCTCGGAGAGAAGAAGAAGAGCAGAAGCCACAGTGCGCTCAATAGAAGATGGAAACAGAGTCATCATTTTCGTTTCGAAAGAGAATGTAATTTTGTGTTTCGAAAATGGCGGGCTGATGACAAAATATTTGAATTATTATTTTGCAATTGGCTTTCTATTTTTATCTCTCACAATTCGAAGGGAGAGACTCGGTTCTCTCTCTCTAACGGTTTCATTGGTTTGGTTCACCCAGCCGCTAGCGCTTCGGTTTGGAACTTTGGATACATAGGAAATTGGATTTTTATATATACCTAAATTTAATATTAAAAATTGTAATTATTTTTTAATACTACTTTACTGTAATTCTTTTTAAATTTTTTAAGAAAAATAATGGTATAATGGAGTTCATAATCAATCTTGTAAGCACTCTAAGAAATGACAATGAGTCAAGTACTTGACACTAATCTGACATTGAGAAAGAGTTTTGAAAAGTATATAATGAAGATGAGTTTGGATTAAATATATTATATTCGTTGAAATTATCAAATTTAATATATTGAATAAGTTATTACCCAAATTCGGTTATATAAACAAATAATTTTATAATTTAAATCATTAAATATTTTTTTTGTTTTTTTTTATTATATAAGAGTAAAAAATCATTTAAGGAAGATGAACGACAGGAGGAGAGTGGAGCAAATGAACACCAATACAGGCGAAGCATGTTTTGAGAGCCCGTCAGCACAAAAGTTGGCCTCATAGTAAATGTGACGAACATGAAGAGATATCATATCCCCAGCTGAAACAGATTTCTAATGCGATGAACAAGGGATCTGAAGATCGCTGGAGGACCAACTAAGCCATTAACACATTGAACAGCAAGTAAATTATCACATTCGATCTCCACATGAGAGATTATGAGCCAAAGCCATTTAAATGACCGAGAGAAGAGCACATCAAATATTTTAGTAGACAATAAACAAATGTACATATCTTTATAGGTTTATTAATTTTAACAGAATATAATTTACCAATGAAAAAAATAGGTTTGAACTAATTTTGAGTACTGAGTAGTGTATGGGTACTTAATTGAATTTAGAATTAAATAATTAAAGAGGTTAAATTACGTGTCCGCGGCTATACTCCATCGTTTTTTTCGTTTTAGAAAATATGGATGCACTCCACATATAAGTTATTGATGCATTGAAATATATAATTTTTAACTAACATTTTATCCATCAAAGCATAATGGATTGGAAACTATTGGTTTCTATTTAAATTAATGCAAAGTAGCAAGAAATTGCCATATTTATCCAGCATAGCATTGCTCTCTCCACAAGTTACATACTAAAACACATTATGTAATTATTATTACTGTCATTTCCTTCTTTAGAAACAAAATCAGGTGGGTTAGATCAAGGGATAATGTAATTATGGTGCATGTATTTTGTCAATTTTTTTTGTTATTTTAGTGTATGAACAGAAAATTATGCAAAACTTGCAATTTTTTTTATTTTGGTGTCTTCTGATGATATGAACTATTAGAAAGTCCAATGCGACCGATTGGTGCCCGTAAATGCCTACGTGTTCGCTTATATGGACTGACTATTTTTACACGTAGGACGCTAGCTTAGCAAAAAAGATAAAATGTCTAATTTGCCCTTCTTTAATATATATCACCCTAAACACAAGCCAATACCCCATTTTGACCAACCTAAATCACGATTCAAACCTGCAACACCTCCCTTTCTTCTTTTCTCTCCCGCTCTTCTTTTGTCCTTCTCAAAGATGGATTTTCGATTTTGCAAGTGTGGAATTGTATGCCCAATTTGAACATCATGGATGGAGTTGAATCCTAGAATGAGATTTGTTGCTTGCAAGATTCGATTGGTGAGTGTGTATTTATATTTTACCCCTTTTATTTCATTTTAGGGTTTTCACTTATTTTCGTTTGAGATTGAAATTACTTTTTGTAATTTGAAGGTTGAGCAGAACAATTGTTGCGATATCTTTGAATGACTCAATCTTGTTATGTGCAACAGAGCAAAGATGATTATTCCTGGATTGTTGAAGAACAAGAATGAGATAGAAGTTGAGTTGCAGAGAAGCTAAAAACGAGAAAAGTTTTTATGGGTTTAAGTTGTTTTGTCCATCATTATAATTATGTTGAAATGGTGATTGAAGTAATTTGCTGGGTAATTTATTTTTGAAATGTTAGAATGAATTTTAATTTAGTTAGGATGAAGCTAAAATGTAATATAGATTGAATGGAATTATCTCTGTTTGTAATGATGAATCTTTTGCCAAGTGAAATCAATTTTATATTCTATAAATGTTTCCTTTGATCTATTTGTTTAAATGTGTGAATTAGTATTACTGGTGTAGAGTTTGTGTATTATTAAAATCAAGGAAAATGGACATGAATCAAAGAAGCAAATTCTTGCAGAAAATCATGCAAATTATGGACCTAAAAAATGCAGCAAAATTCGGCAGAAAATTACTCAAAATTTTGCAGCAAAATGGATTGTGTTTGGGACGATATTAAAGAAGGGTAAATGAGACATTTTATTTCTTTTGCTACACTGGGATCTTATGTATAAATATAGTCAATCCACGTGCGTAGACACATAGACATTTGTAGGTTTCAATTAATCTCATTGGATTTTTCAATAATCTATGTCATCAAGAGACATCAAAATGAAAAAATTAGACACTCGGTTGTTATTATTTTCTGTTAGACACCAAAATAAAAATAAATGACAAATACAGACACTAAAATTAATATTATCCCGTTAGATTAATAAAATTCTAAATATATTCACAAAACTCTATCATTAGTACATAACAAGGCAGTCAAGTTAACAAATAATGGATACACCAAATCCATTACTTCCCTACTTAAGATTTGATCTTTAGCTTATTACTTCTTTTTTTTTAATCAAAATAATATGGACATATTCTTTCGATTTTTTAAATTTCTTTTTAAATTCTTCGGATCTTCACGTCTAAAAGGAATGAAAAGATTAATTAGATAAAATCTAATTATAACTATTGTCACTTTGATTGTTAATGATGCAAGGATCAAAATTAAAATTTATAATCTCTCTTAAGTTGAAATAATTTATTTATAATTGCACTATTAGTGAAATAATAAAAATGAAAACTACTAATGTTGCTAAAAGTGTTGTAAGCCGTTCTCAGTTGCTTCTCATTGAGGCAAACACAGAAACACATGGGCAAACAAAATTTCAATTTCTTATTAAACATTTTGTTTATTTATAAATTATATCAGTGGGTATGCACGTGACAGACAAGCAAGGTTTAGAGTACAGCCAACTTGCTAATTGCCAAATAATATCATGTTTCCCCAATCAAGCCAACCGTAAAATATAATAGCAAATTGATTTAGGTTAGTTAGAATAAATATTTTAATTTAAATCACAATAAAATATAAAAAAATATAAAGTTAAATAAGATAGATGATCTAATTGTTTTTCTTTCTTATGCATTTAAAGTAATATAAACTCAGAAATTTTTACTATTTTGAAGGCAATTTTAGTATTCTAATATGAGTTTTGTTTCGCTCAATTTTGGAAAATTTCAATTATTCACATTTTATAAAGTTGTTGATTCCAAAATTGAACGGTTAGTGAATTTTGGATGTTATTTAATTTTATTTTGATTAAAGCTCCACCCAAATGCCAACAAAAAAAAAAAAAGAAAAGTTTCAAATTAGGGTTTTAATTTTAATTTTTTTATATTAAAATTCAAATGATATACACAATCGGAAAGTTTTGATAAATAAATTATCAAACATAGAATTAGTTTGTTTTTGTGTATGATAATAATCTATTTATTTGACTTTATAAATAAGTAAAAATTAAAAAGAAATTTCCTTTCAAAAAATAAAAAATAAAAAGAAATTTATATAGGAAGAAAAAGAAATGAAAAGAATAAAATAGAAGACAGTGACACACTACCCCTCCCTTCCACCCCACCAAAAAAGTAGCAGGTACGTTACATTACAATTTCATTGAAGTCGAAGGAACCTCCACCCAACTGTTACTGTCGGCAACAACAACCAAACATCCTTCTTTGCCAGAAGCCAGTCAGCCATTGGAAGCAACCGAGCAATTGGGTTTGAGCTTTGGAGAGAGAAGACGGGAATAAAAACGAAAGCCCAAAAAAGGAAACGTTTTTTGTTTTTTAAATACAAGAAAAAGAAAATGAGAAATAACAGACTCTTTCTTTAGACGAAAGTAGAGTCAAGCTTAGAGTCTGCAATTGAGATTCGCAGATTACAGTTTCAGTCCTTCTTCTAGTACTGAGCTCCCTGAAGTGTTTACTGTTAGGCAAAGTTAAACAGAAATTTCTTTTTCTGTTTTGGGGATTACCAATGTTGGTCCAAGACCGTACAACGGCCCCCAAATCCCCCAAATCTTCACGAACTTTGCCTACTTTCAATCCAAACAACCACCATCAGGAAAGCTACCGTTTTTCGCCATCCAAATCCCTAGATTTCTCCACTTGGTTTGCAGAGAATCTTTACAAGATCATTACTTGTTTTTTTCTTATTTTCACTGTTGCTATAGTCTTCTTCCTCTGGAATACTGGTGATTCTGCTGCTTTTCTCTATCTTCAATCGAGAACCCAACCCATTGAGAAAACCCTTCATTTTCCTCAAATTAATTGGAATCGTATCACACCCATCACTGATAAGACTTCTCCTTACGCGAATTTCCGTACGGAGAAATGGATTGTTGTTTCAGTGTCTGACTATCCATCGGATTCGCTAAGAAAACTTGTTAAAATCAAAGGGTGGCAGTTGTTGGCAATTGGGAATTCGAAGACACCAAGAGATTGGGTTTTAAAGGGTGCAATTTTCCTGTCTTTGGATCAGCAAGCGAGCTTGGGATTTAAGGTTGTGGATTTTGTGCCATTTGATTCGTATGTGAGGAAAAGTGTTGGGTATTTGTTTGCTATACAACATGGGGCGAAGAAGATTTTCGATGCTGATGATCGAGGTGAAGTGATTGGAGATAATTTAGGGAAGCATTTTGATGTGGAATTAGTTGGGGAAGGAGCTAGGCAAGAGACTATTTTGCAGTATAGTCATGAGAATGTGAATAGGTCTGTGTTGAATCCTTATATTCATTTTGGGCAGAGGTCAGTTTGGCCTAGAGGCTTACCATTGGAAAATGTGGGTGAAATTGAGCATGAAGAGTTTTACACAGAGGTTTTTAGTGGGAAACAATTTATACAGCAAGGGATATCAAATGGGTTACCAGATGTTGATTCTGTGTTTTATTTTACTAGGAAATCTGGTTTGGAAGCTTTTGATATTAGGTTTGATGAGCATGCCCCAAAAGTGGCATTGCCTCAAGGGATAATGGTGCCTGTCAATTCATTTAATACAATTTACCATTCACCGGCCTTTTGGGGTTTGATGCTTCCGGTTTCAGTCAGTACAATGGCTTCTGATGTGTTAAGGGGTTATTGGGGGCAAAGGCTTTTGTGGGAGATTGGTGGATATGTTGTGGTTTATCCACCTACTGTGCATAGATATGATAGAACTGAGGGATACCCATTTTCAGAGGAGAAAGATCTTCATGTAAATGTAGGAAGGTTGATTAAGTTCTTGGTCGCATGGAGATCAAATAAACATAGGTTGTTTGAAAAGATTTTGGAGTTGAGTTATGCAATGGCAGAGGAAGGATTTTGGACTGAACAGGATGTTAGGTTTACTGCTGCTTGGCTTCAGGACTTGATTGCTGTTGGATATCAGCAGCCTAGGTTAATGTCACTAGAATTGGATCGACCACGGGCAAGTATTGGTCATGGAGATCGAAGGGAGTTTATCCCTCGTAAGTTGCCATCTGTGCATCTCGGAGTAGAGGAAGCAGGAACAGTGAATTATGAGATTGGTAACTTGATTCGGTGGAGGAAGAATTTTGGTAATGTGGTGCTAATTATGTTTTGCACCAGTCCTGTGGAACGGACTGCCCTGGAATGGAGATTGCTGTATGGGAGGATATTCAAAACTGTGGTTATCTTATCACAGCAGAAGAATGAGGATCTTGCTGTTGAAGAAGGTCATTTGGAACAGTTATACAAGTAAGTTTTGATATAATAATGATATACATTTAGCATAGACTATTGTAATTGTTTATCATCTGTTGATTACATCATCCATTGATTGATATTTCAGAATTCAGATCTAGATACAATTTGAACCTAGCTTAGATATTTGAGGACTATTCATATTCACTCTTGATTAAGCAGATATCTAAATTCTTATCTCATGCTTGGCCTCCTGTTGAGATTGGCAGGGTTGGCATGTTCAAAGTGTGGCCACACTCTTATCAGAATGAAATAGAAATTTGTGATGCATGCAAGATCTTAAAGGGCAATGCCTATTAATTGGTGAGGAGCTAAAGTACTAGAAATCTGGGAGTAAAAACTTGTGTTGGATGGGTTAATTGATAGAATCTTGGCTGGCTAGCTTTTTATCGGTCCTATTAGTTTTAGGTGTCTTTGTAAATTGTGGTTGCCTTTAAGATTTTGAGTGCCTGTTGATCTTTAGGTGACATATGTAGCAATCATGTTGGAGTTCTATGCATTTGGATATTAAAGCTGGAATTGTTTCAGTTATGTAAAAGTATGTGCATGTTTATATACTCCACTCAAGCCTGTTCTAACCTCTGAATGCCAACCATCAATATGGGTTTTGTGAGAGTGACTCGTTCACCTCTTTGGTTCTCTCTGTATCCATTTTCTGTTGACTCATCTGCAATTTGCTTTGCCTGCTCTGTCACAACTCATAATATGAAGTTCATTGCATCCCAAGTTCCTGCACTTTTAGATCAGGTAGAACTTCAGATCAGATAACTGTAAATGTTGCCCATTAGAACATCAGAACATCAGAACAAGGTTTACTCCCGACTTTATGACCTTAAATTAGGAATCCTTTCTTACTGATCCATATAAATTCTGTGTCACGAGTAAGCCAAAATAGATGTACTCTCAGATTCTTGAAAGTTGAAACCTATGGACAATAAATTTTCTTTGAGTTATGTAGATGAGTATGCTGGCTGTTTGTTTTTTTTTTTTTCCTGTTTCATTTGGTCCCTAAGAGTTAGGGCAATACCCTAATACAGAAGCTGGCCATGTCCTTCATATCCTTAGAAGGCCCGACTCTCACAATGACATTGTTATCCTCGATTTTGATGGTACATGATATTAATTTCAAAAATTTAGCCAAGATGAATAGATTATCCTGACTTTACTGCCATAATTCTCTTCTCTTTTATGGATGCATTTGCCTTTTCCTCTCTAATATCCTTAGAAGGTCTAACTATCTCAGTTCTGATGGAATTGTAAAAATTCAAAAATTTATCCAAAATGAATGCTCCATAATTCTCTTTTCTTTATGGATGCATTTGACTTTTCCTCTCTCATCTCCCCCTTTCACAAGCAAAGTTTTGACAAATGTTGGTTTGGAGTCATGTCAAATTGAGGTTATTGACGTTTTTATTTTGAACTTCTATTTAAAGCTACATTTGGCAGTTATGCTGTCAACATCGGATTCTTAGGGATGCATTTATTGTTGGTAAGCATAGCATTGATGTAAAATGAAGTTCTAACTATTCACCTTGTGCATTGGATATTCCACATCTTTCATCTTAAGTGTCTTAACTATATCAGTTCTGATGGAATTGTAAAATATTCAAAAATTTTATCCAAAGAATGAAATGGCTCCATAATTCTCTTCTTCTTTATGGATTGCATTTGACTTTTGCCTCTCTCATCTCCCCGCTCTTGCACAAGCAAAGTTTTGAACCAAATGTTGGTTTGGAGTTCATGTCAAATTGAGGTTATTGACGTTTTTTATTTTGAACTTCTATTTAAATAGCTAGCAAATTTTGGCAGTTATGCTGTCAACGTATGGATTCTTAGCGGATGGCATTTATTGTTTGGGTTAAGCATAGCATTGATGTAAAATGAAGTTGCTAAACTATTCACCTTGTTGGGCATTGGATATTCCACATCTTTGCATCTTAAACTTTATTTTATTTAATTGGATGTATAGTGAAGTTCTAAGCTATTGCAACCTATGCAGTTGGATATTCCCACATCTTTCATCTTAAAACTTTACTTTATTCACTGATTTTTCGTTCCTAATATTGGGGTTACAAGGGAACTGCCCAAGATTTTTAATCGGTTTAGCTAGTGCAAGAAAGGCTTTTTTATTGCCTTAAGGATGAATACTGTCGCTTAATTACTTGGAATTGTGCTTGCAGGCAGACATTGGATATTCCACATCTTTCATCTTAAACTTTATTTTATTTATTGATGTAAAGTGAAGTTCTAACTATTCAACCTATGCATTGGATATTCCACATCTTTCATCTTAAACTTTATTTTATTTATTGATGTAAAGTGAAGTTCTAACTATTCAACCTATGCATTGGATATTCCACATCTTTCATCTTAAAACTTTACTTTATTCACTGATTTTTCGTTCCTAATATTGGTTACAGGCAACTGCCCAAGATTTTTAATCGGTTTACTAGTGCAGAAGGCTTTTTATTCCTTAAGGATGATACTGTCCTTAATTATTGGAATTTGCTTCAGGCAGACAAGACTAAGCTATGGATTACAGACAAGGTAACATTTTAGCCTTCCGCTGCCCCTTTCTGTTTATATTGTTCTCCTTTCAAGATTGAAAAACTCACTTTTTTCATTCATTTTGCTTTCGGACATGAATAGGGACCTTAGAAATTCATTGTTGTTAGAATATTTTAGCTTCTCTTCTGATACTTCAGTTTATCATTTGCAAATTTTTAGATTATTATACTAGTATGCAGATATTATCAAATAACAGAAAACAGAATACTGTGGTTTATTCAGTAATTCTTAATGATACCTTGTGCTCATCATCATGGACAAAAAATGTGGCTACACGCACTCTGCCTTCCCTTGTCTCAACTTTGTCCATCTCTATCTCTTCTCTGACCCATTTCCCCCATTTTTTTGGTTCAGGTATCTAAATCGTGGAGCACCATGTCCACCAAGGGGGACTCCGATTGGTATGCAAAACAAGCAGAAATGGTGAAAAAGGTTGTTAGCTCAATGCCTGTTCACTTCCAAGTCAATTACAAGGATGCTATGAGTGATCAGAGTCTCACAATATGCAGTTCTGAGATATTCTATATTCCTCGCCACTTTGGAGCTGACTTTACCGAGCTTGTAAGTCTTGTGGGTGATCTGGAAATCCATAACAACGTTGCTATACCAATGTTTTTTGTTTCAATGGATTCACCGCAGAATTTTGATTCTGTGCTTAATACAATGGTATATAAACGGAAGCCACCTTCAACTAATTCAACCCTTTATTCTGCTCAAGCACCTGCTATTCACCCATGGAACGTGTCGAGTGAACAAGATTTTATAAAGCTGGTAAGAATAATGGCAGAAGGTGATCCTCTCCTAATGGAGTTCGTTTGAAGATAAAATCTTCTTTTTGATACTTGCAAGAACCACGATAGAGTCAACGAACTGTACCATTTTGTAATTGATACAAATTTCTCTTTTGTTTTTCTTTTCCAATTTTTCTAGAAGGGGAAGGCTCTTTTTGCTTTTAAAATGTAATTGCAAATTTTTTTTTAATAATTTTCTTGTAGATTTATCTTGTATGATTCATTGACTGATTGGGGATTCCCCTCCAATGATAAATGTTTTAGGCTTTTTCTTTGTCTAAAGAAAATATAAGAACACTGCTTTTAGCATCAATTTCAGTTTCTTGATTGTGTCATTTATATTCTTGAATGAATAAGGAGCCTTTGGAGGAGATTTTTCTGTTCTATTTGCTGTCAATTTGGACAATGGAGGATATAGAGAGTGTAGTTGAGAATTCGATAATAACAAATCAGCTGAAGTAATATTTCTTATAGTTGATAAGGAGTTGCATAATTGTCAGGAATCAAGTGAAGATTTTCCTCTTGATATTTAAACAGTAGGCAACTCCCTTGTCACGGGGATTAAATTACATCATGGACTTTTATAAACAAATTTTACATTTCAAGTGTTCCAGGAAATTGCGTCCATTCAATTACTAGCATGAAGAGAAGCAACTTCAGACTCATCAGATTGGATCATTTGAATTGATATTTCAACTCAACTCTATAGCATTTCGTTTACCTATTTACCTATCAATTCCTTCAATCTTGTCTTCAACTTCTGAGTAGAGCTGTCTCAACCTCTCAATATTTTCCTGTGTTGTTTCCCAGTAACCACGGCCATTGGCCTCTAAGAATGTCTGCACTAACTTCCTAAATGAATTTGGATTAGTGCTCATCAATCTATTAAGCATTTCTTCATCTTGTATGAAAGTGGTGTTTGCCTCTTCATAAACCCAGTTGTCGACTTGGCCAGAAGTCGCACTCCATCCAACTGTATTTGTCAGCCTCTTCTCAATTTCACGAACACCTTCATACCCGCTAGACAGCATACCTTCATACCACTTAGGGTTCAGCAATTTGGTCCGTGCATCAAGCCGGACAGTCTCAGATAGTGTGCGGACCTGGTGGAAACATTTTAAATTATTTAGTACAAGCATAAGAGATTTTGATAAGAATCTTAGGAAAGGTTTAAATTGCTACCTGAGCATTAGCTGTTGTTGTGTCTGCAATGTATGCACTCGGCTTCTTTTTGTCCTTCCTTAAGTTCTGCACTAAGTTTGTTGGGTCTGAATCAAAGTAATGGCTTACATCAGTGAGTGAAATCTCTGAGGAATCCAGGTTTTGGAATGTGGCATCCGCTGTGCTCAGAGCCATCTCAAACACTTTTCTTTTCTCCATCATTCCAGCACCTGGGGCATCACAATCGAATGCAAAGGACTTCCGGCTCAAGTACATGTCCTGAAGTTGCTTCTCATCATTCCAAGAAGAATTCTCCACTGCAAGGTTTATGTTTGAGGAGTAGGATCCTGAGGCATTGGAGAAAACTCGTGTTGCAGCTTCTCGAATGTCGATTCCAAGGGTTTCAGCTTGTTCTATAGCATGCTTCCTGACATAGTTTTGGTCAGCTGGCTCATCAAGCTCAGCAACCATCTTCACTGCACGATCAAGCAGGTTCATCTGAGGAAAAAGAAGACAAAATGGTCAGTAAAACAATAAAGCAAAATAAATCAACTGATTCAAATGAACACCTCTTAGAAATGAAAGGAGAACAAGGATTGGTACCTGATTTATGAAGAGATCCCTGAAAACTCCCGAGCAATTCACAACAACATCAATCCTAGGCCTTCCAAGCTCTTCAAGACTTACGGGTTCAACTCGGTTAACCCTGCCAAAAGTATCAGCAACTGGCCTCACTCCAATCATCCATAAGACCTGAGCCAGAGATTCACCATAAGTCTTGATGTTATCAGTTCCCCACAGCACAAGTGCGACTGTCTCGGGATACTTTCCTCCGTTATCAGCCTTCTGCCTCTCAACTAATCTATCCACCACTACTTTTGCACTTTGCATTGCTGCTGTTGTAGGAATAGCTTGTGGGTCCAGTGCATGAATGTTCTTTCCTGTAGGCAACACCTTTGGGTTTCTAATAGGGTCACCACCAGGACCTGGCTCAACATATTTGCCCTCCAAAGCTTGTTTTAGACTCCCCAACTCATTATCAGCAACAACTAATTTCAAACATTCTCCAAGAAATTGGAACAATGTTCTCAGCTTATCTCTATCTGCCCGGTAAAATTTTGTGTTTGACAAGTACTGAATCCAAGGTTCATTGACACCAAATCCAAGGATTGTCGTGAGCTTATCAGCAACATCTACAACTTGGCCCTTCTTGTTAGTTGTTCGTTCTACAAAGGCAGTTATGGCACCACGTGATGCCTCAGTTATTTGCCGAAGAAGCTCTACATCCTTCAAGATTCCCTTGTCACTCCCTCTATAGACTTCCTCAATTTCTCGTCCAACAGTTTCAGCTAAAATAGATGGGAGTGAGCAAATCTCATCTTCAGGACGATCAAGTGCAGCAATGTTGACAAGAGTTGCAACTGCTTCCATGGCAGATGGAGGCTCGCCTATCACATGAAGCCCACATGGCAAAAGCCGGGATTCAATCTCCATGATCTTGGAGTATACCTTTCCAACCACAAGATCTCTCTCTTTAGCAGGGATCTCCTCTCCCTCATCTGGAAGTTCAACATCCTTGTCGAGATTACACTGCTTAGCAGTGCTAATTATGGAGCTCACAATTTGAGGTCCACGACCTGTGTCTTTAAGGGACTGGTATGAGGAGATAAGCTCACTCAACTGCTTGAGACCCTTGTAAAGACCTGCATTTTCTGCTGGAGGGGTCAAATAGCTAATAGTGTTAGCATAGCTTCGACGTTTTGCTATTGTAGCTTCAGATGGGTTATTTGCTGCATAATAGTAGACATTAGGTATGTTCCCAATGAGAGAATCTGGATAGCACACATCACTCATTCCCACCTGCTTTCCAGGCATGAATTCAAGCGAACCATGAGTTCCAAAATGCAGTACTGCATCAGCTTTGAAAATTTTCTCAACAAATGAGTAGTAAGCAGCAAACCCATGATGTGGGCTGGCAGATTTTGAGAAAAGCAATCGCATCGGATCGCCTTCATAACCAAAAGTGGGCTGGACGCCAATAAAGACATTTCCATACTGCTTTCCATACACCAATAGGTTCTCACCATCAGAATTCAAATTCCCGGGAGGTTTACCCCAGTTTTCTTCCAATGCTGTTGCATAGGGAGTAAGGCTTTGGTACTCCCGAACACCCATTTTGTAAGCAACATTTAAGTTTGGACTGCTGAACTGAGCCTCTTTATCATGAAGTATGTCTTCAATTAAGGCTTCTGAAGTCTCTGGAAGGCCCTCAACATTGTAACCATCTTTTTTGAGATCCTTTAGAACTGAGAAGATGGAGGAGAAGACATTAAGGTAGGCTGCTGTTCCAACATTCCCCTTGTCTGGAGGGAAACTGAATACGGTGATTGCCAGCTTCTTCTCGGTCTGCATTGATATAAAAATTTGTCATAACATACTCACTAAAAAACAAAATGAGTTCAAGGAATCATCTTCTCGGACAAAATTGAGAAAGAAAATGAATTATCGATCTTCATAACAACGAGACCCATTTTGTTTCCTAAGTAGAAAATTCACCAGAAAGGATCATCATGTATCATAAAATGCTCCAAAACTATCATCACATTAGACATATTTCTAGCCTATATGTTTGACAATTAAGTCTTCAATCACATGGTAGAGGGAGAGAAGGAACCAAAGAAAGAGGCAGAGGGGAAGCAACCTGTCTCTATCATGCAAAAAATTTGTTGATCAAAGCATGAAATGAAAAACATAGTTATTTTGATAAATAATATGCGTAAACATTTCAGTAGTATCTGTTACTCATGTGAGAAAGATGACTTATTTACCCACAAGCCATCTTTCTCTCGTCATTAGAGAGTATGGATTCATATATAAATTAAGTTAGTGATGACAGAAACATATATATCAACAATCATAATTTTGCTAAGAAAATTTTATAACCCTCGGTTGCACTTGAGTATCGTTTCTGTTTCCAAATAAATTCCCATTTTAGTTTTCAAATAATGAAATCAAGATTGGAATGTCACAGTGAACTTCATTTATTTTCACAAGCAACTGAAAATTGTATACTAAAGAAAAAAAAAACAGCGGAAAAAAAAAAAAAGGAAGCAAGCCTCTACTGAGGAAAAAAGAAAACAGAAAGGTTAGACAGAAAGACCTTTGATTTCCTTTTCAGTTCTGCCCATCTGATTGCCCTGGTGCAAAGCTGCTCCACCCTCTTGTGAAGAGCATGTGATTTTCCTGCAGTCACATTGAATTTATTATTAACCATTAAAAAATTGTGAGAAGCTTCGACTTGTAGAAAATGAAATATGAGTAATACATTGCCTAAACGGCTGTGTTCCTTAAGAATGCAAAACAAATCTGATTCTAAATCCTTAAAATAGTTCCAAAAAGTAGTGAGTTTAAGTAAATTATATACAAAATGACAAGAAACAGAAATTAGAAAAGAAAAATTCTTGTCAAAATAACAATAATAAAAAAAAAAACTTGCCTGTTCTTGGGTCCCGGCCGGCAAAAACAATTGGCTCCATTCCACCATCAAGCTCAGGAAGAGCAACTTGCAATGCAACCTGGATTGGGTGAAGCCCTAGAGTACTGTTTAACCATTCCTCAGTTGTTTGAAACACCAAAGGCAAGGCGACAATATAAGGCACATCAAGCTTACTCAATGCCTCAACAGCTCTAGGATGGTCCTGCCTTGCTGGGCCACCAACAAGTGCAAAACCAGTCAATGACACAACTGAATTCACCATAGGTTTCTTCGTAACAGGATCAATCAAATATCTCTCAACTGGCCCTGAAAAATCAAGCCCACCAGCAAAAATTGGTATCACTTTAGCACCTTTTGCCTCCAACTCCATAATCACAGCAACATAGTGACCCTCATCACCAGTTACAATATGACTTCTTTGTAAAATCAGCCCGATAACTGGTGCATTAGCGTCTTTAAGCTTCTCATTAGCATCTTTTCTAGTTCCATACCAATTCAAATACTCCTTAACGTCATCATACATACAAGGAGCCAAAGGGTGCCATATTCCACTATCTAAGAACAAAACTGGATCAGAATACTCAATCTTTTTCCCTTTCAATGCAGGCACATAAGAGCCAGATATCATTTTCAAGAAATTCTGCAAATTATCAGGAGACCCTCCAAGCCAAAATTGCAAACTCAAGATATAAAGCCTGGCATCTTGAGCTTTATCACTAGGCAAGTACTTCAAAACCTTAGGTAAAGTCCTTACCAACTTCAACATACTGTCAGCAAAACCTGCCCCTTGTTTCTTCCTCTTGAATAACTGAAAAAATGGACTTTTTGATTGGCCAAGTTGTGACATACTAAAAGAACCCAATTTGTTAAGTCTCATTACTTCAGGCATTGAAGGGAACACCAGAACTGCATCAAGTCTGTCCCTTTCTTTCTCCACAGCATCTTTAACCTTCAATGCTAACTCCTCAACAAAGATCAATGAACCAATAAAGATATTTGCATCTTCGATGTCTCTGCAGAAAGTTTTGTATGTAGATTCATCTCTAAGCTCCTCTACTAAGTAACCCACCACTTCAAATAACGCAAATTTGGAAGTCTTGTTTAAAGCTTGAACTGCAGCTGTAAGTGAAGACTGGTATTGGGCTTCAAGAACTACATAGACAATTTTGACTGTGGGGAGATTTTGATTCTCATTCTTCTCAGGGACAATTCTTCGAACTTCTGGTGTTGTTTGTGTAAAAAGGCCATTTCCAATACATTTTACTTTCAAGGCTGATTTGGAGTTTTTTTGGATGGTTTTCTTTGGAAGAAATGAATGGAGAAAGTTATGTTTTTGAGCTAGTGAAGAAAGTTGGTCTCGTTTCGAAGATGGCACAATAAATTGTGAAGATACAAGAGAAGCCATTTTTACACTAACAAGCAACTCAAAAACAGAGCACTCTGTTTATCCTCCTCTGTTTTCTAAATTACAGAGGAAGAAATAGAAAAGTCGAGAGGAGAGACTCTAAAAACAAAAATACTTTTTATTTATAATTTCTTTCTGGGTATTTGCTTCTATAAAGAAAGAGAGAGAGGGAGTTTCCTCTTCTTCTTCTTCTCCTTCTTCTTTGAAGAGGTTAAAGTGTGTGTTTATAAGTTTGTTGTAAGAGAAGAGAAGGTGACATTGAGAATTGAAACAGTCTGTTACTGTGATTAGTGGTGCGAGAGAAGAACACGTGGCAAAATGGGTAGTCAAAAAACTATGATGGGGACTCTGTTTTTATGAGGTTGAGTTTTGTTTTTAGGAGAGAGAAAAATTTGGGTATGGGCAACTTATCTATCCTTTTGGGTTTTTATGATGGAGTTTCCTGAAATCTGATTGGTTGTATAGGATTTCCCAAAAGTACCATACCATAAGGCATAAGGCAAGTGATGTGGAGTGTGGATGATGATCCAAGTGAATGTATAGATTTTTCTTGCAGTGTAAGAGGTGCCTGTTTTTGCCTTGTAAAAGATTCTTCAATTTTTGAGTCTGTCTCTCTCCATTCACAAGGAATTTGATATTTTTTATTTTCTTTTGTGAACTTAATTTAATGCAAATGGGACCATGTACTGTGCCCTTTTATTTCAAGAAAACGAAAATGAAAAACAGAGTTAAAATGAAGATAGTAAACAGAGCAAAAGCTCAGTTAAATCCATGCATGGGCCCTTTGTCTGGTTGCTTTCTCATTCACTTCCTTCTCTCTCTCTCTCTCTCGTTACTAATGCATTTGAGCCAGATATTCCACCCAACTTTCAGTGGCTGAAGGGTGAGAATGAACTTGACAAAATTAAAAAGGAACTCTTCCTTTTCTTTGGTATGAAAGAGCTCATCATTGTTAAATGTTAAGCATTAGACTCTCTTTCTCGTGTCTCCATCGTGACCTTGCAGAGTAGCTACGCTAATAAAATTTTGCAGGACTCCTCAAAAATCTTACAGGGTAACGATTATTTAATTCGGTTGGTTGCACATCAGCTTTGGATTTCAAAACCCTTTTTTTAGCTTTTATATGTTAATACAATATTTTATAAAAAATTAACATATGTAACATTTAACTTTTAGTCAACTACTGGACACTCAAACACCCGATGAATATCCTAATGCAATGCACTAATCAAGATTCATGCTTGTCAAATTAAGTCAATAACCTACTAACCCATTAATAATCCTAACTCTGTTGATGTTCCAAATTCTAGTTCAAGAGTACTGAACAACTGGTAACACACAATAAAATCTTCAGTCATCAATATAGCCAGGAGCCAAGAGCCAAAAAGTGGAGCTCTTCTTATATTATCATTTTGTCGTTTTTCCTTTCCTTGGCTGTTCTTCCCAGGGGAAAGGAGAATACAACAAATATTGAACAAGTTGCAATAAGACATCCAATGTGTCCAGTTAGTCTGCCAAGCAAAAATTGTGGCCAAGGTTTTGTGAATACTTACCATAACGGTTAATCAACCTTTTAACTGTTGTCGCAGAAATAGACCAGTAGCAAACCTTTAAGGGCGGTTTGGTTTGTTTATCCTTATTAAACCTTCAATTTGTTTGTTCGGACAGCAGTAAATAGTTTATTTGCTTGAGCTAAATCAATAAATTACTTCTCCTCCGAATTTGCAAACCAAATTTTATCTGAATAATGATAGCTCCCTTAATATATAAATACAGATTTAACATGTAATGATATTAATAATGAAAGCTCCAAGCCAGAAATGAGATGTAACAAACCCTCACCCTACTTCTTCTACTCTTGGCAAAAAAAATTGAAAAAAAAAAAAAAGAAAATCCTCATTAATGGTCATAAAGATCGAAGAAAATGCAACAGTAGCTATTTTGCTGCAACCAAAATTCACTACCACGGTTTTGTCTAATCTAATAATCTAACTTCAAAAATTCACCATGTTCACCGCAGGAACAAGATAGAGTGGACACTGTATATTGATTGGACATGCCCTCAGCACTTAAAACATTAAACTCGGTCAATCTCCATACCAGAAATGGCCTCATCTAAAATCCCTTGAAGTTCCTTCACTCTTTGCCTTGTTAATGCTACACAATCCTGCACATAAAGGAAGTCACTTCTTAATCACAAAAAAGATTATTACCAAACTTGTAATTGACATGCAACTAAGTCATAGGACCAGTTTGCTAGTTCTGTATCAGCATCTAGCTAATACCCTTATCACTATTTATCATTTACAATTGACATACAAATAGGTCATAGGAGATTTTGTTAGTTCTGTATCAGCATCTAGCTAATACCTTTATCACTATTTATCATTGACAAGGAAATGATCTTGTCAATGACACAAGGGTTCTAATAAAATTGTAAATTTTAAAAATTTGAGTTTTAGAACAGTGCTAACAGATCTAGAATGATGAACACATTTTGCATATCTATTGAATCATGGTGGTTTCAAAGAAATCTCATGCCAGAAAATGATTTGTATTAACCCTTAACTTACTGGAATTAGAAAGACCCCTTCACATCAAATTTGAATTTTCTGGGTGCTCAAAATAGATACTTAAAAGAATTTACCTGGACAGCTGATGTATAGGCAAGAACTGGTCCACCTGGCTTGTAAAAGGAAACAAGTCTAGCAGATGAATCTAAAACTACTGTTACAAGAGTTTCCATGATAGATTCTTCCTCTGCAGTGGGGTCTGCCAAGATGTAGTTCTTGTGAAGTATGAATGTTAATGAGAATGGCAGGCTACTCAGTGTCAGCTTCCTCTTCTCCTGATTGACTGGCTTCTTTTCTGACCTTCCTATCTCATCTTCCTCAGACAAAACTACTATCTTTCCATCATCATTCAGTGAAACTATGGGTATTTGCACTGTAAAATATCAAACTTGTATAATAAATAAGGCAGTTGTAAATCAGGTCTGAACCATGGACAAAATTTAGTTTAATAAACACAAAATAATAATGTCAACACAAAGAAAAGAAGAGTCTTTTGGTTCAATCTTGAAAAGGAGCAAACGTTCAACTAGCCTACAAACTTTTCATTCAACGTTAGTTAGGCTCATGGATGGGTTAAGTTCAGTATGCAATATAGACAATTGAATTGAAGGATGCAATATCTAATCCAGGCAGCAGAAATTATTTGAGAGAGAGTGTTATAGTCAGATGATTTAAAATCAGAGCAATCCTTATTATTGACAACTTCTGGGGAACAGATTCCCCTTTAATAATAGTCCTTTTTCCCTTTAACTAGCTACATAGCATCCTCTAAATGGGAAAGAAACAGTGACTTAGATAAAAATCTAAATAAGAATATGTTTTCTTTAGACGCAAAACAAACCCATTATTATGTACAAAACCAATCAACTTTCATCTCCCATGTCCACATAAAATTTGCATCATAGGAAATGATTTATATAAGGAGCTAAAAGATAAAGTCCAAGGTTTTTCAAGCATGCTGTTTTTTACTGGCTGTGTCAGTCAGCACTTCAACAAGCCTTTCAACATGATGGAAAAATATGAAACATGGGCAAGCTTACAATGGGAGAAGGCGGCAACTACTGAAAACAATGCAGCATCAAAAAGAGCACCATCAGCATCCAAACAATAGATATCCTGCAAGAGATATTTTTGGGCATCAATTCACGTCCGATAGAAATACCCATAATATGGTAACTAAACATGCTGAAAAAATAAATAAATAAAAGATCAACAACAATTATGATAAAATTTAATTTCATTCATTGAAATATAAGGGGAAAAATCTCGAATGAATGCCAAGTGCACATTCATCCTGCTTTGGGGGAAAAATAAAAAGGAAAGAACATTTGATGTTATTTTTAGATGCAAATATGAGAGAAGTATGTAACAATCATCCGCAATACCAGGTATGCCATCCATGCAGCTTTTCCACTAACCAGAGATAGTTCCTTTAAATTAATCATGCCAGAACTGCAACAAACCATGTAAATTGTCATTGCAAAACATCTTGAACTGGGAATGCAATTGGTCTATGGGAAGAAGAATCGGGAAAACGGATAGTGTCATTGAACTTGATTCCTAACAACTGTTTGAAGTAGCAAAGAGATATGTTAAGGTGCTTAATCTCCAGTTCTAAGAGCAATATATTAGTTAAGATTTTCTACAACTAGCCAATGTTTTTGTAAACATAATATAATTTAACCCCTAGTTAAAACATGCAAGGATATATCAGTTCTTTAGCACATCTGTTGAAATCAAGATTTCTTATAAATCAACAAAAAACTAGAAAAGCCTTCTCTTATTAGAAAACACGTTCGAAGAGTTGCATAGCTCTGCCACCATGAACTAGTTTCACATGACTACATCACATTTACATGCATATATCAATACTCGGAAACTCTTAGGAATACCAGGTCCTGCCAGACAGGGCTTTGCATGAAGATATTATCACTTCACTTCATAAAAACAATAACAACAATAATACCAGTCCGTATTCATGGGTTACAGAGACATAAACCATCATTAAAGAGATTTTCACATGTCTAGTGTGTTACTCGAGAAAGAAAGAGTGAGCTAGTGAAATGGATAATGATATCTCGCTCCTTCTTTTCTTAGTATTACATGATAAAAAGTCCCATTACATATTGAAATGCAACAGCCTGGTGCAATGGTAGAATTCTTAATTTGCAAAAACAATGTTGCAGGGCCAGGTTCAAATGCTAAAAGCAATTGGTTCATGCAAAAATATTAAGAGTAGGATTATCCAGAGTTCTAGAATTCTGAATAGTGATAACTATCTTTCTTTTGGATACAACAAAAATTCCATCTTTGTAAGGCTGAAAACTTATGGCTAATACACAAACCCCACAAGAAACCCAAATATAACACTAATAGACTATGAATATAGAAAAATATAATATTCACAGAAGACATATCATATGGAGATGAACAGGCATTCTCCAAGAATTATGGATAAGGGGAAAATAGAGTCAATCATGTTATTCCAAAATAGAACAACATGATAAACAACATTATGCTACTACCAACCGGGATCCAATATAGAAAAAGAAAAGAAAAGAAAAGAAAAGAAAAATGAAGCAGAAACTATTACTGAAGAAAATTTTCTTACCTTAATATTGTATCAGATAACTGCTTTGCCACAACTGGTGCTGCCTCAGCGGGCCTACCAGGCCTAACAAGTGGAGAACAAATTGGAGGCATGTGGAAATCAATAGCTGAAAATACCAAGGTTTATGTATTGACATCCTATAAATAAATAAAAGAAGATAAAAAGGATAAAGAAATAAAAAGAAGATAGCAAAAGCAAATGATAATTCAAATATTAACCTATGCAACCCTCATCTGGTGAGTCTGTGGAAGGGGTCATCACTTCCATTTTTATGGCAGCCAACATAGTCTACACAATAAACAAAAAAGAAAAATATAAGCTCTCTAAGTTCAACAATCAAGCTACATAAAAAGTAGCTTATATACAGAAATGATGCACTAACAGTTGAACCAATCTTAGCCAAAGCTGACCCATCAGCAGAAGCAACAGCCCCTACATGTAAATTAGATTAAATTATAATCATGCGTTTAAAGATTAACTCTTTCTAAGTTACAAAGTGAGAAACAGGCAAAACAAACAACAAGGGTAAGCTAAACTAACCAAGAGCTAGTGTTGTGTCTCTAGCACTCCCGAGTGGCCTTGCATCAGGACGAATAGACTCTGCAAGATGACGCTCATAATAACGAAGAGGGAAAAGGCGTCTAAAAGCATCAACCTCCATCTCTGATGATAAATCTCCAGAGACATTTGGCAACCCCATTATCCCTCTATCTTTGTATAAGGCAGCAACTACTTAATGTAAAACTAAATCAGCAAACCTAAAATACATAATCACAAAAGATTTCCACATTATTTTTAACAAATAAGAAATAGAAAATCCAAACCAGAAAAAAAAAAAGAAAGAAAAAAACAAAGAAAACAGAAATGCTATCACCTAAGCAAACGCAAGAAAATTAACGATCCTCATATGGAAAGAATGAGCACCTGTTGAAGGCTAGAAGTCTGGTATTCGAGACAAGGGGAAGCAGAGAGAGACAATGACGGAGATAGAGTAAAGAAAACAGAGAACTGTGTTTCCGGAGCATTTCAGTTTCGGTTTAGCCCGATCCCGTAAACCCATATTCTGGGTTTTCTCTCTCAGCACCTGCTTTAGCCCATAAGACTGTTGGGCTGAGGCCCAACACCATTTCATTATGAAAATTATTTTTAATAATTTTATAATAAACCAATCTCAAACTTAGCTTATTAAGTTAATTGAACGAGTTCTAACCTGCTTTTTTTTTTTTTAACCCGAGCCTCTCACTACTAGTAGGATAGTTTATTTACTGCCCTAATTTACCGTATCTGACCTTTCCGTTTCGATCAAAAACCCTATCGCTCGATCCGAAACCCAAAAGAAAAACTGTTAAACCCGCTCCACCCGCGCGACATCAAAACAACACCGAAAATCTGAGAGTTCATAACACCCGCAGAACAATAATCATGGCCTGCAATTCCTCAAGCTGCAACTCCAATTGTTACAAAAACGACAACGTCGAACAATCGCTACACTCACCACGACCAACTGATCGTAGTTCAAGTTATACTAGTAGTAATGGACAACAGAATTTATGCGTCAAGTGCAAGACCAACCAACCCATTTCTGCTACCTCTGGCGGCCGCGGAGGCGGAGGCGATGATACTCGCTTTTGTGGCGATTGCTTTAGGAGCAATCTTTACGGGAAGTTCAGGCTCGCCGTTACTTCTCATGCTATGGTTACCCCTTCCGATAATGTCCTCGTCGCTTTCTCCGGCGGCCCTGCCTCTAGGTGTGTGTAGTTTAGCTTCTTTCTTGTTACATATGAATAGATGTTTACGATAATCACAAAGTTGAAAGATTGATCTCATTTTATGCAAAAGTATGTGAAATGTTGTTTTATTTGGAAATTCTTTTTTGAGAATTTGTAGTGGTGTTTTAGGGTGCTTCTGCAATTTGTAAATGAAATGCAACGTAGAGCACAGAAGAATTTTGATGCAAGTAAGGATAGATCATTGCCAGTATTTGGTATTGGAGTGGCATTTATTGATGAAAGTGCTGTCTATCCAGTTCCTTCTGAGAAATTTGATGAGGGAATTAGAGAGATGAAATTGGTTGTGTCTAATTTAGCACTACCAACAAAGAAGTTACATGTTGTTCCCATTGAAAATATCTATACTTCAGATTCTATTGATGGCAAGGACAAACTGGCAAAGATACTAAATGCTGTTACTGATCCCACTGGTAAAGAAGATCTTTTGCTGCATTTGCGGACGTTGGCCTTGCAAAAGGTCTGAACTAATGTCTCTATTTCAATTGCAAGCTTTGAACAAAAGAGATTAAGGATCCATTCATGCAAGATGTTTTCTTTTAATTTTGTAGATTGCTTCTGAAAATGGATACAGCAGACTTGTTTTAGGATCATGCATGTCAAGGATTGCTTGCCATGTCCTTACAGAGACGGTTAAGGTTTGTCTTCTAGTGGCCTCAAGTTATGCATTCTTTGTTTAAATATGTAGGTTTTATTTTGTAATTTAATCTAGTGAGCTATGGATAACAGCTTTCAAGTCATGTTTGTAGCATATAACTCAGAGATGCCCCTAGGTTATATTCTACATTTTGTATAAATGCTTCTAAGAGAGGCACTCTTGGTCTATTAGAATATTTGGGGCATTGGAAATTAGAGCGAAAACTTACCTTGTATGTGAACTAATTGAGTAGAGTAGGATGGCTGCACAAGAAATTTTCAATAACATCTGGAAGATTTTGATATTATCAACTGTCTTCCTTGATAATTAGTTTCAAAAATTCAAAGAAGATCAGAACTTGAAGATGAAAATTTGGATAGAGAGATCAGCTATAATATCTGAAATGACCATGGGCTAGTTGATGGTCATTAGGTTGTTTCATTATATGCTTTTACATGATGTTACGCTTCTAGTATATTTAAAGTTGGCATGTGATAATGCACCAAAAAGAAAGAGGTTGGAGGGAGATAAAGTTGTCCTATAAACAATATCAAATGATCTTTGTAAAGCTGCCACATAGCGTGATTCATGATGTTGAAAACAAATGCCTCTGAAAACTTCATTGAAATTGAAAAGTTCTTTTTGGTGCAGCAAAATCATTTGCAAATATAGTCTTGAATTTTGTCACCACTAAAGCTCAACATATATAAAATATCTGAAATGATGCTTATTTCAATGGCAAATTCTATCTCATTATTGAGAAGTAATTTCACCTTAGGTTAATGTAGCTACATATTTTATATATAAAAGATGTATGGATCCAGGTTTCTTTCATCATAACCTGGATTGAAGAAAAGAATTAGCTTGCTTTGAAATTGTAGGTATGCTTGTCATAAAACTATGCCTAGCTAGTACTTACCTTCCTCATTAAGCTTAAGACTAAATTAAGAAGTCTTTAATTGACATAATAGATTGTTGGTAACAACTATTAAAATTGCTTATGGGGTCAAATAAATGGTATTATTGTTTTTTCTTTTAACAGGGAAAAGGATATTCTTTATCAGCAGATATACAATATGTTGATGCCAGGTGGGACATCCCAGTAGTGCTTCCGCTTCGTGACTGCACTGCACAAGAGCTAAACTTGCTATGCCGTCTTGATGGGTGTGTTCACATTTTTCTTTTAGTTATGTCTACGCTGTAGAGTTCTGTGTAGGTTAACATTTGAAGAAATCTAGCATATTGCTAATTGTTGGTTCTATTCTTGTCTTGGCAGGGCAGTCTAAAGAATCTGCAGTTACTTAATAGTCCTCCCCCAAGCATCAACAGTTTGGTGTCGTCATTTGTTTCTCTATTGCAGGTACAAGTATCCTTCACTACACATCAATATTTCTTACTAAGTGTCTTCATTAGTAGGACTTTACATCATGTATTTCAAATGTAAAGGGAATATATATATATATATATATATATATTATACTTATTTTCAAAAACAAAATCAATTCTATGATATGTTAAATAGCTTGAAACTGGATGCTTTTAGTTTAAGTCTTTTTTTTGTAGCATTTTAATAGAAGTGCAATGCTTTGTTTTTTCTTGAAGAGAGCATCAATTAGTAAGTTACTGTTAAACTATTTGGCTTGCAGGAAGACAATCCTTCCCGAGAGTGTACAATTGTACGTACAGCTGGAAAGCTTACTCCATTCCATTTCAATAGAATTCCTGAAATCAATGATTCTAATGTTCCTTTGGCTACTCGAAGGCGCCAAAAAAGATATAATCTTAAGCCTGTGGAATCTATTTCGTCAGAGTCATTCTGTCCTATCTGCAATAGTCCTCTCAATGTTACTGATTTGTTGAGTTTGAGCAGTCCCAAAAATAGCACAAGTTCAAGGTTTCATGCTACATGTTGTTCAAGTTGCCGCTTTCAAATACTTCCCAAGGATGTCTCATTAATGGAGCATTTCTATTCATCTTTACCCCAGCAATTGGTTGCTCGAGCAAAGAATGATCGCAATTTCAGTTTGCTAAGGTGAGAATTTACATTTACTATAAATCTTGGGAAATCTTGGATCCTAAGTACCCTCTATATTGGACAATCTGTTGATCGCTCACTCACATTCTGCAAGAAGGCACAGCACCAGCCTGCATTCCATAATATATGCAAAAAATCATTTTGCTCAAATTTGTTTAGCTTTGTTTTTCGCCCCAGGCAACATCTTATTGCATTTTTGAAACTGTGTTATTCTATTCTAACAGAATTTTTACTTGCAGGGAGCAAATTCAAGATTGTCTGCTTTCAGACAATGAGGATGAAAGTTGAATTCATATGCCTCATCTCACCTTGTTCTTTTGTTTTCTTGACATCACTTATTATTTGGTTTCGAGCAGAAGAAAACACTGGTGTCCTAAAATTGTTGATTTTGTGAGAAAATCTCATTAACATTTGTTGGATTTGTATACCATTTCTTCGAAGTATTGATGCAAAAATTGCTATTTTCATTTTTATTTGAGTTGGATTTGGTCATGAAGATCCAGCAGGACTGACTTAAATTTTATCTCATCCAATGGAGGCCATGTTACTGGAATAGGAACTCGAGGGATGTAGTTTAAAAGAATTTGAACAATTATAATTTCAAATGTTCTCTCAGTCAGATGTAAAGCAACCATATGTATGGTATACACTTGCTAAACATAAAACTGCCTCAAACATACAAAACTAAGCAGAAATATTTACTCCATGCACCTGTGGTAAAAACAGCTTATTCTGTCTCAAAAGTAACAGATCTGATTTTCGAAGCTAATGACAGCTTACACATGCAATCCCTAGGCTATCGATGTAATTGACTGCAACCGAAGGTCAAGATATTTGAGATGATATTTGCGAAAAGAATTCCTCGAGTCGGCTTTCACCTATCACCACACCATGTTTTTGAGTGAAAACTAAATTGATCGAATCAGCTCCCAGATTTGTCAACTCATCGGAGGCGTGGATTTCCATGTATTCATTCAAGTTGTGCACAGTCCCATCTGCAAATAAATATGCAGGAAAAAAGGAACTCGTTATAAAACTATAGAACCATGGACTTCCAAATTCTGTATTTGAAACTTGAAATGAATTATCTTTAGCCACCTAAAAAACTTGATTAACGCTATTTAACAAAAATAAAAACAGAAATCTTTTTCCCATTTGTGTGTAAGGGTTGAGAGTCATCCAATGATAATTAAAACAGCCAATTCTTATATGCAGATTCAATGAATGATGAGAATAGCACCCTGAAGTCATGCTAAAGCTCATTCTATTTTAGTGTACAACCAATGCCATTAAAAGCTCTGTTTAGATGCGAAGAATTTTATTCATTTTGGAATCTCATAATTCTACATTGGCATAAATGAAGATGTTCATTTTACTCCTAAGAACAAACTTCACAAAATTTAACATAGGGATGACCCCGTGCACAAAGCATCCCACACTTGTAGGCTCTAAAAAAAGTTAACATAACTAAATTAAATTCTATCATTTGTAAATGGAGTTCATACCTCAAAGTCCTTCATATCAAACAACAGGAAAACCTCTCCTACACACTGAGAGTGCATATAGACACATGTGAGCGGCAATCAAAGAAGGTCATTTTCTAATCTATTTAAAATGAGTCACTTCATTGAACCTGAACATCTAATAAAATGAGCAGAGGACATCATTTTTCTCCTTAAAATCAACTGAACTAAGTTTTAATCCCAAACTAGTTTTGAGGTTGGGAAAGAAGGTATACAAAAACAAAAAATTGGGAAGAAACATAGGAAAAAAAATTTTCCTCCGAATATGTAAATGAAATATTACCATCAGAGGAAAAGCTTCAGAAGTAGATAATCTCCTTCAGCTTGGTAGGGGGTAGAATAAACTTGTTTCAATACTATGTATGTAATTTCCAGGATAAGAATCAGAAAACTTGAAACAATGAGAACTGATTGAACCTTAACCATTCGTATCCATATAAACAGAATATATGATATTAAGGAGCTCTAAGCAACATTATGCTAGATCTCAAACTCAGTGAAATCAGATTTTACACATTTAAAATGATAAGATTGTTGACAAAACTTACCTTTAGCTTCTATAGGTTCATGAGCAGGAGGTTGGGCAACCCAGTTCCCAGCAGAATCTTTCATGTGTCTTCTATCAGATGCAAAGTAATGGAGGAATAATGGAGCATGTACAATCCTAAAGAATCTAATACCAGAAAATAGAAAAAAGAAAAAATTGTCATCTTTAAAATTGTATGATATTCTGATTGATTTTCAGTTCTTTACAAAACAATGATAAATGTAGTAGTATTTTATTTTTTTATTTTTTTTGCAGAATTTGAAGAACAGAAGGCCAAGAATGCATGACATGCTCTCTGGTCCAAGAAAAAGCATGCAAATTCAATTTAAGAAGCCAGCTTTCATGTAACAATTTGACCATTTTGTTTCATGCTCCAGGAGCAATTTAGCTAAAAGCACTTCTCATTTTATTTTTATAAGCTTATGAAGAAAGTTTAACTCCGCATGAGAAAGTATGTTTACCTCTGGTAGTCAGCAAAGAGCTGAAAGGATGGCCGGATAGTTTCAGATACGTACAAAGGCAAAGGAGAAGGAAAGGGAAGACTTGAATCCAAATCCCACACCAAATAAGGGGTTTCAACATCTCTTTTTTTCTGTAATTCAATATACTTTAAATTAGGGATGCAAATGGGAAAGCAAATAACCACTGCCGACCAAATTTAAACGCACTCAACCATCCCTTTACTCCAAGGAAAGTGGATCCAATTTACCAGACTACCCACTGATTTATAAAAGGGAGGAATTGTTCTCACCTGAATGCAAATGACATGATAATCCCAAAGGGTAATCCCATCTGCTCTCTGGCTGGCTTTTTGATGCCATAAAGGAACCTATGAACATTTTCATTTAGAAGTTCAGGAATCAGAACCAAGTTCTGAAAGTGCCACATCAAAGAAGCTGCGGGAACCAGTAATTAGCACCACAACCACAACAGCAATAAAAATCAATATTCACTTCACCAATCAAGACCTCAGTTTGGCATTCTTCCACATTAGAAGTAATATATGAATTTCCACTAATGCTTTCATCTAAATAAATTCATTCTAGGATGCATAACCAAAACCACAAGTTGCAATAGTAAGTATGCTATTAGAAAAGTTAAATGAAGTTAACTCCGACTAATGCTGACAGTTTCTAATGATAGCCATTTCATAGTTATCTGCTGAAATCCACTAGAGTTAAAGGAATAATGAAGAACACATTCATAAATGGAAGAAAACAATAATACATGCCTGTTTCTTTTCATTGGAAATGAAAGCAACAAAGAGATCCGATCCCTCAGCATCTGCTATTCCCTGCTGGCACAACTTCTTACAAAGGAAGTATACATTTTCCTCACTGTAACAAACGTGGCAACATGAGACCAAAAGCACGCAAATAACCACAAAACAGAAAGAAACACCTCCACTCTACCTTCTGATCTACAAACACGCAGCACCTTGTTTTTTAAACATTCGGGTAAACTTTAGACAGATAGTACAACATATATGTAATGAACACCAAAACCAACAGTAAGAAAAAGAAAAAAAAAAAAAAAGAAACCAATCAAGAAATTCAGAGATCATCTGCTGATAAAATAATGAGCAATAAATATTTTCTTTCAGAGAAATCAACAGATCAAAATTCAGCAAACATAAAAAGGACAGCTTAACAGATTAGAATCCTATAAATGATTCATAAGTGATAAAACATGAAAAACTTACACAACATATAATTCTCAAAACCAAAAGTGACGAAATATAAGAAGGAAAATTATGTATCAGCTTACCAAAAAAATGAAAAACCCAAAACCCTAACATCCTAACCTTGCTAGAGTTTTTGCTGACACTAAATCGGTAGGCATACGAATAGAAATGGTGGAAAAAAAGGAAGAAGAAACTGATCATAAATTACATCAAATTTTAGTTTTGATTTAGTTTTATAGTAAAAGAATAAAAAGACAATAAAAATTGTTAAGCGAAATGAAACAAAATACCAGTAATATGGGGTGTGATCGAATTGAGCATTGTCCACTTCCCCTACATCAAATTCCAACTTTGTACTCGTCATTTTCTCTTCTTTATTCAATATTTTCAGCTTCTTGCGGGCTTGCGCGCAGACATATATAGCTTCAAAGGATGGAAATGAAAGACTATTAAACGTTACCGTTCTTTCTTTATAAGACTGAATAAACGGCACTACGTTTCATCTTGCTCTATCAGAATTTATATTTATTTATACGCTCCCCTTCAACACCTTCTTTCATTTCCCCAATCAACCGACTAACCGTTACCACCATCAGCACCTTCCAAAATGGAATCAGAATCAGATAAATCGCCGCCTCCGTCTCAGTCCCGCCGCTCAATCTGTGATAACTGCAACCGCCCACTCCCTGTCTGTCTATGCCACGTCATTCCAGCGTCACCAATCCCAACGGCTACTCAGATCATAATAGTCAAACACCCGCACGAGTCTCATCATAAGCTCAACACTACGCCTCTTCTCACCAAATCTCTCGTCAATGCTACCTCCATAATTTCCCGCAAGTTAAAACCTAACCTCCACCCTCTCCTCGCCGATGATAAACCCTCTCCGGCCACTTTTTACCTCTTCCCTCCTACGCCTTCCTCGCCGGCAATCACACTCTCTGAACTCAAAAACTCGATTACTAAATTCCGAAATGCCGAAACTGGTCCTTTAGTTTTGATCGCTATTGATGCCACGTGGAAGCATGCGAAGGAGATGGTGAGCGCGAGCGAAGGGTATTTAACTAAATTCGCCACTAGGGTCTGTTTGGATGGATTTGATAAAGAAATGGAAGGAGGGAGCATATACGACTCGGAGTTGGTGTTGCGGAAGGAGCCGTGCGGTGGCTGCGTGAGTACAGTGGAAGCGGTGGCGAGGTGGCTGGGAGCGGTGGAGGAGAATGGGCCAGAAATTGAAGCGAGATTAATTGGGGTTTTGAGAGAGACGGTTAGATTGCAGGCCCAGTTCTTGAAGCCCATGAAGCCCAGACCCAAGATGTTGAAGAAGGGTAAGCAAGAAGAGAAGTCTAGTGAAAAGAGTTTCGGTTAATAGCATGTTAATTTAACTTTGCTCCAATATCTCAAAACAATTTTTAAGGCGCCAAATATCTTGAGGCCCTTTCCTTTTATTGGTTGGCAAAACAACGCTATGTATTAGCAAAAACTTTATTCGTTGGCAAAATAAAATTTATAAACTGACTGCTTCACGATGATTCCGCGTGACAAAATCCAAACTATACTCCAGTCATAAGTGTACATGCAAACTAAATTCTTTCGTTGGTAATACTCCAGTGATAAGTATAAATGCGAACTAATTTCTTTCGTTGGCATGGAAAACGAAGGCTATATATATTTGCTGATATGTGCACGGCCACACTATCACTATATCTTCCTGTGGTCAACCTTGGAATTTTGCCAAAGCTTTCAACCTTGGAAGAGGAAAAGAGAATTTCGTTGCAGCTTAGCGCAAATCATGAGAATTGCTGAGCTTTCGATGTGGAAGAATATTTAAATTCTTTCCCACCCGGTGTTAGGTTGTGTTCATTGGATCAAGGGTTAATTATATGCTATTTGATGAATAAAATCAACAATCAAGCTTTACCCATTAATCGAATCCCTGAGATTGATCTTTATCAATATCACCCTCAACGGATCTGGTATGTGTATTTACCCTTTTCAATATTTTATGATTCTTTGATTCAGCTGTTGCAATTAGCCATTGCGATTAACAGTTTACATAGGCAAATATAATTCTGAAATTCTTATATTTTGAAAGGCTAAAACGTAGTGTCAGGACCCAGGAGTCCAAAAAAACGTTTTCTTTAAGCATTGTATGTTTTGTTAGTCCATCTTCATCAATAGCTGTCAAATTATCTTTCTTAATGTTATATACATTGCAGTAAGACTGACAGTTATTGACATACATACTAAAACTATCAGAAATCTCTTAGAGATAATCAATCTTCTTTCACAATTTCTATGAAATCTATCTTTTATAATTTCAGGTGAATACTATATATTGCAAATACAGGTACGTTGTTTGATATCATCTGTGACATATAACTATTGAGTATTAATTTTGAATTGGAGTTGAATCTGGGATAGTAGTAAGTTTTGATTTATAATTTTGTTTTCATATTTGATTTTGTACTTTGAATCATATGAACAGAGATGTATAAAAGAGCAGGGGAAAGTTTTATGTGCTTTTTTACTCCAAGAAATTGGAAATGTCGAAATGGGTCAGGCCTAACCAGAAAGCATGCAATGGCTTTTGGAAAGCTACAGGAGCTGATGTACACATTAGAAGCAATATGCTTATAGTGGGTTATAAAACAACACTAGTGTATTTTGAAGACAATCCAAAAGAATCAACAAAAACTAATTGGATCATGCATGAATATAAAATTGACAAGAGAAGCCCTTCATCTGCTAACAGGACTCCAGGTGACATGAAGGTCTATAATCCAACTTCCTATTTCTATTTGCTTTTTTCTCATGTGCAGTAATTCAGTATTAAGAACCTGTATTGAGAATTTGTTTTATCATTTGTGTTTAAGTTACTATTTTATGAAAACATATTTTAGATGTCATCAGAAAAAGTAATTTGGGATTTATTTCATAATACATTTGATTATATTACATTGTATTTATTATAGCTCACTAAATTTGATCAAAAGCTCATCATGTTAGTAGTTTTGATTTTCGAAATTTATGTTCTAGAAATTATGACTCGTAAAAAACATTGAAGGAATAGTAGTACTACGAGAAATATTGGATTTAACCATACAAAACAAACTTCATAGCAAAATTCTACTGTTAAAAGCTAATATATATGACATTAACATGAAAACATGCTTCATAAAAACTAACATAAAGCTGAAACATATTTTGTTATATGCAGCTTTGGCTTTGACTTGTCATATTTGAATCTTATGATCCTATGTTTTTAAAATTAAAAGCTCAGATTCATAGATTTTACATCTTTTATTTTGAATATCCTATAAAGAGTAACTACTGTGAATGTTACAATTTTGTTTGTGTAGTTGGATAATTGGGTTTTGTGCAAGGTATATAATAGAGAAGAACACAATGAAGCAATTTTGTGTTTGATTTTCCATAATTGGACTTTTATTAAAGGTTTTATCGACTAGATGACATTTGAGTTCTTAACCGATTGATGACTTAATTTAATTATGAAATGGTATTTTCAAGCTTAGCTATTATAATTTAATCAATTGTACTATCTTTGCAATTGTATGTTTAAAATGCACTAACTCACTTCTCACGTGTTGATAACAATGGCAAAAATAAACAAAAACGATAATTATATGAAACCTATTTTTCAGCTTCATGTGAAAACCTTTAATATTTCTACTTTTGTCTCTCATTTATATGAATGGAATGCAAACCATACAAGCTATAGACCTAACAGAAATATAACATATTAAGATTATCTTTATTTCATAAATTCATTTATTCAAAATTTTGGTTTCCAGATTTTTTTTATGTTTACTTTTTTTTCTAAGTAAATTATTTTTCGTACGTTGACAAATTTACTATAATCTTATTATAAATTTTTATTAATTAAAATTTAGTGAACATTAATAGCAGTATTCGATCTTTTCACAAGAATTAAGAAAATGATTGCAACACATTGATTTTCTAAAAATATATACAATAATGTTTACATTCTCCGTCTTAAAATTAAAAGCTTCACATTTAATTATGTCACAAAACATGAAATAAATATGAGTAAAACTGAAAAAAAATAATCAATATACCAAAACTGAAAAAAAAAATTAATATATCCTCAAAATTCTAAATAAATACTTAAAGTAGAATAAAGTAAAATGTTCGTTTATCGCTATTAAAATGGTAAAATGTTCGTTTATCGCTATTAAAATGGAATGGAGTCACATTCTTTGACTATGAAATTAATCTCATTTTAAGATTCGTATTATATTAATACCTTGAGATATCTTTCTCTTATTACATAAATTGTAGCGAAACTAAGGTATATTGAATTGGGTCAAGACCTAACCGGAAAGCTAGCTAAGGCATTTGGAAAACAACCGGAGTTGATGTTGCCATTATGCATATAGTGGGTTATAAAACACAACTGGTGTATTTTTAAGACAATAATATAAAAACGTTAAAATTGAACTATAATACTATCTCTAGCTCAAAAAAAAAAAAAAAAAAAAAAAAAAAATGTTGGCCCAATTATGCATATAGTGGGTTAAAATACAACACAACTGGTGTATTTTTTAAGACAATAATATAAAAACGTTATAAATTGAGAAACTATAATACTATCCTCTAGCTTTCAAAAAAAAAGAAAAAAAAAAAAAAAAAAAAACTCGCTTTTCAAATACCAGGTTGTTCCCAAAATAATTGTTTCCATTGTTCATTTTTTTTAAATTAAATTTTCCAAAAAAAAAAAAAAAAAAAAAAAAAAAAATCTCGCTTTTCATACCAGGTGTTCCAAAATAATTGTTCCATTTTCATTTTTTTAATTAAATTTTCTACAATACCCTTATAATGTTATTTGTGCCAATAATTAATATAAATAATACTATTAAATATTTAGTTAAATATAAAGTAATTGAAACATGTGTCAGGATATTAATTTTTTATTAAAAAACTCTAAACAATTTTAAAATTTAATCAAAAAATTACTTTATTTATCCCAAAATATAAGTCGGTTTTTGGTTTATTATTATGTTCCAAAATATAAGTCATTTTGTGTAGTTCAAGAAGTAATAAATGATGTTTTTTTAATATTGCTCTTATTTATACTAAATACTATAAATACTTCACAAGCAACTACTGGTTTTGAAATAAAGGATAATTTGGCCAAATTATCCTTTAGTTTATTATAATTTAGGAGAATTAATTATTTTCTTAATCATTATATAAAAACCTTAACAACTTATATTATATTTTGAAACAGAGAGAATATTAATATTAAGGTATATATAGAAAAAAAAAAAAAAGGATAAATGCTATGATTGACTAATTTAACTATCCATTCTCAATTTGTGTGGAGGAGTGAAACTTTTTTTTTTTTTTTTGGATGCGAGTAGTAAAATAACTTCCTCCATCCCAAAAAGATATTCCATCTTTTCTTTTTGGTTGTTCCAGAATATAATCCACTTTTCTTTTCTGCATTCTAGTTAATCATTGAACTCTTTATTATATCTTAATAAATCACCTTATTTTCAATAACTATTATTAATTATTAGTTATCATTTCAATAATCATGTATTATTTAAGATAAGCATAATATAAAAATTATATGAATAAAATTATTATTTAACTATATTTTTTAATTTATGTAAAAATAAAAAATAAATTATCTTTTTGAACGTCGACTATCATTTTAAATTTTAATATGAGACTTTAAAATTGGGCCCAACGAGTCTCAAAAACGTTTTGGGCCTTGGAAAAAGAAATATAATCCCTTTTGTTAAAGAAGACCTTGGAAAGGCAATTTTTTTATATCGAGACACATTTACCAACACCCGTCGTCTACTCGTCTAGTTTCGTCCCATATATGATATATCAAGCCAATGCAATAAAAATACATGGAGAAAACAAAGGTATGGCCGTCTTTTACTAAAATAATAATAATAATTGGTGAAAATTTTAAAATCTTTGGTATATAACTACTATTTATCTATTTATTAGAGAGAGCAAAATATTAATAAAAATACAAGATAAAAGAGAAAATTAAATTAACTATTTAATTATAAAAAATAATATTATCAATTATGAGTAACAAAATATCATGCTTTAATATTAATATTTTTCACCTTGAGAATAATACTACCTTAAGTTTTATAATTTTTCACCTTTTTTTAATAGTTCTTCCATTTTTGTTATTCTTTTATCGATTAGCAATGATTTAATTTAATTTAAAAGTTCAAGCATTACCCATCAAATTATTGTTTGACTGGGTGGGCCCACAAAAATCACATCACTGATCATTATGGCCCATGGGCCCCCACAAGTCTATATTATATTTACTTATTTAGTCACATACTGTGATGGAAAAAAAATATATAATACAGAAGGATAAATTAGTAATTTGGTCACTGAATTTTAATCAAAATTTGATCAGGGTAACAATTTTATTTTATTTTTAATTAAGTTAATAACTTTAATGTACATTTTAGTTATATTAGTTTAGTGTGTTAGTAAGAGGAAGTGAATTTTGGTATTTACCTAAATCGAAATCAAATATGCACTTAGCACTGGATTAAATATGTGATTTATAAATTACTTTAGTCTAATTTTAGATTTCTTTAATTAAGCATGGAAGATAAAAATAAGAAAAAAAATAATAAACGCTCACTTTGCTTATTGTCCTTCCCATGTAAATTTTTGTTAGGGATTAAGTTTAATGTCCAATTAGCAATTATTATCATAATTACAATTTTACAATTCAAATTATCCTAAGATTTCATTAACATGTTAAGGCATCTCTTAAAATTTAGTGATTAAATAGAAGTTACTCTCTCCGTTCCACAAATTTTACCTTCTTACATTTTAAGTGCTCATTTAGGATTTCGAGACTATATTAATTATTTTTTTCAATTTTATGTACATTTATTATATGTAATTTATTTTTATTTTTACATTTAAGAATGCAATTTAAACATTCTAGAATAGCAAATTAAATATTCTACCATGTATTTTTTGAAATCAATGAATTCCAATCATTTTCTTAACTCTTATGAAAAGAGCAAATGTTCCTATTAAAGTGGATTAAAGAGAGTAACATTTTGGCAGTGTCCTGCAACAGTTTTTAAAGTAGTTTTTGGCATTTTCATTGAATGTTATTTTTTATAGTATTGGTTAACATAATGCTTGAACTAACTTTTAGAGATTAAGATAATAATTTATAAAATGTCAACCCCTGTAACATTTAGCTTTTAGCGTTTTATGAAAAGTTGATCAAATAGCTATTAGTTATTCAAACAGCTAAAGCAAGTAACGCTGCCAAAATAATTAATTTCCTTGCGTACAGTAACTAGAATTTAAATAAAATTTTTTATCAAAATGTAATTTACCCGTCTTATCACAAAAGAGAGAGGACCCTTGATGCCCTAAGCAAGACAGACAATACATGATACAAGGGTCATGATGCATGTCCGGTAAAGGGAGAGGCCAATCTCAATCAATAGAGATTCTATAGAGAAATCCCATTTGCTTTTTCATCTTTCTTTTGGTTTTG